GCAACCGAAACCATTTGAAAATTAAATTGGTAGAAAGTCATGTAAATTTCATCACATTTAGTCAAGTAGTTACTGAGCGGATGAGATTGCACACATTTTTGTACGACAGACGGACGAATAGCCATCGGGCCAATAAGCTCACAGAGATTTAAGTCTATGTAACATTTATACATTTTACCTAGTATATAGTATATATAGAAAATATCAAAGTCTAAACTGTAACCGAAATCTGGGTATAAACTGTAACAAAATCGGATAAAAATCGCTTTGTCTATGCTGTAACCCTGCACAAATCACCTCACTCTATACTGTAACATTGTTTATTTTTTCAAACGCATTTAACGAACAGGAAAATATGTTCAACTGGTCATTTACTTTTATAAACGTTTCCTAACATAAAGGACTAACGTTTTGCAGATTTACTTTTTCTAGGCATTCATAAATAATGTCGAAATTGGAGAAAAATGCGTTGGTCTCTCGATTCAAATTTTCAAACTGTCAAATCTGCATATTTATGAGACAATATAGCGATAAATCTGCGGTGCAGAATCTGAAGAAATATATGACTAGATACCGGATTATGTTCCTTACAAGCAAAGCACAAAAACTTCTTTTAGAAACTAAACTACTTGTAGTATGGATCGGAATAAAAATCACCTACCTGTCCTCCCAACAAATAATCCTCCATCTTGAAAATTCTATACTGTAACCGAAAAACGCGATACTGTAACACGTTCCCTACGGTGCCCGTAGGGAACGTGTTACAGTATCGCGTTTTTCGGTTACAGTATAGAATTTTCAAGATGGAGGATTATTTGTTGGGAGGACAGGTAGGTGATTTTTATTCCGATCCATACTACAAGTAGTTTAGTTTCTAAAAGAAGTTTTTGTGCTTTGCTTGTAAGGAACATAATCCGGTATCTAGTCATATATTTCTTCAGATTCTGCACCGCAGATTTATCGCTATATTGTCTCATAAATATGCAGATTTGACAGTTTGAAAATTTGAATCGAGAGACCAACGCATTTTTCTCCAATTTCGACATTATTTATGAATGCCTAGAAAAAGTAAATCTGCAAAACGTTAGTCCTTTATGTTAGGAAACGTTTATAAAAGTAAATGACCAGTTGAACATATTTTCCTGTTCGTTTAAATGCGTTTGAAAAAATAAACAATGTTACAGTATAGAGTGAGGTGATTTGTGCAGGGTTACAGCATAGACAAAGAGATTTTTATCCGATTTTTGTTACAGTTTATACCCAGATTTCGGTTACAGTTTTAGACTTTGATATTTTCTATATATACTATATACTAGGTAAAATGTATAAATGTTACATAGACTTAAATCTCTGTGAGCTTATTGGCCCGATGGCTATTCGTCCGTCTGTCGTACAAAAATGTGTGCAATCTCATCCGCTCAGTAACTACTTGACTAAATGTGATGAAATTTACATGACTTTCTACCAATTTAATTTTCAAATGGTTTCGGTTGCAATCGGGAATACGAAAACCAAAAACATAGATTTCGAAAAAAAGCAATGCTTAAAGACCTTTCTCATCTCGAACCAAAAGCATTCAAATCAAATCAAATCATGATCATGGCGTCATTTCGAATGCTTCTTTGTTGAAGTAACGATTATTTTGTCATTATTACATTAAAAGTCGTTTTCTTTTAATTTCAGACATCCCGTATAGCAGTTTTCATGTTTCTGAAAAAAAAATATTGAAAGTTATAGAGTACAAATTAAGGTCAGACAATTACAATATCTTCTCTAGTGAGCCTGATGGAGGTACATAATAGTGGCAAAGTCGGGATAAGGCCGTCGACTTCAAATGAATCATCTTTCCTTTACTGCTGTAGTTGAAATCCAATCATGACTTTGGATTTTTTGTATGTGAGGAATCTATCAAGCTAATTTACAGAAGGTCGGTGGTTCTAGTCAGGTGCCCGTGTCTGAAATGTTTCACAAAGGGTATCTGGGGTCTTTCTGTACACTAAAGCAGGAATGTTTTCACATGACCTCAGTGTCGTTGAAACTTAAAATCCAAGAAAGCCAAACGTAACAAACCCTTTTAAATGCTAATAAAATACATTATGGTAGATGGAAATTGCAACTTAAAATAAGATTTAAGTAATTAAGTAATAGAAAGAGCATCGAAACACGAGGCTATCTGATTTATACGAGGGGGCACAGCCCCCGAGAATAAATCAGATTGCCGATTGTTTTAATGTTCTTTCTCTTTTGTATTATAGTCAAACATAAAAACACGCTCCCTGTTGTCACAATATGAAACCCCGGAGAAAAGTAACCAATGAACGAGCATCTAAATATGACATTTCTGTCGTTTTCCCTTTCTCTGCCGTCACAATAAGTAAACCCCAGCAAAAATGAGCCAATCAATGGGCATGCTCTGGAGTGCGGGTAACTAATACCTGCACTCCAGTTAACGCACAGTGCATGTATACGATTTAACTCGGACACATTTTCAACAGAAAGGTTTTAATCTGGGGGTAATATGCCGCTTTTCATAGAATGGCAATAACGTGTCACATTGAAGGTTCCATTATAACCGCCATATGAACATATCCACAGATGTTAAAAAATCTAAAGTGTACCAGTTCATGTTTAATGTGAAATCTGCTGAAGCCGGTGCTAGGAGGCGTGGATGGTAGCTTGCAGTTACCACTACCGTCCATGAACATGTATAATCAAACTCAGCCTGCAACATTTTCATGCTTTCCGTGTTGGACTTCTATTTAGGATTAATTTTTCTCTATTTTATTACATATAGGCATTATTATAATGTGTAATGAAATCAAGCAATAATCTTTCTTCTCTCAATACAATTCGATACAAGTTACTGTTGTTGTCGTGAAAACAGTCCTTACTTAGGACATTATATATACTTATTCTGCAAAAAGTCTCAATCTGAAACTTAAAGGATGAAAAATAGCAAAGTATAACTTTTCTGCTGAAGAAAAAAAGTTATACAACCTTTCAAGAATGTATTAAATAGAAAGGTATGAGTTATTTCATAAAAATAATGGATACACCAACTTTGTTTGAAATTTGGCAAGTATCTAAACTGTAACCGAAATCTGGGTATAAACTGTAACAAAATTGGATCAAAGTCGCTAGGTCTATGCTGTAACCCTTCAAAATTAACCTCGCTCTATACTGTAACATTGTTTATTTTTTCAAACTCATTTTACCAACAGGAAAATAGGTTCAACTGGTCATTTACTTTTATAAACGTTTCTAAACACAAAGGACTAACGTTTTGTAGATTTACTTTATCAAGGCATGCTTAAATAATGTCGGAATGGGAGAAACATAAGTTGGTCTCTCGATTCAAATTTTCAAACCGTCAAATCTGCACATTTATGAGACAATATAAAGATAAATCTGCGGTGCAGGGTCTGAAGAAATATATGACTAGATATCGGATTCTGTTCCTTACAAGCAAAGCATAAAAACATCTTTTAGAAACTAAACTACTTGTAGTATGGACCTGAATAAAAATCGCCTACCTCTCTTTCCATAAATAATCCTCCATCTTGAAAATTCTATACTGTAACCGAAAAACGCGATACTGTAACACGTTCCCTACGGTGAATTAGGTGACACCGTATTAAATCATACCGGATTGATTTCGGTAACGTAACATACCGGTTTGATTTCGGTAACGTACTTGTACCGTATGTACTTTAGTCATATCACAACCAAAATGGCCGACAAAGATGCTGGAAAAGAAGAAAAACCAATTGTTGTAGCAAGAAATGCTGCGGGCTCAGAAAACAGGCGGAAAATTTTAGGTAAACTAATAACATCTATATTTGTAGAAAAAAGGACATTTACATGCAAACATGTGATCTAGGAGTTATTTTCATAAAAAAAAATGTGAAGCAAATCTAATCAAATCTTTTCCTGTTTACTGTTTCCTTGGAGTATTGTAAGCACTTCTGTGCTTGTTGACTCCCTCGATCTCATTCCGGCCTTCACATGTCAAACTACTTGTGGGATTTCAACCAAAGGAGTGATCAGTACCATTCACGAATTCGAAAACCTAGCTAAACGCCGTTTTCCGGTACTTTCTGTACATAGCTCTGGGGAATTCACCTAATGGAGTGTAATAGCGAACTCAATGTTTTCGGCCTTTTTTAAATTAAACTGAAATAAAACAGTTATTTCTTTATAAGAAAATAATTAAATATCATTGTATGAATAATTCCATACAAAAAATGAAGTGAATACACAAGTTTACACAGAAAATAACCTTATTTATTATGGAAGATTCCACTACGCCTGTTTGAATTTTATTGATTTTCATTATAAACAATTTATTTTTTTGAATAATTTGCAATAGATATCAAACGAATATTGATAATTTTCAAAAACATCAATTTTTTTCAACTTAAACGGTTAAATAATGATAGAAAAATAGACATATTTCGTAACTGTGTTATGTACTTCATTTTGTGTAATTCCCCAGAGCTAAAACGGTAACGTACCGGAAAACGGTGTTTAGCTAGGTTTTCGAAAAGGTCAATCCCTAGTTGTGCACATCACTGGCATGTTCCGCTTCGCTGCACAAAATGGCCGCAAAAGCTAAAAATAGAAAACTCTAGTCTAGCCTTCACTGGTCAAATTCAAATTACTGGTGGAATTCAACCAAACTTTACAGGAGTGATCAGTACCATCCCTAGTTGTGCACATCCACGACACGTTCCGCTTAGCTCCACAAAATGGCCGCCAGAGCTAAATATAGAAAAATATTGTCCGGCCTTCACAGGTCAAACTACTAGTGGGATTTCAACCAAACTTTACAGGTGTGATCAGTACCATGCCTTGTTGTGCACAATACCGGCAAAGAAATTCTATTGAACTGTTTTAATTTTGCCTGTATGTCTACATGTATCGATATATGAAAACTCCGGAAAATGCCTAAGTGACAGCTAAACTGTTCACAAGGCAACACATCCGACTCGCGAAGTTCTTGTTGCCCTAGTGAGTTTTTGTCCAGCGGGCTACTCCTGGTGGTCTATTGTCTTCATGGGCTATTGTCCTAGTGGAATATTATCTCATTTCTCAAATTTGCTCATTATTTCAACTAAATACTTCTCAATTGAATTCTTTTTTCAGACAAAGCCAGTTTATATCCCTGAAAAATCAAAAGACTATAAGCCAAGAGAGCCACTGGAATTTATCCGAAATATTTGGGGTAATCAATTTATTCTCTTTATTTTCTTCTTTGCTACATGTATGAGCAATGAAATGACTATGTAATTTTTATGGTATTATCTTTTCAGATAGTCAGTGACTGACAATGTAAATCATTACATGGACTGACAGGCTTTCTGTGTGTCATACAGTCAAGAGTAATGACTTAAATTGTAGTAGACTGTTCAAAATTATGCTTTGCTGATTGAAATATTTATTCTGAATCTGTTAAACATTGAAATGATGTTGTCTTTCCAGCCATCCACTCTAATTCATAGCATACATGTAGAACTAGTTAATTAATGTGTTAGATATAAACTCGGCATGAAGAAAGGCCTTTAGGGCATTGAATAATTTATGCATGTCCATATTTCTGTTGCTTTTTGTATAAGATGCATGTATCATCTCAGTTTCAAATACAAATAATAATACTAATAATAATGGTCAAAGTGAAGTATTTGTCATCTATCATTATATTTGGATTCGATTATTCGAACGCATAGATTATTCAAAGTAAATTTTCAGTCCGCGGCAATTGAAATAATCGAGGTTGGTTGGACTGTATGATGTAATTAGTTATAAATTGTTTTTAAACATCTTCTTGTTTTATGTACAGAAGGTAAGCTTAAAGCCATAAAAAAGTATATATCAATGTGCAAAATAATGAGTAAATAATTATATTTAACCTTAAAGGTTCAAGTGCTGGTGCAGGAAGTGGAGATTTCCATGTTTACAGAGGTGTGAGAAGAAGGGAGTATGCAAGACAAAAGTTTCGTAAAGAGAAAGAAGAAAAGGTAACATCTGATATAGCTATATTTTAACCCACGGCCACTGTGATAGGAACAGTAAATGTTCATAAATAATTCATTTACAGAAGTCATGAAAAATTATGACAATACTTTAAAACAAGAACTGTCGGAGGACAGTAACGCTCGACTATTCGAAAATTTGTCACAAGGGTGTTTCATTGAGTATAATAATGCTTACCTATATGAATATATAAAATTGTACGAAAAGGTACAAACCCTTCAAGTTTCAATACAATCACAGAGAACAAGTGTGTGAAGTTTCAATCCATTCCCTTCAGTAGTTATGGAGATACCAGCTTACACTTAAAAACTTAACCACGAATTTATGAATCGAAAAAGGGGAATAATTATGCGAAAAAGTAAATCAGAGTTATGGGACTTGTGCCAATCATCTTAAATAATCACAGAGACCAAGTGTGTGAAGTTTCAATCCATTCCCTTCAGTAGTTATGGAGATACCAGCTTACATGCAAAAACTTAACCAAGAATTTCTAAGATAAAAAAGGGGCATAATTATGCAAAAAAAGCAAATCAGAATTCTGGGACTTGTGCCAATCATCTTAGATAATCACAGAGACCAAGTGTGTGAAGTTTCAATCCATTCCCTTCAGTAGTTATGGAGATACCAGCTTACACGCAAAAACTTAACCAAGAATTTCTAAGTCGAACAAGGGGCATAATTATGTAAAAAAGCAAATAAGAGTTATGGGACTTGTGCCAATCATCTTAGATAATCACAGAGAACAAGTGTGTGAAGTTTCAATCCATTCCCTTCAGTTGTTATGGAGATACCAGCTTACACGCAAAAACTTAACCAAGATTTTCTAAGTCGAAAAAGGGGCATTTTTATGTAAAAAAGCAAACCAGAGTTATGGGACTTGTGCCAATCATCTAAGATAATCGCAGAGAACAAGTGTGTGAAGTTTCAATCCATTCCCTTCAGTAGTTATGGAGATACCTGTTTACACGCAAAAACTTAACCAAGAATTTCTAAGTCGAAAAAGGGGCATAATTATGTAAAAAAGCAAATCAGAGTTATGGGACTTGTGCCAATCATCTTAGATAATCACAGAGAACAAGTGTGTGAAGTTTCAATCCATTCCCTTCAGTAGTTATGGAGATAGCAGCTTACATACAAAAACTTAACCAAGAATTTCTAAGTCGAAAAAGGGGCATAATTATGTAAAAAAGTAAATCAGAGTTATGGGACTTGTGCCAATCATCTTAAATAATCACAGAGACCAAGTGTGTGAAGTTTCAATCCATTCCCTTCAGTAGTTATGGAGACACCATCTTACATACAAAAACTTAACCAAGAATTTCTAAGTCGAAAAAGGGGCATAATTATATAAAAAAGCAAATCAGAGTTATGGGACTTGTGCCAATCATCTTAGATAATCACAGAGAACAAGTGTGTGAAGTTTCAATCCATTCCCTTCAGTAGTTATGGAGATACCAGCTTACATACAAAAACTTAACCAGAGGGACGCCGACACCGACGCCGACGCCGACAAATGGGTGACTGCATTAGCTCGATTATTCTACGAATAGTCGAGCTAATAAGACAAATTTTGATATCATAACTGTGCTTGAAAAATCAAAGTTAATGAACTGTAATTGTCAATACAATGTATCATGCATCATGTTAACACTGTCAGTATTTTGTTACACTGTTGGTATATAAGTAAGACATAGAGTTATAGGCAAAAGTAATAATAGTATCATAAGAAAGTACAGTTATCTGAGTCTATTGTCTTTGGTAACAGTATTATTACAAGGTATACATGTATTATTCTAAATGTAACCCACAAATGTACATGTATGTGTTATTAATTTCACTACCTCAAACAAATACTATAATAAACTAAAATTTTCAACTAAATAAGAAAACTGAACTACATGTAGCTGCAGCATTAAACTCGACTACTTACTTACTTACTACTGCATTGACTTTGTTACTGTTGAATTTGTGAAGTTATTTATTTTCAGGGTGTCTGTTCGATCTTTGAAATGACTCTTTGACCCTTCAGATTTCCTAAAGGCCTGATTTGACCTTAAGAATTTTAACTGCAGGGTCAACTTTGTTAAAATCATGGGGATTTGGATTTGTAATTGGCAAACTTAGTCCATGCTTATTAGAATGACTCTCAAGATTCCATGGCTAGTGGAACCCCTGATTTTATTCTTTGAGTACATGAAGATATTTACCTGCTTTAAAACATACAATTAGTTGCATTTAGAAATCAAATCATTAGCACATTTATATGGGTTATGACTTAAATGTAATCTTAATCTATCACAACATTTTTTATCAGTTTGTTTACCCTCAATTTTGCATGCTGTTACTACCTTGTTTCTGAATACATGTAGTTCTTTTAGAGTTTTTTTACAACACTAAGTGCTGGGTATCAGCTGTCCTCGTCTTTAAATCTGTCAAAATTTTTAGATCCTGTTTTCTTGTATGCTTCAACCATTTAAGCTTGATAAATATGTCTGAGTTAAAGCATTGAAGATGGAAATAGCATATTTATATTTTAATTGTTCCACAAGGAGGTTTTAGAAAAAAAGTGTGGGTTACAAACAACAAATTCTAAAGTGCTTATTCTCTTTTTCGAGATAATTATTCATAGTAACCCAAAGTAAAATAACAGGTTAGGGAAAGTAACATATAGGTTTTATATTTGCAGCTGCTTCTCCTAGAAAGCTCCAAAACAATTTAACTTTGTATTTTCATATACAGGCACAGGCAACATTATATTAGCGTCTTCAACCATTGTCACAATAATAAAATTATAATTGAAGCATCTCATTACATTTCTCACTGCATTACTCTATACCTCACTAAAAGTGTCAGTTTAGACCCCATTGTAACCAGCACTATGTTACTCTATCAGTATTATTAAACAGTTTCAAATTTATGTCAGACATTCAGGTTACAAACGTCAAAGTGTCTGAATTTCAGTTTGCTTTGTACAGAACAATTCAGGTATTTTGAGTATGTCATACAATTGACATTATAGTTGATTATTTTAGTAAATTGAATATTTAATGACACTGTTATATTGTAGGAGGAAGCAGAGGACTCATACCGTAAGAAAGTTGAGAGTAATCAAAAAGCTGCGGAGGAGAGAACAGCTAAGAAGAGAGCTAAACGGTTTGGTTCTAATCAAACTTTCAACACTATTTAAACAATCATAATTACTGAAATATTTCCTGCAAAATGATAACTTCAGAGATACATAGTTGAAGGCATTGTTCCAACTGCTGCTATAAGTAATCAGCATCGTTGTCATATTGTTATACAAAATGAGTCATATTGTTATACAAAATGAGTGAATGTGTTACTACACTAAGCTGACAATATCAATGAAAAATTGTTTCTGCCTTATGGTTCACTAAGTTTATATTGATTTTTAGATTACCAAGTGACTGAAATAATAAGCACAGCAAATGGTTTTTTTTTGTAATTAGTAATAAAAAATTCATACTTTGCATCTGAAAAAATTGATGTCATGCAAATTTAAAACTTAATTTGTTTTTAAATTTTATGCAAAAATTTAAATATCATAGATATGCTAAGAGGTTTTTATTGATAATTTCAGTTTGAAAAAGAAGCAAAAGCAGAAGAATAAAAAACCTAAAAAAGAAGAAAAAGGTAAATTTTGATGTATATACAGAGGTCAGAGGTGAGCTCTGTGATAAAATTGTGTCTTTAATTATCACCTCCTTAACTACAGGGTTGATTTTGAACAGATAATATTGAGGTGGCTTTCAACCAAAGTTAAATAAACGGTTACATCTTTCTGGTCTGTACATAAATGAGTCACTTGAGCTAAAAATTTTCTTTAAAAATGAAATCTTTAAAAGATTTATCAGAAACTATGATGCCCAGAGCTTAGATATTTGATGTGTAGTATCATCTTGTGATCCTCTTTAAAACACTGCTGCCAATTATATGAGGAATTCTGCGATTTTTTCATGAGACTAATTTTGAGATGATGTAAATCCATTGAAGTAATGTAGATGTCCATTCTGGTCTTTATATATGTATATATTTTTGCTTCAATGTCAACTTGAATTTGATTGGTTAATAGTTGCTAACTCAGGGTTGCTAGAGGTGTGAAATTCAATCAGATTGCAGATCACAACTACATATGTACTGGTCAAGGAAATTGACTTCAGTTAAATTCAAGTAAGATCAGAGAAAATATGATGAATGTGATTTCAGTCCTTCAAAATCACAAAATCCCAGGAGCTTATTGGGGGATATACCCCCTGGTCTGACACGAGGGCACTGCCCTGGACCAGCAAGGAGGCTCCCATGGCCCACTTAAACATGGCAAAAAGTTCCTCTGATTTCACCTCTTGTTTTCAGAAATTACACTGCCTAGAGTCAAAATTGACACCCCAAGGGTCATGTAGTTTATATGGATAAACATTTAACTCTTCTTGTCTGAAACTATAATGACCAGAACTTTGATATCTGACATTAGCATTTCAAAATGCCTCTCTTAATTACTTAATGGCACTCTTCTTATTTTATTAGTCCCCTACCGGTTTACCGGAGGGGACTTTAGGTTTACCCTCCGTCCGTCTGTCCGTCCGTCTGTCTGTCCGTCTGTCCGTCCACAAAACTGGATCCCGCGATAACTTGAAAAGTACTGAAAATATTTTTATGAAACTTGATATATGGATAGATGGCAGTATGGAGATTATGCACGTCTTTTTCTTTTCTTCCTATGTTGAAAATTCTGGTTGCTATGGCAACAAATAGGCTAAAAATATGGCAAATTTTACACATAAACTGGATCCAGTGATAACGCAAAAAGTACTGGAAATATTTTTTATGAAACTTGACATATGGGTAGATGGCAGTCTTGGAATTATGCACGTCTTTTTCTTTTCTTTCTATGTTGAAAATTCTGGTTGCTATGGCAACAAATAGGCTAAAAATATGGCAAATTTTACACATAAACTGGATCCAGTGATAACGCAAAAAGTACTGGAAATATTTTTATGAAACTTGACATATGGGTAGATGGCAGTCTTGGAATTATGCACGTCTTTTTCTTTTCTTCCTATGTTGAAAATTCTGGTTGCTATGGCAACAAATAGGCTGAAAATATGGCAAATTTTACACATAAACTGGATCCAGTGATAAAGCAAAAAGTACTGGAAATATTTTTATGAAACTTGACATATGGGTAGATGGCAGTCTTGAGATTATGCACATCTTTTATGATCTTCCTATGTTGAAAATTCTGGTTGCTATGGCAACACATATACTGAAAATATGGCAAATTTTACACATAAACTGAATCCAGTGATAACTCAAAAAGTACTTGAAATATTTTTATGAAACTTGACATATGGGTAGATAGCAGTCTTGATATTATGCATGTCTTATCTGTTCTTCCTTTTTTGAAAAAATATCAGTTGCCTTGGCAACAAATAGGCTTAAAACATGGCAAATATAACAATATTTGTGATAAGTCAAAAAGAGCTGAAAATTTTTATGAAATTGCATCTTTAAGTCAAGAGTTATCTCCTATTTAAGAATTTTGCTTTTAAAATGTTATATTTTGGTAACAGGGATGTTTCAAATATTAACTTTAGAGTGTCCTTCAGTCCGTCTGTCTGTCTGTTCATAAAAACTGTTTCCTGTGATCACTTTTAAAGAACTTTTCCAACAAGTTTACTTAAAATAGAGAAAAATTGAAACATAAGTGAATGACCAATGCCCTTCAGAATGTTGATGGGGTTCTAACCGGTAGGGGACTTATGGATTGCTTGCAATACTATGATAATTGCTTGTTAAATATGATGCTGAGGTCAACCATTCATAGGGATTTTACTAAAAAGTTTTCTCAAGTTCCACATTGTACCATAGTTTAGGAGATGTTGTTTGATAATGCTGAACAACAGATTGCCATCATAAAAAAGCTTACTTCATAACACTACGTGCTTAGGTGAGCTAAAATAAACAGTACATATAACATTATAAGACATTTTCTTAACCCAGACATTGAATTCTCCACTTTGTGAGTAATATTGTTTACGTATTAGGTTAATTTCTCAAAATACAGATTTACAGGTTTAGCATTAATTGAACTATTAATTAAAACATTATCTGGACAAACTTTAAGGGCAACCATCTTAGGCCACTCTTAAAAATATATGTTCGCTATTGCCAACCGACTGGCCAAAAATGCTGACTCAAAAGATTTTTTTTACTTAAAAAAGTTTTTTAAATTTCCGCTAGATCAGTCAGGGCACTCGGCCAAAACAATCCCCTGAAAAATAAAATCAGAAGGAAAATCACACATTTAATATGAAAACTAGCGTGTAAAGTGTGATATCGTAAAGATTGATCATTCATGAGGGTATTCCGTGCATAAAATTATGGTGATACTACTTGAAGTATTTACATAAATAGTGACCAACCAGGGTAGGGATTTTCCTTACGTCATGCAGTTACTGCGTGCATGCAGCAATTAACTTATTATAGGACAAATCAAATTGAGGCGTGGAAAATGGATTAAAAATAATGTTTGTTCAACTAATGAATGTTTATAAAGCATTTATATGGTCACTTGTTTACCACGTGATAGTTTTAATACACTTTGGGGTACATGTTTGTTTTGGTTTATGACTGCCGACACAGATAAATTACTTAGCACCTGCAATAAAATATTTCTGGTAGCAATGGGGATTGTGTCATAAAATTGACTAACAAATAAATTATGTTCCGTGAAAATCATATATCATCAACAACAAAAAAAAAGAAAGAAAAAAAAGCCTACCTACACCTTGTAACCCTAGGTCGGCAATAACAAACAGATATATTTTTAAGGGTGGCTTTATTTGTGTCTGATAAGAGTTAATTATTTAACTGCAGTCATTGAACTCTATGGTTGTGTCTATTTTGTTTTATGGTGCTAATATCTTAAAACCTTAATCTTACATTGCAATGCCCTCTTGTGCTAGTACTTTAGTCCTAACTTTTACCTGTATTTGAATATGAAAACAAATGATGAAAGTACTGACAATTACGTGTTAACTGTTACAGACCAATCAGATGAAGAAGATGATGATGAGGAGGAGTCTGATAATGAAGATAATGAAACTGGAGATAATTCAGTCAGTGATAATAACAGTAGAGATAACTGTGGTGAAATACAAACTGAAAATAACACAGAAATAACTAATGAAACAAATAAAAAGACAACTGAACATGTAGATAGCATTGACAGTGAAAGTAATTCTCAAGTAAAGCATATAAATGACAACAATACCTAATAGTAGGAGAATAAAGTGTGAATAAAAGTGAATGTCTGTCGTCTTAGCCAAGTGATACTAGTAAATGTTACTAGTGTATAAATGAATAAAGGGTGGGGGATTATAATTTTCATGCACTTAACAGATCAGCAAGATTTTTTTTCCTGTTTTTTCTTCAGCGAATATCTTTAAAGGATAAAAGTGATTTCATTAAATATTAAGAGTGAATGTAATTTTTTATAAGACTGAACACAATCACATGAAATTGTGATAATTTTGCATGTACATCTTTCATTAATTACTTATCAGGTATACTTATTCCTCTTGCAATATATATGAAGTGCAAATAATCTATATGTTAAAGTAGTTCTTATGATGGTTCATGTTTGTAACATTAATTTTCACTGAACAATCATGTTTTTTATATATTCTATATGCATAGCTGCTGTAATTCTATATATTAATTTTCATTTTGTGTTTTATTATTAATTTTATTTATTACATGCTTTGCTGTGGAAAGTGAAATTATATTTGATATTGTTCGCAGTGAAATTATTTTGATAATTTTCACTGTAGTTGGACTATATTTGAATGCGGATGAAAATAATATTTCATAAGTAAATGGAATTATCAACAGGAATCAATTCCATTGCAGGGCTCGACATTAATGGTTGTCCGACTGCCCGGGACAATGATTGTATGTAAATTTTGCTTCTGCAAGAGAAGCAAGGAAATAACTTTTAAAAATGTATAAAAATTTGAGAAATTTTACAGAACTAAATTTCAACATTGGTGCGGTGACGTCATGAAGAAGAAAGGTGTTATGCAGCAAAACATGTATAAATGACTTAAAATCACTAAAAAAGCATGAAATTAATAGAAATTTTGTTTGTTTTGCATGTATGATTAAAATATATTTCACTCGTGAACACCAGCTTTTATATTTTCAGAAAATTAAAAACAAAAAACAGAAAATATTGCATGTGGTGTACACTCAGTGAAATATATTACATGAAAAACAAACAAATATCCTCTATTTATTATTTTAATTTTATTATGAAAATTTCTGACAGGTTATATGATCATGTATAAATCATTGTTCACAGGATAACCATTGCCTAGCAGTTAGGGTTATATAAGTTTATTTACATTTTTACTGAGTCATATAACAAATAAAAAATCTTTATAACTAAAACTTAAATTTTATAGAAATTTTCCTTGCATAAACATTCCAATTTTATGATTAACCTTTTCCCTTATATAAGCGTGTTTCGACGGCTTTTTGCCCCCCCCCCCCCTTTTGAGGCCTCAAACAGTGAAAAAATGTCCTATTTAGACCCCAAACACTGTTTTTCGTTTGAGAAATGTTGTTAAAAAAAGTGACCATTTTTTCGGCGCCGTCCCCCATCCAAATAATACATCAGGGGGTTGCCAGAAGGGGGATGTGCCCCCTTCTGTTTGGGGGGTTTGAAGGGGGGCGGAGTCCCCCTCTTCGCCAAGAAAATTTTGGACTTGTGAGAGGCTTAAAATGACCCCAGGTTGATCATAAGGTAACGTGTAACCAACGCTGAAAAGCCTTTGACTCTATCTCAATCCCTTGAGAGGTTGCAGCACTTTGAAATAAATTTTGATGGAAAAAATCGAGGCAAAAAAGTGATTTTTGGCAATTTTGAGATGTCCCCTCGTTGCCATGGTAACAGGAAATTTAAGACTGAGCATGTCGTTACAAAGGCAATGGTCCAGTCAACATTTGTGCCAAGTTTGATTAGTATTGAAGCATTTTTCATAGTTTCATAGCAGTTTGAACTTGTAAGAGGAGGCTTTTCAGTGAAAATGGCCATTTTTCACAATATGCTCATGGGGGAAAGGGTTAACTAAAAAAATTATAAATGTTACAAAACAACAATTTTTCACCAAAATTAGGTAAAAGACCACATGTTAACATGGAAAAACTAGATTTTGGGTGATTCCAAGGTTTTTCATCATTTTTTGTTAACTAAAAAAATTATAAATGTTACAAAACAACAATTTTTCACCAAAATTAGGTAAAAGACCACATGTTAACATGGAAAAACTAGATTTTGGGTGATTCCAAGGTTTTTCATCATTTTTTGTTAACCTTTTCCCTTATATAAGCGTGTTTCGACGGCTTTTTGCCCCCCCCCCCCTTTTTGAGGCCTCAAACAGTGAAAAAATGTCCTATTTAGACCCCAAACACTGTTTTTCGTTTGAGAAATGTTGTTAAAAAAAGTGACCATTTTTTCGGCGCCGTCCCCCATCCAAATAATACATCAGGGGGTTGCCAGAAGGGGGATGTGCCCCCTTCTGTTTGGGGGGTTTGAAGGGGGGCGGAGTCCCCCTCTCGCCAAGAAAATTTTGGACTTGTGAGAGGCTTAAAATGACCCCAGGTTGATCATAAGGTAACGTGTAACCAACGCTGAAAAGCCTTTGACTCTATCTCAATCCCTTGAGAAGTTGCAGCACTTTGAAATAAATTTTGATGGAAAAAATCGAGGCAAAAAAGTGATTTTTGGCAATTTTGAGATGTCCCCTCGTTGCCATGGTAACAGGAAATTTAAGACTGAGCATGTCGTTACAAAGGCAATGGTCCAGTCAACATTTGTGCCAAGTTTGATTAGTATTGAAGCATTTTTCATAGTTTCATAGCAGTTTGAACTTGTAAGAGGAGGCTTTTCAGTGAAAATGGCCATTTTTCACAAAATGCTCCTGGGGGAAAGGGTTAACTAAAAAAATTATAAATGTTACAAAACAACAATTTTTCACCAAAATTAGGTAAAAGACCACATGTTAACATGGAAAAACTAGATTTTGGGTGATTCCAAGGTTTTTCATCATTTTTTGTTAACTAAAAAAAATATAAATGTTACAAAACAACAATTTTTCACCAAAATTAGGTAAAAGACCACATGTTAACATGGAAAAACTAGATTTTGGGTGATTCCAAGGTTTTTCATCATTTTTTGTTAACCTTTTCCCTTATATAAGCGTGTTTCGACGGCTTTTTGCCCCCCCCCCCTTTTGAGGCCTCAAACAGTGAAAAAATGTCCTATTTAGACCCCAAACACTGTTTTTCGTTTGAGAAATGTTGTTAAAAAAAGTGACCATTTTTTCGGCGCCGTCCCCCATCCAAATAATACATCAGGGGGTTGCCAGAAGGGGGATGTGCCCCCTTCTGTTTGGGGGGTTTGAAGGGGGGCGGAGTCCCCCTCTTCGCCAAGAAACTTTTGGACTTGTGAGAGGCTTAAAATGACCCCAGGTTGATCATAAGGTAACGTGTAACCAACGCTGAAAAGCCTTTGACTCTATCTCAATCCCTTGAGAAGTTGCAGCACTTTGAAATAAATTTTGATGGAAAAAATCGAGGCAAAAAAGTGATTTTTGGCAATTTTGAGATGTCCCCTCGTTGCCATGGTAACAGGAAATTTAAGACTGAGCATGTCGTTACAAAGGCAATGGTCCAGTCAACATTTGTGCCAAGTTTGATTAGTATTGAAGCATTTTTCATAGTTTCATAGCAGTTTGAACTTGTAAGAGGAGGCTTTTCAGTGAAAATGGCCATTTTTCACAAAATGCTCCTGGGGGAAAGGGTTAACTAAAAAAATTAAAAATGTCACAAAACAACAATTTTTCACCAAAATTATGTGAAAGGCCACATGTTAACATGGAAAAAACTAGATTTTGGGTACTTCCAAGGGTTTTCATCATTTTTAGTTAACTAAAAAAATTAAAAATATCACAAAACAACAATTTTTCAACAAAATTATGTGAAAAGGCCACATGTTAACATGGAAAAACTAGATTTTGGGTACTTCCAAGGGTTTTCATCATTTTTTGTTAACCTTTTCCCTCATATAAGCGTGTTTTGAATACTTTTTGTCCCCCCTCCCTTTTTGAGGCCTCAAATAGTGAAAAAATGCCATTTTTAGACCCCCCAACACGGTTTTTCGTTTCAGAGATGTTCCAATTTTTCGGCGCGGCCTCCCGTTAAAATAATACATCAGGGGGTTGCCAGAAGGGGGATATGCCCCCTTCTGTTTGGGGGGTTTGAAGAGGGGCGGTAGTCCCCTTCATCGCCAAGAAAATTTTGGACATGTGACAGGCTAAAAATGACCTCAGGGCGATCTTAAGGTGACATGTTACCGACGCTGAAAAGCCTTTGACTCTATCTCAATCCCTTGAGAGGTTGCAGCACTTTGAAATAAATTTTGATGGAAAAAATCGAGGCAAAAAAGTGATTTTTGGCAATTTTGAGATGTCCCCTCGTTGCCATGGTAACAGGAAATTTAAGACTGAGCATGTCGTTACAAAGGCAATGGTCCAGTCAACATTTGTGCCAAGTTTGATTAGTATTGAAGCATTTTTCATAGTTTCATAGCAGTTTGAACTTGTAAGAGGAGGCTTTTCAGTGAAAATGGCCATTTTTCACAAAATGCTCATGGGGGAAAGGGTTAAAGTAAGGTTCATGATACCAGCAGCAAAATTGTATGGCAAATATTTGAGAATTTAATGAAGCATTTCTGTGTAGTACTTTAAACATAAGTGTAACATCTTTTTACAGCAATTTTACATAGTTTTTTCTTGTTTATGGAACTAAATGATATTATGGTCATCATCATCATCATCAAAACTGTAAATAACATGTTATTATGATAATAAAGACACTTTACTGTAGTGATGCTTTGATTTCTTTAAATTGAGCAAAGCAAATAGCTGCAACAAATAAGTTATGTGGCTATTTATACTTAACAGAATTTTTACTGATATGTTACCTTAGTGAAAAATTCAAACTGCCAAGCGAACAGTTGATCTAGGGCTTTTTCGAACTGCACCGTCTGAATACCCACTTCTAAATGGACATTATTTTGATAAAATCTTCGAGGCTGCAAACAACTGATCTGTTTCATTCCGCATCTCATAGGATAATGATATTCCACAGAACGGAACAAGAAATTATGACCCACTTCAAAGAAGAGGGGGGGTATATTGCTTTGCATTTGTCTGTCTGTCCGTAGACCAAATGGTTTCCGAGTGATAACTAAAGAACGCTTAGGCCTAGGAACTTCAAACTTGGTATGGTGATTGGTCATGACCAGAAGATGGCCCCTATTGATTTTTTGGGGTCAATGGGTCAAGGTCACATTGACCTTGTAGGTATAAACGGTTTCCGGTCAATAACTAAAGAATGCTTAGGCCTAGGAATTTCAAACTTGGTATGATGATTGGTCATGACCAGCAGATGACCCCTATTGATTTTTGGGTCAAAGGTCAAGGTCACATTGACCTTGTAGGTAAAAACGGTTTCCGGTCAATAACTAAAGAATGCTTAGGCCTAGGAATTTCAAACTTGGTATGATGATTGGTCATGACCAGCAGATGACCCCTATTGATTTTGGGGTCAAAGGTCAAGGTCACATTGACCTTGTAGGTAAAAACGGTTTCCCCTCAATACCTAAAGGACCCTTAGGTCTAGGAACTTCAAACTTGGTGTGATGATTGGTCATGACCAGCAGATGAACCCTATTGATTTTGGGTCAAGGGGTCAAAGTCACATTGACCTTGTAGGTAAAAAAGGTTTCCCATCAATACCTAAAGGACCCTTAGGCCTAGGAACTTCAAACTTGGTATGATGATTGGTCATAACCAGCAGATGAACCCTATTGATTTTGGGGTCAAGGGGTCAAAGGTCAAGGTCACATTGACCTTGTAGGTAAAAACGGTTTATGATTAATAACTAAATAATGCCTAGGCCTAGGAACTTCAAACTTGGTATGATGATTGGAAATGACCAGCAGATGACCCCTATTGATTTTGGGGTCTAAGGTCAAGGTCACATTGACCTTGTCGGTAAAAACGGTTTCCCATCAATACCTAAAGGACGCTTAGGCCTAGGAACTTCAATCTTGGAATGATTATTGTTCATGACCAGCAGATAAACCTTATTGATTTTGGGGTCAAAGGTCAAGGTGACATTGACCTTGTAGGTAAAAACAGTTTCCGCTCAATACCTAAAGGACACATAGGCAAACTTGGTATGATGATTGTTCATGACCAGCAGATGAACCTTATTGATTTTGGGTCAAGGGGTCAAAGTCACATTGATCTTGTATGTAAAAACGGTTACTGATCAATAACTAAAGAACTTTTAGGCCAAGAACTTCAATCATGGTATGGTGATTGTTCATGACCAGCAGATGACCCCTATTGATTTTGGGGTCAAAGGTCAAGGTCATATTGACATTGTAGGTTAAAACAGTTTCCAATCAATAACTAAACAACGTTTAGGCCTAGGAACTTCAAACTTGGAATGATGATTGTTCATGACCAGTAAATGACCCCTATTAATCTTGGGGTCAAAGGTCAAGGTCATATTTATCTTGTTGGTAAAAACAGTTGACGATCAATAACCAGACAACCTATGAGCTATTGGCCCTCAAACTTCGTAGGTGCATTTGATTTGACAATTAGATGACCCCTATTGATTTTGGGGTCAAGGAGTCAAAGGTCAATGTCACCTTGTAGGTGAAAACGGTTTCTGATCAATAACTTGACAAGCACATAGCTGCTGGCCCTCAAACTTTGTAGGTGCATTGGTCTTGGCCAGTAGATGACCCCTATTGATTTTTGGGTCAGGGGGTCAGTGTCATATTGACATTGTACTTAAAGACGGTTTTTGACCAATAACTCAACAACTCAAGTTGCCTTTGTTGATATTTTTATATTAAACTAAAAATGCTTTTCGTATACACGTTTCAAAGGTCTTATGTAGAACCTACATGAAATTATGCATATATTATTTTGTAAGATTTATAATAACTTTGTCATAAAATTGCTGCACAGAACCTATACATTCACAATAATTATTACCTAGGGACTAGTCATGACCAGTAGATAACCCTTATTGATTTTTTGTTCACTAGGTCAAAAGTCAGTCATAATTACCTGATCACAGGACTAATTGGCTGCCGATAGGGGGCATATATGTTTTACAAACATATCTTCTTTATTTTTCTTGTCAACAGAATTTTTCATCCTGGTATATTACAGATACATGCAACCCTTTTTAAAAACTTTGTTCTTAACTTATTCAATCTAGGAAATCCTATCGCCATAAAATTTATTTATTTAAATTTTTCACACTTCTTGCAATAATTTAATATTTGTTATTCATTATGACTGACAAATGAAGCTAAAAAAGAGAGGACAATCAAAATATTTTTTGGCAGAGGGTATCTTTTGGACTGGTGGAAGGAAACTGAATCTACTTGGCAGACATGTTTACCAGAATGAATCAATGTGCAGAGCTGGTTTGACCTTTCTCAGGTTAATGTTGCACATCATTTTGTATCAATTTCAAAATTTTGTTTTTGAACCAATAGAAACTTTTTGGCAGAAATATTACTTATAATGATATCATGTGCAGAACATGGGTTTCTGAGATCAAAATTGGCCCAGCCCCGGGATCATTTGATTTATATAGATTTATAGAGGAAAACACATTTAAGTTTCATTGTCGTAATTGTGTCAAACTACACTTTCTAAAGCTTATACATGTAGATATTAAGCATGCAGCATTGCCTTATTGACCTTTACAAAACTGACTTGAATTATGGCCCATTGGTCTTTGCATGTAGATGACCCCTATTGATTTTGTTGTCAAAAGGTCAAGATATATCTGACCTTCTATGCCAAAATGGTTTCCAAGCAACATCGCATGCAACTTCCAACATGCTGACTAGGGGGCATGCATATTTAACAAACATCTCTTGTTATTTTACTGTCAATTTGATAATGTTTGTCTTGGCCATACTTCACATGGATATTTTGTAAATGACTAAAGATGTCATATTTTGCAAATAAAGTTGAAACCATAAAAAATCAAGTTAATCTTCTTAAATGTTTTCCACCTCCATGAGTAATCTGTAAGTCTCACTAATCATTTTAGATATCTATCACAGTTTAAATTGATATATATTTAAGTGACATATTGTCCACTTTACTAACTATTCCCTAATCCCTAAAATTTTCACTGAGAACAAGAAGGAAATTCAGAATTAGTAAAGTTCCAGAAACTAATTTACAAAAATGATTTATAAATAAAATTCAACCAAGTGATTATTATGATATTATACACATTAAATTTGTCTGTCATCTGTATGTATCTATGTATGCAATTTATGCTTATTTAGGGTCCATTTGACATTTCAGACATAAAAATACTTCATGTTTTATCACTTCTTGACTAAAATAAAACAAATTATGAAACCTTTTGCCTGAACAAACTAAAAGTAAGTTGGCAATAACTTTTATTATTTAATTTTAAAACAGTATTTTCTACTATAAAAACAAAACAGGAATTTAATATCAAGGCTTTGTCTTTATTGATTTGTGTATACATATCTGCTTATTTACAATAATATCTGGTCAACAGAACAATTCACATTCATTGACAATACAAACACATAACAATTTCAACATAAATGTAAGATATTATACAGTATGGTTTTTCTTCTAAATGTTTCATACACAGTTTTTGTTTCTAGCTAGGAACTCCCACAAAATGAGTTAATTACTGTACAGTACAACCCTGCTTTAATGCTAATGTTGGGGTTCAAAGTCTCAAGAGTATCCTAATCACAATTGTTTAGAGTACTTGACAGTCACATGGAACAAGTGTTACAGCGAATTTAATGTACTTATCAATATACATGAATTTTTTTTTAACCAAGGCCATGAGTGTTATACTGAGCATTAGAGCTTTAACAGGGTTGCAATGTATTCATGTAAACATATTTGTTTTAGTAATGCTTACGGTATGTGTTTCATTAACAATCTTAAAACTTTTACATCTAGATAGTGGTGTAACAATACAGTCATGTGATTTATAACAATACAGTCAACCTGTACACATTGCAATACACTCTCTAGAAACTGTTGTGTTTTCATAACTCTCTCAAAACATTGTCCTAAAAAAAGCTGTTTGTACAAGTGATTATAATTCCATGGGTTGGACACCTACAGGATTGGGCATCAGTTCAAATGCAAGACCAGGAAGTTGACCACGTTCTGTAGTAGTGTTGTTTGTGCTTAAATCAGATTTTTCAAAAGTAAATTTTACATTGTCAATTACACATTCTCCTTGTCCAGCTGTTCCGTAATAGGTTGTTGGTCCTTTTACAACTAGTGACATTATATATTTCTTGTCTTTTTTCAGTATTACTTCATCATCAAAAAACACTTTGTAGATTTTTTGTTTGCCATCAGTTTCTACAATGGCTCCTTTGACAGTAACGTTAGCCCTGTATGGTTCTTGTTTCAAGTGCATTCTAATTTCCAAGTTGCCTGGCCCCTGGTTTGACCCATAAATCAGAAACGCTCGTAACTTTATATCATGAGAACAAGAGAATGTAATAGCATCACATTTATCTCTCTTATACCCCCACCCTGACCCTAGGTCAGTAAATCTCTGTACAGTATATATAAATTTTCGCTTATTTGCATTGAAATCTCCATTGTAATCAACTTTCTTTAAGAAATATTTACAAAGTTTCAATTCTTCTTGTTCTGTCAAAAGTCCATGAGGAGTGACTTTGCTTAAAAAATACTCTTGAGACATAAGGGGAAACCTTACGTGTGGTATGACATCTGCTAATAATCTTTTCATATTTTCTGGTGTGATACCTTGATCATTTCTCACACATTTACCTTGTCCAAATTTTATAACGGCATCAAAAATGATCTCTTCATGTACAGGGATACTGTCATCTTTGATTATACTGATAAAACACTCATTGCACAATTCTGCCAGATCGTCAGCTTGGAAAACCCTCTCTGGTTCTTGAACAATCAAATTATGGCATCGAGTCTTCAAATCATTGTTACCATAACAATGGGCATTTTCCATGACAGTACAAACATTCTCTGGTACCATGTGCCTCTTCAACGTGTTCAGGCATTTGTCTATCAAACTCTGCACACAGTATTTTTTAGCCGCATATAGCATGGAAAGAACATTGTCAAGAGTAACTTTAATGTCATCTGTATACAAAAACCTGAAAAAGAAAAGAAAATTCACCATTGATTACTCTATTAATAAAGACTTTTTTTGATGTCTAACACAAATTTTTTGTCATCGTAACTCACACAGAATTATAAATTAGGTCAAAATTAAGTGTCCTGGTTTAAAAATTGGGCAAGTTCATCATCTTTAAAAAGTTCTTCTTTAAATTAAATCACATAATTATCATTGTGACTTCCAAGAATCAAAGTTTATAACTGTATATAAACTAGACATGAATCCATAGAACATGGATGCCCCAGTTCAATTTTTTTTGTTAAATAAGGTACATGTTTGTATTCACTATGGACCAAATATTATGAGACAGAGAACTGAATATATAAATAATAAAACTATTATTATAGTAATAACGATATTGTTTTGAAAATAAGTTGCATGTAAAAACTGTGCTTAAAGTTTGGACTGTTTTTAATCATAAGGTGTTGAAGAAAATTGACTTGGCACAAATTACTAAGTTATGATCTTGTCAAAAAGCAGAGACAGACGGATGGATGGACAATTCAAAAACTAATGGAGGGTGGGGGGGGGGGCATAAAAATACATACTGCAAGAGATCATTGAACTGTTCTGGTGTCATATCTGGGATATCAATTTCTGTCCCTGTGTTCTCGCTCAATGGACCATAAAACATGGCATAGAATACGCAACTCCTACTGCCAAGAACATATTTGTGAGCACGTATCTGTACTGTCTCTCCTCGGACAATATTGAATGTTACATCACATCCAAGCTGTTGGGCCAGCATATGTTTGTTACACTCTATGACAGATCTTCTTGATTGCCAGTCTTCATCAGGATGCAAAACATTTGCCATATTTGAGAACCTGGACTTTATAAAACAAAAAAAAAACTGTTAAAATATTCTTTATAATATGCTGTGACACAATGTAGCTGAAAATGGAACCTGCAAGACCACAGGCGCTAGTCACATAATCAAATATTTAACATAATCGGCATATATATGTATATTTAAACATCTTATTATAGTATTATTATATAGCCCATATAAAACTTTAAAAAGTTTGTTTCAAGCACCTGTGAGCAAGACCAGCAAATATTATACCAGAAAAAACTTTCAACTCTCTTCTTTAAATTTTGTTAATTGTCTTATGATTAAATTCAAATAAACAATCCTCAGTAAATGTTACATAGCATGCAATCTAATAAGTGTGTATCAACAAAACATGTGAAATGTTAACACAGCCAATTATCAGATGGCTGTTTTAGTCACTTTAAGGCCTTTTAACAATCAGCATATGCAAACTGTCAGTGATTTTCCTACTTATAAAAATCTTATTATTAAAATCATGAAGTTTTCCCAAAAATCTTAACTTAAACCAGCTTTTTTACTTCCCAAATCAGCAATTTTAGCAATAATTTTTCTCAAAAATCAAGAGGCTAAGGCCTCTTCCAATAAAGTAAGAAAATTCACTGACTGTAATTTACTGAAATTCTTAAATTAATTTCCATTTATTGGTGAAGTTCATTTAATACCTTGGCAAATGACTTTGTAAATAACAAGGGAGAGTAATTGACTATCTGATGAATTAAATGGTAGCAAGACACTTCACCCCACTGACACTTCACCCCTCAAATTTTGAAGACACTTCACCCCTCAAGACACTTCACCCCTCAAAATCAGTAAGACACTTCACCCCTCATCCATTTTTTTTCTAGAAAGTCTTCTTCTTTAAATTTGAATTGTCTATAAAATTCAAAATAAACAATCTTCAGTAAAAATTACATAGCATGAATCTATAGTTTAACAAAACATGCTGAAATAATTTAAAGCATTATCATGCTTTTTAGTCATTTAAGGCATTTAACAATCAGCATCTATGCAAACTGTCAGTGAATTTTCCTACTGATAAAAAGGCCCTTCAATTGAAATTTCTTAAAACATGAATAAAAATTAACTTACACTTTTTACTTCCATTCAGCAATTTTAGCAATAATTTTTCCAACAACAAACTTCAATAAAGTAGAAATCAGTGATGTGTTACTTATGAAAATTCTTTAAAATGATTTCCTATTGGTGAAGTTCATTAATCTTGAAATGTCTGAAAAAACCAAGGGAGAAGTAATTGAGTAGACAGTGGCTGAAACCCAATATAAATAGGGGAGGGAAAGCAGATTTATGACTTACTACATTATTTCAATGGCAAATTTTGAAATTATGTGAAATGCCAACTGTTGAATGATTAACTTATTGTCAAAAAAATGATATTATATATTATTCATTTCATTATGGGAAATTAAAGAGACAATTATTGAATGTACAAAAAAATTAAAAAAAAAAAAAAGAGACAATTTCATGCAATAACATAAAAAAATAATTCAAGGCCTGGAACAAAAAACAACAACAACAATTTTCTTAATGCTGTAGTACTCTCCGATTGTAATAAAAATATAATGATATTGATAAGACTTCATTTTAATGTTTTACGTGACATTGTGTAGATCAATCATCTACTGTACTGTACATGTATGTAAACTGACTACTGTACTGTAGTACGTAACAGCTTAAAACATAAAAATAGATAAGATGTGAAAAATAAATTAGCAATCATATACTTTTAGAACACTCGGTCTTAATTAATATAAATTCATGTCAATTTACCTTTTAGTCAGCTATTATAGTCCTGTACTAAGGAAGATTATAATACCATGTGTTTACATTCTTATATATATTGTGGTCTAAATTTAGTGTAGGAAAACCCCAACTGTTACTAAAAATGGCTACAGCAATAAAGTATCCCTAAATATTCTAAAAATAGATCCGTGTGATCGAAATGAAAAGTTGAAACAATTTCCTTAATATTAATTAATCTACGACGTGTACAAAGTGAACTTTGAATGCTGCAGGTAATATAAGATTTTACACTTATATCCATTGTGTCTATTTTCTTGATTTCGAATAGCATACGGTAAAGATTAAGGGAAGAAATGTTGTAGTAGTTCCAATCGCACCGATATCAATTCGTACCAGATCTATTTTAGATCTATATTTATTTTTGTAAGGCCATATTTCCATTAAAGGTTTGATCCCTTACTACACTGTAACTTGTAAATTAAAGTTTTATGTATAAAGTATAAGATTTTCTTTTGGAGCTGGGATTCTAGTATAATTATCTTCCTACATTTCAATTTAATTAACAATTTAATATACATGTATATCAATGGGAGAGTGCACTGTATGATTATTAGTAGTTTGTCATGAAATGTCAATATTTTAATGCTAGAAATATAGGAGCAAGACAGAATGTGATGATATTTTTGAATTTGGTACACTTTTGTAAACTTTTTAATGTGTGACAAATAATATTCTTGTTACAAAAACTGCCCAACTTTGGGGCCCAAAACGTCCTTTTTACTAAACTACCATAAGTTAGAATTGTCTACACCAGATACCACTTAAACATTAACAAAAGATGGATCAAGCATATAAAATGTAAAAATAAATGATTGCTGCTGATTTTCCTGCTGTCTGTTTGTCAAATGTTTTGTTTTTTTCACATAAAAATTTAAGTGAAGTGTTGACTATACCTACTGTTGGGGGGGGGGGGGGGGGGGAAAGAGTATAAGACCATATGTTTTAGATACCTCAGAATGGACTTTGAAGAAGTACCAAATTCTATTTCCATAGGTAAGTCTTGTAGTCTTACGTAAAGTCTTTGAACCTAAATTTGTTTAGGTGGGTTACTAGTCCAACTAATTAGACTTGTCAAAGAGCTAGAGATGATTTTGAACAGGCACTGTCTTTTTCCAACAGTTTTTGACAGTAAGAAAAAGAAAGTCAGTAGAATGGGTCAAATATTTCACGCCAAATTAATTAGGCTAGTGGGTTTAACCGGTTAATATTTTAAGATATATATACAAAAAGGTAATTAAATTATTGCAAAATATATGTAATTTTAATAGTGTCAGAGTTTTGAACTTACAAAATATCTCGGTCAATATCCATGACTCAGAACTATGTTGTGTCACGGATTTATATTACATAAATATAAATCCGTGGTTGTGTATTTCAAATAAAATCTACCACTGTTAATTTGTACAATATCCAGGCAATTGTTTTACTATAAGCACTGAGAGTGAGAATTAATGGTTGAGCGTGCTGTACGTCTTATTGGCAGCTCTTGTTATTTATATACATGTAAGCAGTATTTATTTCAAATTTTCATCTTGTAGGATGAGTTCAATGCCTTCATTATTTAATGATTGGCAATCAAGGATGCCATACCCAAAGAGCATCTGGTTCCTGTGCCAGAATCAGATAGGCTGTGATGTTGTGTTTGAGGTTGGACCAGACTTGGAGAGGACTGGAGCTCATTCAACTGTACTCATGGGTAGAAGCTCTGTATTCTTTGGAGAATTTGCAGCTGGGGTACCAGACAAAGAAATCCAGTTGCCTGAATTTCAGCCTGAGGAATTTTCATGTTTCTTGGAGTAAGTTTGAGCAATTTTATAGTTTGTCTTGAAACATGTCTACAATTTTACTATGTATGTTTAAGGTGAGATGGTACAGAATTTTACAAGTACAGATACATGTACTTGCTGAAATAAAATAAAGGTGAGGGCTATGTTTGTTTTGCAGGAGCTCTAGAAAAAATATATCTCTTTTTCAGGCATTATACCAACATCCTTCTAAAATACTTTGGTTGAGTGAATAAAAATGTATATGTATACTTCATTTAATAGTTTAATATGTATCTGAATGTAACAGCAATCATATTATGTAGGAGAGAATAAAAGAACTTGTTCTAGTTTAATTTATGTGTCATATTTTTATTTAGTAACTTCAGAAAATATAGATAGCCTCTTTTTATGTCATTATTTGGTAATAAATAGTATGTTGTTTTTTGTTTCAGGTATTTATATACCGGTGAACTTAAGGTGACGGGGGTAAGTAATATGCAGATACTTGCCCTGGCAGAGAAATACAAAGTACAGGAATTGATAAAATCATTGGTAGCCATTCAGCTAGACGACATGACTGTGGATGCTTTTTGTCCTTTTGTTAGACAGAATGAGAAACATATGACAAATTTGATTAAATTTAAATGCCTGGAATATGCATTTAAGAATGCTGAAGCAGTTTTTCAGAGTGCTACATTTCAGACATTGCCCTTCACATTCCTCGAAGAACTTTTAGCTCATGAAAGGCTTGTATTGAATGAGGAAACTATCTGTACAGCTGTACTAAAGTGGGCTTCAAAGGAGTGTGAGATGAAAAGATTGGATGTTAATGGACAAAACCAGAGAGCAATTCTCGGTAATGCCATGTTCGATATAAGGTTTCCTCTACTCAGTCAAGATTATTTCACTGAAAATATATCCGAGACTGGATTGCTAACAGATACAGAAGAGGTTCATATTTTGAAATTTTTTCTCAATCCAAAGAAAGCTGTTGGTATTACCTTTAAAACAACGCCACGTGAAGCTCCAAGTAGTCCCTTTAAGTATTCACCAACCACTGAAACACCTATGGACGTTTCCGGTTTACTGGATCCAGATATGCCTATAGTACATCCACTGACCTCCGCCAAGCTGGGATATGTCGAACGTTTTACTGATTTCGGGCTTGGATGGGGTTACCGTGGTGGCAAGAAAGATGCTATAATACTTGTACCAAGCAAAGATATTCAATTAGACTTTGTCTACATTTATGGTAACTGTAAACAAGATGGCAATATGGATGTTTTGCTTGAAATTGTGGATGACAAAGACTTTACTATATCCTCCACAGAGGCAAAGATTGCTTGTACAACTACTAAACAAACATATGAACTGGGAGTCGAGAATGAAAATGGTTCTTATGGTGTGAAGTTAAATGCTAATGTTGAATATCATTTAGTTTTCACTATAAAGGCAGATAATGGTTATTATGGAAAAGGTGGTAAATCTAAATGTTCTGCAGAAGGGGTTGATTTCGAGTTTAAAACTAGTAGATTTTCTTCAAATAACACAAGTGTTTCTATTGGTCAATTAGCCGGGTTTAAATTTGCAGTCTGTTGAACATTATTTCATATGCTGCTTTAATAGGGACATAACCCATGGCCCATGATTTTATTCTGTTGTAATGATAGAAGATATTTGTCTTGTTTTGAAGTTGTCAGAACTTTGTAGCTAACAGTATAGACTCAGATTAGACTACACTTATGTATAGGCTGGTCTGGCTTTATACTGCTGGCATTGATGTGTATGATGTATTCAGAAAGTTAGGCTGTAAAAGATTTTGATAGAATATTATGGTGATGAACTTATTTTATATGACAAGAAACAGTATAGACTGATACAATAGAATTAAATGATTAAGCTTGACTTACGTGCAAGATGAAGGTTAATCATTATTTCATAACAGAAGAGAAAACAAGCATCTTGGATTTGGAATGCCTCGTTTTACTGGAGGTAAGAAAAAAGAAAGTCTGGAAGAGACACTGCACAATTCATAGTCTGATGAACTTTACCATTAGGTTTAAGCAACTTTCCCACACATGGTGATTTGAATGCATCTGAAAGTGTCATCAAAAGAATAAATTACACCACAGTCTCGTGTATGTATCATAGTACCTCAAAAATAGACGCATAATGGAAAATAAGGGCATATCGCTAATACATGTAATAATATAATTGCATTTAATTTCTTTAAGATAAATCTGCATCCAAAAGTAAGTGCAAATCTTTTTCTTGCAAGAAACTTGTTTCTGAAAAGAAGCACATAATGGGTATTCTTTTCTAACTGACAGATTTAAGATGTTACACACATGTCTGCATGGATCTTCTGTCAAAATTTTCATGTCAAGTGTTTTTAAGTAGATATAAGTTTTGATAAATGAAAATTTCCATGTCTAATAAGGTTCTGTTGTTCTGTTAGAGCTTTAAATTATTCTAAGAAAATGTTCATACATATTTATTCATTTGTTTTGATTTGAAATTATTTATTTAAGATTATTGTTAGTTTTTACAGGTATTAACTGTATTGAAAACAATGCTAATTATTCTATGCAAATGTGTATATAATGTTCATTTATCAGCATTAACCTGTCTGAATTTCACTAATTTATGCGGATAAATACTAATGACTCGGGGGTATACATACATGTATTATACCTGGTTTAATTTCTAGTTGATATTCTTCTGTTCACTGAAAAAAGGAGGGTACAAAGTCTCATTCTATTAGTGCTCATGTTCTTCACTAAATATCCTATAAACATATTTATGGTTCTACAGTATTTACATTAAACTAGATGATTGATAAATACCTGCTTATCAAAATTTCAGCACTTTTACCTGTCATAATTTCAAACCCTCACAGTGTTTGATCGTGTAACATTAATTGGCAGCTAGAAAGTGCTGCAGCCCTTATCACAATAAATCTTACCACAAATTTCGATTTTAGGAGAAATCTTAGTATGTTAAATTTCCTTTTTACAAAATGCCCGAAATAATTTCGGGCATATTATGTTATACCCCCTGGAGTCTGTCCGTCCGTCCGTCTGTCTGTCCGTCCGTTAGCAATTTGGTTTCCGGAGCATAACTTAAGTTCCATTTGGCCCACAGTATTCAAACTTCATAGGATGATTGTCCATATCGGGTAGAAGACCCCTATTGATTTTGGGGTCACAAGGTCAAAGGTCAAGGTCACTATTACTTAGAAATTGAAAACAGTTTCTTTAGCATAACTTAAGTTCAATTTGGCCCACAATATTCAAACTTCATAGGATGATTGTCCATATTAGGTAGAAGACTCCTATTGATTTTGGGGTCACAAGGTCAAAGGTCAAGGTCACTATGACCTTAAAACTGAAAACAGTTGTCGGAACATGACTTAAGTTTCATTTGGCCCACTGTGTTTAAACTTCATAGTATGATTGTCCATATTGGGTAGAAGACCCCTATTGATTTTGGGGTCACAAGGTCAAAGGTCAAGGTCACTATTACCTTAGAACTGAAAACAGTTTCCGGGGCATAACTTAAGTTCCATTTGGACCACAATATTGAAACTTCAAAGGAGGATTGTTTTGTGAAGGAGGTAATACTTTATTTAATTCCCATGTCTTACAAATGCTTTATCTTTACTAAAAAAAAAACACTTTCAGGCATATAATGCTCCGCCTAGCGGTGCTCTTGTTACAAAATATCTTAAGAAAATCTGAAGTGCAAAAACTGGGAGGACAAATATATATGCAAACATTATGTTGAAAATATCACAAATTTAATTAGAATTATTTTCAACATAAATATTGTGACGTCATGTTTTGATGTCGTCATCATTGAGAGTGCTATAAATACCTTGGCTTGTTTTGAGTATACGCAAAGTTCAGTTCTTTGGTCAAAGGGTTGCTATTAACAGGGATTCAGGGGAAATGTAACCGATGAAATATCGTTTGAATATGATAATATTATGTTTATCTATAGTCAAGTATTGAATGTAAAAGATATTTCCATGAAATCTTAAGTGAACAGTGCTTTAAATAATTAAAAAGTTTTTCACCATAGGAAAACAAAACATAGCCAGATATCTCTATTGTAATCAAAATGTATAACATTTTTTTCTTTTTCTTATTTCAACATACCTGAACATGAGATATCAAGGAAAAAGGAAAATATCACTTTAAAATGATCTGTTTGACTATAAAACTAACACAACAGATTAAAATGATTTAGTGTAACAATAACTGCAGCACACTTAAAATTTAGTATCACTCAAAAATTTACGTCCTTTCAAATAATACTTTTATACCTGCACATTATGTCAATATTAGAGAATAAAATTTTGTTTTTAACAATTTTTCTTCAATTTTACTCTTTCAAATTTCATAAATTTGACAAGCATAGAAATGTTTTTGGTACATGAGATGGTGTAAAAATGATGACTGGTGGGTTCCACTCTGTTACACTTGAGCAAAGTCCAAGAAAACAAGATGGCATTAGTTGATGAAAAAATAGATAAATAGCTTAAGATTTTGTATGGATGTAAAAATATTTACAAAATGAACAGAATAATTATGATTTATTTAAACAAAGAAAGGAAACATAAATATATATGTAAAAAGTTCAAAAGCTAACAGATGTTTCTTATCTTAAGATTTATCATAAATGAATGTTTTAAGATGAAATTTTAACTTTCTAGTAGCTATGTGAAAATGATTTAAGATTTGACTTAATTATCGTAAGTCAATAACTGAAGATAAATTGTAAGATGTTTTGTAAAAATGTCTTCCGAATAAAGTTTCCCAGCAGTTTATTGTCCAAATATATTCCTATATTATACATTTCAGTGTTAAAGATTAGAAAAGTTTTTATGTTCTAAAAAACCTTGTGTGGGTCAGTTGTGTTTTAAAACTTATCATTTTTCATTGCCATTATAATTATATACATGTATATAAAAATATATTGTGCATTAAAAACATTTTCAACCATTTTATTGTATGTTAATATTTTTAGCTCATGTGAGCACTCAAAGGCCAACATTTTTATCCTCTTATACATTTTGTTTATCCCCTGCTGCTAAAGAAGGAAAGAAGATATTGAAATTGCATTGTCTGTCCTCAAATAAGAATCAGTTTGATCAATTTCTCTGGAACTTGGCTGGAGATATTTACACTAGTACATGTATATGGAAATCAGGCTTAGGGAGTGCCATCAAAGCCCAACCATGAGTTTTTATGTTATTGCCCTTTACTACTAAAAAAAGGATCTTTCCTAAAAGGAATGTAGACATTGTTGCATTGGCTCAAACAACAGGGTAGATGATGTAATGATTGGAGGAAGGTCTTACTGTAATTTTCTCACGAAACATTTTAGCACAATGCAAAGTAGATGCTTATTTATCCACTGACCACTTTACACATTTATCATGTGGTTGGTTACATTGTGATGAGTTGAGGTATTTTGTTAATTTGATCTGCTAAATTGAAATATTGGAAAGGAGATCTTGAATGTAAGATTGAACTTGAAAGATGAAAATAATGAAATTGTGAAAAATAACCTAGGTAAAGCTGAACTTTTGAGCCAGGAGGTAACTTACCAAATTTTGACTTGAAATATCAAGGTAGACCTATTTCTGAACTTGTAGTTGATAAAGACACTTCGTTATCTTAATGTTTCCAAATCCATGGGCAGTGACAGTCTTCATACTTATTTATTACGAGAATCTGCAGCTGTTTTATGTGATCCTCTATGTAAGATAATGAATAAAACCTTTAAGAATGGTGATCTACCAGATGCTTGGAAAGAAGCTAATGTTAAAGCTTTGTATAAAAACAAGGGTGATAAATGTGACCCTTCAAATTATTGCCCCATCTCTCTTACTTCAATAACTTGTAAAATATGTGAAAAAAACTGTTTGCGACACCTTAATGCAACATAAGAATATAAATAACCTTTTCTCGGATGATCAGTATGGCTTTAGAAACAAAAGGAACAGTATTCTTCAACTTCTGACTGTTTTATAAGATTGGACTAAAGCTTTTGATGAAAGTTGTCAAGCTAAGACTCAATTTATTTGGACATTATAAAAAAAGCTTTTGATACTATACCTCTCAATTGTTTACTTTTGAAGTTAAAGAACAGTCCCATACAGAATTGTCTCACTAATAGAGACAGAGGGTTTGTGTTGAAGAAGTTTTTCTACTTGGTCTAATATCACATCAGGAGTTCCCCAAGGTTCATTCTTTGGTTCGATTTTATTTATCATTTAGATAAATGACTTCCCTGATGTTATTCAATCTACATGTAAATTATTTTCTGATGATAGCAAATTATACAGGAAGATTTATTCTCAAAATGATCAGTTGTTACTTCAACAAGACCAACTACGTTTATGTGACTGGTCAGCTGACTGGCTGCTTCAATTTTCTATTCCAAAATGTAAATAAATGCAGATTGGTAACATCAAGCTTCCATATGTCTACAAAATGAAAGACTCGACCAGTCAAAATATTTCTTGACCTAAAGTTGATAGCGAGAAAGATCTCGGCATCACATTCCAAGATAATCTTAAATTTGATCAACATGTTTTAAATACCGTAAACCATACAAACAAATTAACAGGTTTAATAAAGAGAAATGGTGTTAAAAAAGAGATCACTTTTTCAGCGCCATCCCCTATCAAATAGATACATCAAGGGGGTGCCAGAGGGGGGATGTGCCCCCTTCTGCTTGGGGGTTTCTCCAAGAACGTTTTGGACTTGTGTGAGGCTAAAAATGGCCTTAGGTCGACCTTAAGGTAAAGTGTAACCAAGGCTGAAAAGTCTTTGACTCTATCTCAATCCATTATTAAGTTGCAGCACATTAAAATCAGTTTTAATGAAAAAATCAATGCAAAATAGTAATTTTTGGTAATTTTGAGAATGTCCCATTGTTTCCATAACAGGAAGATTGAGTATTCTGTTACAAAGGCTATGGTCCAGTTAACATTTGTGCCAAGTTTGATTAGTATTGAAGCCTTTTTTATAGTTTCATAGCAGTTTGATAGCAGTATGTTAATTTTGTGTGACTTTAAAGTTCTGGCCCTATATATAACTTAGAAATACATTATATATGCAAAGCCATTATTTAGCTTCAGTCATATAGTATTTCTACTGTCCGTCTGTCAGCCACATCAATGTGCATGCAACAATTTGAAGTTGAATTTACCAAACAGGAATTCACCATGACGAGATGATGTGCAGAGTGTGATTTTGGCTTTCTCAGGTCAAAGAAAAATAATAAACATGAATTCCAAACTCTTTTAGACTGATAAATGGAGATTATATTTTCATTTAATAAGGATAAACTGTTTATTAAAATATTCATAATTATTATCTTACAGGACAGGTCAGCTCTTGTTCTTTCAGGAAACATTGCTCTGACCAGTTTACCTCTTACCAAATCGTTCAGAGTTTTATCTATCATTAGTCCTTTTACTCCCTTCTTATAGACAGAAGTTACCTATGAATAACTAGCATCAGTTGAAGAATTCATATCTGATAAAATTAGGACACCTCATAGTTAACCAAATTGTTTCATTTCAACAGTGAAGGTACCATCACATTTATGTGATCTCCTGTGTACTGTACTAACTGAAATTTTATAACAAATGTCTTTATAAATGCTCTTAGATTTTATTCAATATATTATTATAAAAAAGACAAAACAATCACATTTAGATATGTGGATTTATCACAGAGTACATCATGTAAACAGTCAACATAAAACAGTAAAATACCACTATCATTCATAACAAGAGGGCCTTTATTGGCCCTTAATCGCTTTCCTGGGGATACTGAATTTCATTATAAGCTTACTCTTCATCAAAATCTGTCAAATGGCTGAGAAAGATTTGTCATTTAAGTCCATTTTTCTACTCAGTCATATTGTGCAGTAGATTATTATGATTTTAACAATTTTTGTAAAGGATCACCCATGGATATTTCTTGAGGCAGAAATATTATTTAAAGCTTATGTCAGTCATACCTCTTGTTCTCCATAATGACATTATTTAAATAATTTTTTTTTTGTGAAAGACCACCAAGTGATTATGTTTCGTTTAGATTTTCATCAATAAGTAGATATTGTTTTAAAGCTTATTTCAATTTCAAGCTATGGCAGTCATTTTTTAAGCAGACTTGAAGAATTTTAGCAATTTTTGTAAAAGAACCACCAAATTCGTAGAGTGCCATCCAGGCATCATCCTGTATAGGCAAAGCATTTAGAAGATGTTTGAAATAAAATGTTGACAACAGACACAGGACGATCACAAAGGCTCATCTTGAGCACATTACGCTCAGGTGAGCTATAAATAAAACAATACAATCTTAAAAAACATCTAAAAATGTCAGATGATAAATATAAAACTGTGTCACTAGAATTTGAATATACATTTATGTAACAGTCACTAGAATTTGAATATAACAAAGTCACTAGAATTTGAATGTAACAAAGTCACTAGAATTTGAATGTAACAAACACTTGTTCATTTTTATTATGATATTATAATTCTTTAATGTTATTTCAAATAAATTGGCCTTAATTAATGGCACATCCATGATAAGAGCTCTTTTTTTACTTTAAACCATGGTAATTAAAAAAAAGTTGTACTGTTATATAATAAATTGTCAGAAATTGTTATCATGTGACCATTAGGTAGCAAATAAAACAAAATGAAAAGTATTATCATATAGTATAATAAAGCATAAGAAATATTATTATACTTTCATGGTAAACTTGTAAACATCATAAAACAAAAAATGCTCATTAATGAATATACATGTATTCTTATGTAAAAATCAAACATCATCTTGTGACACAATTAGACCATAACAAAAATATACTAGTACATGCTTATGGAGGGTTCATCATATTTGATTAATATCAAAGTTGAGTTAAAACTCTCAGGTAAAAGAAATACTCTTTACTTGTACCAATTATATACATTGTAATTGATATATCACAGGCAATAATAAACCGCAGAGTTTGGCAAATTGCTTGGCACAATTTTTTTTCTTTTCTATTCTAGATTTTTTCACAAACTTATAGGGAGAGAGATTTCAAGAACATACTATCAGTGCTTCTGTCCAGTCAATGAAATACAAAATTATTAGATCATTTATATAAACACTGGAAAATAATCTATCTTTAATTAGATATATACAATTTGAAAATAGTCATGCATATTGAATGATACCCCTAGAAATGAAAGTGTTGTATGCAAGTCATTTAACACTCCTTGACCTTTAACTTTCCGCCTCAGTTTCCTGTTGTAAAAGGTTCTCCCCGCTATTTTCCTTCTCACTCTCTGGTGGAAGAATATCTGCATTATTTTCCCGCATTTTCAGTGTATGCTCTATAAGAGACAGACAGACGAACACCCAATTGTACATGTGTTGTGCTGGTACAGAGCTGTGTTTAGCTACCTCCCCATGAGGGACATCCTTGAGGTATTTCTCAATTTTTTCAGGCTGAATAAGATCTTGACCAGCCGTCGGGTCATAGGTAGCAAGTTTCTGTAGAAGCTCATTGTTGATTTGCTGAAAAAGTATGATAAATAAACATAAGTTCTAACATATAGTAAATTCATAAACCACTTCTGTGCCAGCAGTAAAAACCTATATCAGTTTGTATTGACTTGAATGGTGTCAGAAAAAGTTAAAGACGAATGGTGTCAGAAACTGATAAAAACAAGAGCCGGTTGAACCGGGTGATGCTCCCCGAATAGGTTTTGGACACAGGAAGGTATACCTCTTGTAGTGTCAGAGTTATGTCACAGACAAAGTTCAAAGTGTAAAAACAACCTAAATGTTGCCCGCGACACGTGTATTGACTTGAATGGTGTCAGAAACTGATAAAAAAAACTTCCAAAAATCCCTACTTTTTTGAGAGATAAAAATGAGTCTCTGTTAATATTCTCTAAGTTGCATGGAAAATTTAGAAAACTAAAAAAATAATTTACCCCTTTCATTTGTTGCCAGTCATCATAAAGCCCTTGTTCTGTCTCCTCAAAGTCAAATATAGCCTTCACTGACTTGAGTATATCATGTACAATTCTTGGAGGATCATTATAGCTACGAAGCTCAGCAAATGCCTTTGTGTCCAGTTTGTTGACATTTTCTCTCAATTCCATCAACATCAGACGATCAAACATAATGTCCATCCTCGATTCCTCATTCTGCTCAGCCTCTGTTTCATAAACATTTTAAAACCAATTAAGATATCAATCATCTAGTTTCTATCTTATTATTAATGTCTCTTTAGGAAATTCAAAGACATCATAATTCCAATGATTTGACATTTTGGTTAGAATACCAGCCAAACAATGATGTCTATCTTTCTGTTAGAATTTGGTTAACTGTATGTGTGTGTGTGGAAACACAAAATTAAAATTCTATTTAATACAGGGAAATAAAAATATAACTGATGTTCAGAACAAATATGTATATACAGTGAAACAGTGGCATATTATAAGAATGGCTGCTAAAATACATGTATAATGGCTGAGTAATCTTCATGGAAAGTGCTGAATATGTATGCCGCAGTTGGACTCAAAGAATGTTATTTTTTTATTGAAAACAATTCAAATGATAATGTGACTTTGCCATCATTAAAATACTGACCTAGGACAACATTTTTCTCCTCTCCAGCCATTTCCTTAGTGATTTCCTTGTGAGCCATCTGCAGCAGACGCAACATTCTCTGAACTTCCCGGTTCTCATGACTTGGCAGTTGTTTCATCTCTCCAATACTAATGTCTAGTATAGCTGATGCCCGGCCTTGATCATCTCTCAATGGGAACGCCAGGTGGCGCTCTCCATATGCGTCTGCTGATACACTCTCAGAATTGTCAACTGCTTTAAACAAATAGTCTCTGAAAGGTGAATAACACTCATACATTATCATTGAATACAAAAAATTCAAAAATAAAAACATTAACCATATCTTGATATTATTTGTCTTTAATCAAGTCCAATTTCCAATATTGTCAACAAACATTCAGATGGTAGTTGAACCTTCTCTGTCCTTAAAAAATCAGGGACATTCACATATCAATATAACACAAGGTAGTAAGGACATAATCAATTTTAAGTCTCTACAAAGTTATATAACAATTTGGTAACAATCGGTTTACACTCATGTGAACATGTTATAAGACATTCATTCAGCACAATGTTGAATTCCATTTAAATATATTGTAAATGATCCCGTGCCTTCATTAATGTATTTTAAAATTATACATATTTTGTAAATGATGCTATAATTACCGGAAGAGGTTATCTTTCCTCTCGAGACGTGGAGGGTTCTGCATGTTCTGGATGCTTCCTCTCTTATCTGTCATCATCATTTTTCTCAGTACAAAGTCTTTGCTCTCCTCATCTGGTTCCACAATGTATGCAACAACTTCCTTCACATGTGGACTACGACGATGGATCCAGGACACCGCACTTTCTGTGATACGCAACAGTTTTTTGCGCATGTCAATTGCATGGTAGGCAATGCTAAATGATTTTGCCACACCCTAAAATGAAATACATATAACTTTAAACTTGGATAAAGCACATGATCTGCCCTTTGATTTATTTTATCATTTTATTACTTAATTTCTGATTTATTTTAAGGGGAATTGTTTATTTTTTTTTGTGAATTCATCAATAAAGAATTATTACTCTAACAATGCCACTAGAGTAGCCCAAATACTCCAAACATTCCTCTTTGTGGTTTAAGAAGAGATAATTTGTTTTTAAACAAAAGTTGACAATGTAAAACTAAACAATATTTAAGCAGGAATGAAGATTGAATATTACCTGGAAGAACTGAATCTCGTGTGTGATGAAGATACTCTTTGTATGATGATCACTGAGTGTGTCTATACCCAGGAGACCAAATACACGCTTACGTCGGTCCTTAAGAGGAATTACAATGAACGACCCCTCACGCTCCTGTTGGAATATTGAATATATTTTAATTACTACAAATATACTTGATATATTGATAAAACAATCAGTAAGAGTTTTAAGATTTAGGCTTCTAATTTTAAATCTATGCCATGGATATAGAGAAAGGCATTCAGACTCGGGTCTTATATTGTCAACTTCTCAACTCTAGTATTGTAAACTCTCTTTAAACAACATTTCCACATATAAAGCAGGGAAAATCCATTACACAAAGTGTTAAGATACAGGTTTAGTTCATCTATAAACTAGTTTAAATACATTTCTAAAGCAAAATTTGTTTTGCAAAATTTTAAAAAGTTTTAAGGAGTATTTAAGTTTCTAATCATAATGATGATGTATTGAAATGACATAAAAATGTTGAAATATGCTGAATGTACACAAGCATTATTATGATGTATGCATTATTTTATGTAAAATGTAACATTTATACTCACGTCTGGTTTTCTGTATGGGTTCCAGAACATGATGTTCCCATGATTAGCTACTCTTGGTACATGAATTGGTTTGCCAGTCTCGACTGCTGAGAAACTTGTTTAAAATAAATGAAACATTTAAATTTAACTATAAGAAACATGTTACAAACTTTGTTTTAACATTTCAGCTGATATAGTTTGTAAAGTGAACAGAAATATTTTTTATCTGACACATGTTTTTTATGAGTAATTGTTAATTATATTCAATATTTAGTATATATTGGTATATATTTCATTTTCTCAGATACAAAACATTCATGGATCAAATTAGTCTAAAAATTCTTTTGATGATATTTCAAAAAGATTTTTTAAATTTTCCCACCGTCTCTGGTTTTAAGATATTGTCATATTGCTAGACTACAAAGAAAGTTAGTCAATTTGTATCATTCATTATTCAATGATTTAACTAAACATCTCTAAAATTTCTGTTTGAGGGACATGCTTTGACAAAGCAAAATCCTATATGCGTGTAAGGAGTGAGTGGGTGACGTGTTTGAAGATCTAATGTTGGCTGACCAGTATAATGAGTTGCAAATGACCAGAAATCAGTTCTGATATTGACACAATGAAATAACTAAACTAAAACAAAATTTATGACACTGGTTGAATAACACTGACATTGTTTACTGTAAGAGGACAACACCACTGACCTTCAACAACCTCAGATGACTGTGATTCACAGCTGAAATCAAAACTGAAAATAAAAGTCATTAATACCTAATTCCCATCATATCCTTGTACAGAATCTTTCCAAGCAGAAAGTCGGCATCTTCAGTTGTAGCAGCTACATATCGTAAAACAACGTCACCTCGTGTACGATCTGTAGTATTACGTTCCAACATGGAGATGTTGGCACTGATGTTCTTACCACCACCATGAGCTTCGGCATCCTGGATAATAAACATTGATATTACACAAATAGTTTAAATAATGACAATATATTTAGACATGCCTATATAATAGTCTCTAAATAATGACAATGTTCATACATGGCAATATGATGGTCTCTTAATCATGAATGACTAAATCAGACATGGCTTGCTTAACTAATTCAGACATGGCTATATGATACAATGTCGTACCTAAATCATGACATTATTCAGACTAGGATAATTTAATTGAGATATAAAATAAGAACAACCTATAAATTGTAGTCTTACCTTATACAATGCCTGGAACACAGCTTTATAGACAGGTTCAATGGAGGCCCCACCAGTGTCGGCTGCTGTGATAATGTATTGTAACCACTTCTTACGGGCTTCGCCTCGAATACGCTCAGCATATGTGCGCTGTAATCATAAATTATAAAATATATAGTATAATAACTGTCAAATGTCCTGCTAAACTTTGCTTTCATAAACCTAAGCAAGAGAAAGAATGGATATTAGTCTTTTATATGATTGATTATCTGAATCAATGTAATTAAAAACAACATAATCCTTCATTTTTATGAAATTATATAATGAAAAATCAGTCACTTTCAGAAAAATAAAAAAGTTAAATGTACTTAAATATTTCAATATGATATAGGTTAATTATAAAACAAAAAGAAAATTTATTTTAGTATTTTGTTCATAAAATGCATGCAAAAACAAAAAGTTCAATTTTATTTTATATTTTGTATTTTCAAGACAAATCATGCACTTAGTAAATTCAGTACAATATCATGCTGTCTTTGTTTATCAATTTAAATAATTGGTTATGGATTATAATTCTGTTTAAAACAACATCACAAGCAAATACCATGCAATTATTTAACACAAGTTTGTTGTAATTACACAATAAATAAAATTTTTGGTACCAAATTGTTGATATTTGCATTAAATAAAAAAAGATGTTTAGTTTGCACTGAACCTGCACTGATCTTAAATCTATGTATCAGTACTATCTGTAGCCATTAATTCATTGCCTAACCTATAATATAGCTATGCATTAATAGGTTGCAACCTCAGTCACAGGATGGACAAACATTTACTTTATTCCACGGTAAAAGACACTTAGTATTTCATTACGATTTATATTGGCAACTTTTACATGAATTCAATAAAACAGCTTATGTTATATCTTAGTTAGAACTGAAGTTTAAATAATGGCCATCAATGAAAACTTAACCAAAAAGGTTAACCAATGACAACATCGACACAGAAGCAGACCATTGGACCATGACAATAGCTCTGTTTCCTCCTAGAAAAGTGGTACCCAAGATGGTCTTTTAAAAAAAATGGATACCTTATGACTTACATTATGATTAACTGAAATGATAATGAATATTTGAGACAATAAAGTTTAAAATTCAATCAAAATTTTAAGCACACCAAAATGAACATCAAATATCAATGCTATATTTAGCACACACAGCAACCTATCAGATATTTTATATTTATAGCTCACACGTAACACATCGTTATCTATCATCAATTTCAGCTGAAATAATTAAATAACAAATGTCATAATTAAAGTTTGTAAATTATTTAAATCTTCATTTTTTATACAGTTAGAAAAAGTAATTGTAAACTATAGCTACTAGCCCTTTTGGTAACATACTAAATGTAAAAAAAAAACAGCTATGAAAAAATTGAATCATAAATACACTACTGTACCACACACATATAATATATTTTGAACATTTAACAAAACAGACACCATCTATATTCTGAACCTAAAACATACATGTGCTTTAATTAACAAAACAACAATAACATATAAATTTCCCACAACTTCTATTAATTTGGCCACAGTTCACGCTAAAATGTCCCTAAACCAATAAAAATGTCACATATTAGAATTAGCAGTAAACAGTTATCTACATTTATTCATATAGCCAAGCATATACATATTTTCAATATCACAATCTTATGGCTTGGTCACACCGAGAATTGTAGGTCTGTCTTTTGTTGTTACATGCACATTTTAAGTGACTTCCTATATTGACAAAACAGGAAAAGCGTGCGTTCACACAAGATGGTGTAAAATTTTCTCACAAGGGTCTTTAGGTTTTTTTACATGTTTTTTTACAAATTTTTTCCTTTATAAATGCAAGACTTTTTGAGACAGAAGGCAGAACTTATGTTATTCATTTTAATCTTTCCTCTGTCGCAGACCTGCAGTGTGACCATAACTTTACAATAGTGATGATTGGATATTGCTACTATTACAAATTACTGTAGGCACACCATATCTATGTTAAAAAGTTTTACTTTATATAAGAGAGTTAACCAGAATGATAAACCTTGTTTTGTCTCAACAGTAAGTTGTAATTTGTTTTTAACAGAATTTACATTTTAATGAAAACATGTCTTACAAGTGAGTAATTGTTTGGACTTCTATACAATCAAGCCTGACAAATTTCACCCTTGTTACAAATACTTTGATTTTTTTTCTAATAAGTGTATATAACACTGTGTACAACACTTAATTTAAAACTTGGACAGACAATGTCTAATTCCAAGTAATCAACAATATACAAATATATGTAGAGAATGTGTTTTGAGATATATCCAATCATCAATATTGTATATTGACATATAGCATCTTCATCACAAGCAATATCATACATATATAACCTTTCATACAACAAACTTACGTTCAGCATATCAGAGGCTTGCTATGTAATTATATACATAAATTATTTACTAAAGTATATAAAAGACTGAAGAAATTTTTCCCAAAAACATTCATTTCAACCAATGCAAATACTATTGTCTATAATTTAAATTATGATAAAACAAGACCCTTTGCTTTTATAGGACTGCATACTTGTTTAATACTTAGTGTATAAAGCTATATATTTGCTGTTTGTAAATTGTAAAGTTATTGTTTATTTTGTGACTTAACTGATTGCAGAATAGCCAGAGTCAATACATTTGATTGAAATAGAGTGGGGCATGTGTGGAGTCATCTTCAAACCTACTAAAACATAGCTGTGAAATATTTTGTACAGGAACATTTTATTGTTTACATACAATGTTCAGGAACATTTTAATCTGATAACATACAATTTTCATATTAAATTACATAGACATTCTATGCAACAATATTTCAAGAAAGACCATTAGGTAATGAAAACTGAACATATTTGTAGTGGCGTTTTTATAAAAAAAAATCATTAGATATTGCTTTATACTTTTAAAGCCAAGAAATGCATAACTAAAGACATCAAATTTGATTTATAACTTTATCAATATCAAGAAAATATAAAATTTACAACTATAGTGCATTAACATTTTTGTGTGTATTATCTGGTAGGAATTATTGCAAAATAATGATAAATGTTAACTTTATGCTTCTATAGTTAAACAGCATATTATACATGTATGTGTCCAAAGTTAAATTGCATATCATATTGATGTTAAATTAATTAATTAAAGCAAATTAGATTTTTTTTTTCCATAATAAATATTTTTCTATATTTTAGAAGTGAAAGTATTTTAAGCTCATGCTAAAATTAATATCAATATGAGATAATCTATTGTTTGTATTATGTATTAATTGTCTAGAATTTGAATACCCCATCTCCTCTCTACAAAAATAAATTCATACAAATAATACAATAACAGTAAAAGAGATTCATGGGTCCGGTAAAAAGTTCTGTCATTGGGCTTTTATGTTTTATCAATGTTATTTCTATGGCAAATCTTCAAGGTGTTGCCCTAAGTTAACATCAACAAACCTTAAACCTTTTTACCCATTTAATAAATATTCCTCTTCTGCTGATAAAATGGCATTGCCAAGAGAACTTCTAGATTTATACTTCTTTCTAGAAAATTTTTTCTTGGCCCTTGAAAATATTACAATAATGCAAATTGTATTGTTCAAATGCTTTGTAATTAATCACTCAGGCCAAATACCTTGGTGATTATATTCCTGCACATTTGAACCAAAATCTTCCTTTATTTTATAACAAATTCAACAACACACAAAACTGATATCTATTTCCTGAATAAAATTAAAATTCTTATAAAAATTAATCAATTTTAAATAACTTGGTCATTTTAGAAGTCATTTGCACCCAGTGCAGTGAATTGTTTTTGAATTTATCTAGGACTATAAAAACCCATACAGAACTTTTTTCAGGACTTGGGTAAAAGAAGATGGTACATGTTTAAAATCATTGCCTTACATTTGAAATAATAAAGTATAACCAAATTCTACAGGAAAACAAATGGAAGCATTTCCCCCTCAAATCTCACCTTCTTGTGAGTATATACCAGTATATAGAAAACATATACAGATGTATATTTTATTTAATCTATTTCACCCCAGTCCTGAGAGTCTAATTGTTTACCCTTAACTATATCATATTTACCATCTACCCTTAACCATGTTACTGACCTCTCCTTCATTCAATATATCCTTTAAACAAGCAACATATCAATATAGCACCAAACATTTTTAATATTTGTCATAGTCTAGTTTTTTAACACTAATCAAAAATTGCTAATTTTCAACAGGAGATGCACAAAGTTCCATCGCACAGACGATATGTGGAGATAGTAACTTTGACTTTATAACTGAATAGAAAAAAAACACAAACAACCATGGTTCAAACCCCAGTCTCTGGTTTGCCAGTCCAGTATGCTAACCACAACAACACCACAGCTCTTTTATCTCTTTATAATTATGAAAGGAATGAAAACCATTGAATATAAATTAAAAAAGAAATTTTAAATTGTCTACATTTCCTTTAATACATGTATATAGTTATGTATATACAGTACATTTTGTTCATGCATAAATCTGAATACATCACACAGAAATAGTTCTGTTTTCACATGCTCAAATCATGATTATTGAAAGGTAGATAATGAATAAAGCCTTTTAGTTACATTTTAGAATAAGCTACAGTACATATTGTATGAAACTCTTCGTAAGCCTTTCTAAATGATGCTCACTCAGTCACACACAAGTTTCACTGTACTCAATGCTATATACATGTCACTGAAATATTTTCTTAAACACTTTTGACAATTTATACAAATAAAAACACTACATAGGCATAAAACATTGATGATCAAGTCATCACTAAATCTAAAACATAAAATTGCCATCAAATGGCTTTTAAGTACAAATTGACAATGACATGTATATAACTGGGAAGTTTTGAGAGAGAAAGAAAGGTGGGTGTTTCCTCCATCTACCTTTTTGACTTTAACAAAGTCCTATAAACATAAAATACAATGCTATATCAAAACTTTACACTGTAAATTCACTTTATTTCGGAAAATTGGCATGAAATTTTGTGGTTTTATCACAAAGGACTTTTTTGTACGTTCTCAAATTTGTGGATAGTAAAAAGAAAATTGCACACAATATTATGCTAAGTCATCTTACAGGAGACAAAATAAAATTTTGTTGGATCTTAAATCCGTGGATTGACCTGTACATGAAATCCAGGAAAATTAGTGCAATGTCTTTGCAGTATCTTAAATTTCATATGACAATCAGAATTAAAATTATCAGTACTGTGTAACTAACAAGCAGTAATTATGCCATAAATGACAAATGCTTCACTCTAAAGACACAAAGTCTAGTAAAACAGATGAATTAATTCTTAATGAAATATTTCTGCTTTACTTCTCCTTTAACTTCACAGTATATAACAAGGATATTGTCGAAACGATGGATTCTTTCAAACACTGTTATGGTTTTAAAGAATGCAAGGTACTCAGTAGTTGCTGAGAAAAAGTCAAGACAAAAAATTAGAGCTGAAATGACATTAAAGATGCATAACTTTTAGAAAAATTACTGGACTGGAACATGCTGCTAATATGCACATCTCCTTTTGGTAGTGATACTTCCTGTGAAGATTACTCAAATTCAGTGACACTACAGATTGACAGCCTATGTTGCAGCTATATACACCCTGTATGAAAGAATACAAACAACAAAGTGAGAGTTATGTGTTGTTTTAAAGTGAAAACAAAGTCTTACCTCCACACTATTGTTTAAGAACTCAATGAAATATTCGAATTCCGCATCAGCTCCTGGCATCGCATCTGCTACCAGGGTTACAAAGTTACGGAACTCCCTCTTGCTCAGACGGTTGTCAGTTGGGTGCTTTGTCTTCTTTTTCATTTCAACTTTAGCTAAATACAGAAAAATAGAAACTTGAATGATTTTACACATCTAAATTATACACATCAACATGACTTATGACTTACTGACATCGAACCATCAACATTTGTACAAAGTGTAACACTAAAATCCCTCCATCAACATGCTTTGCACAAAATATGGACATTTCATCATTTCTGGTAATCTTATGTTTCATATATAGACCTGGATTATACATGTAATGCTCAGTCTCATGATGGTGAACATTTCTGATAGAATTGCCAAATTCATTATTACATACATTTTCATTGCTTATATCTGACTTACGACCTCTACATATGACCTTAACCTTGGTCATACAAATCTGTATGATTTTGACCAAGGGACCAGATTCATGCATACAACATCAGGTTTCATGATGGTTCCAACATTTATATTGTGTAATTCTTAAATTCATCCATGCATATAGAAGATGCTAGAGATAAAACTGAACCCTGAATGCCCACCATGGGCATTCTCATAATACAACTTGTTTTTAAATGGGGCATATAAAAAGAATTTCATCCTCATATCATAGAATTATGGTGGTGTAAATAATCAATTCCATCTTATCTTTTCTTAATAGTGAGTAAATATAACAAAAACTGTAAATACTTATGCATTATTGTCATATTTTTCTAAAGTAAGTTTCTGTTTACCATTTGCTTTCTTGGATTTATCTTATCATCTTTAATCTAATGATAAACACATCTTAAGTTACCAAAGACAAAATGTAGCTTTTAAACAGGAAAATGTCTTTATCCCCAAATCATACTTTCAAACCACTTTTTTTTGTCTCTATCACAAGTAAGTGTTTATTAGGTAAATGTAGGAATTACTGTTTTTATAATATATAAAGCAAACCTGTTTCAATGGCCTCACTTTCTTGACCATCTTTGTATTTCATCATGACATTTTCCACCTCATCCTGATCAAGATAACCAGAGCCATCATTGTCCCACTTATCAAACAACTGATCCAGCAACATCTTCCTACGTGATGACATCGCCTCTCTTCTAGCCTATATATATAGTTGTCATGGTTACATATATTTCCAACATCACATTTAATAGAAAAATAACTATCTATGTTTAAATCATATTTTTACATGCACTACTTGCACAATAAACTATTAATTAAAAAGCAATTTAAGATTGATTGAAAAAGAATTTTAAAATATACATCCTATAACAAGAACGTGTTTGTTAAACACAAATGCCCCCGGCACAGATTCTTGTCAGTAACAATATTTAAAATAAAGGCTGTCTGGGCAAAAGTGTAAAAAATCTATTTTTAGCACTGGTGACCTTGACCCAAATGACCCCTAACTCCATCCAAAGGAAGAATACCATGTAAGTTATCTTCCTACCAATTATAATACAAATCTGTCAATAAATAAAGGCTGTATGATCAAAAGTGTAAAAAACTATTTTTAGCACTGGTGACCTTGACCCAACTGACCCTACCTCCATCCAAATGAGAATACCTCAATTTTATGTTCCTACAAAATATACAAGACATCTTTACATGTATTGTGTATTGAGTGAATAATAAAATCTTGAGAAAAAAAATCTTGATAGAATAAGGTTAATACACCTGTTAAAGTGTAAAAAATCTATTTTTGACATTAGTGACCTTGACCCAAATGACCCCTTACTAAAGGAAAAGGTAGAGGACCTCCATGAAAGACATTAACTTAACTAGAAATGTGTCCATAGGACACGGATGCCCCCACACGCCACTGTTCTTTCAATCTTATGACTCTAGGTCAAATATTTTTTGGACTACATGTGCCACAAGTTGAAAACTGAAAATCAACAAAGGGCCATAATTCTGTTAAATTTGGTCGCAGCAAAAATTCCTTCCTTTACTACCATCTACACATTAAGGTTGTTTATCCCTGGAAGTTTAAGCAAAATCTGCCATCCGGTTTAAGAGGAGTTGCGTTCACAAAATTTCTACATAGTATATAATGAAAAAATCAACAAAGGGCCATAATTCTGTTAAATTTGGTTGCAGCGAAAATTCCTTCCTTTACTGCCATCTACACATTAAGGTTGTTCATCCCTGGAAGTTTAAGCAAAATCTGCCATCCGGTTTAAGAGGAGTTGCATTCACAAAATTTCTACATTGTATATAGTGAAAAAATCAACAAAGGGCCATAATTCTGTTAAATTTGGTCGCAGCGAAAATTCCTTCCTTTACTACCATCTACACCTTAAGGTTGTTCATCCCTGTAAGTTTAAGCAAAATCTGCCATCCGGTTTAAGAGGAGTTGCGTTCACAAGATTTCGGGACGTACGGACTGACGGACGGACTGACGGACGGACGGACGGACAAGTGCAACGCTATATGCTCCCACATTGTGGGGGCATAAAAATAAAGGCTGTATGAGCAGAAATGTTTAAATTTATTTTTTTACACAAGTGACCTTGACCTTTACCTAGAGACACCTTACGCCATAAAAAAATTAGAGGACCGTTAAAGGTATCCCCCTACCAAATATGAAAGATATCATTAAATAAATTCAGTAATAAGGTGAATTTTTTTGATAAATCCAACTTGGCGGAATACTGGTTAACCATACAAGGATTTATTTTCAAAGTGATAAAAAGGGAAATTACTGGGAAAATGGATGGCACATTTATATATATATAACTTGGCAATATCATGTACATTGTATTGATAAGTAAGTGTGAAAATTATTAAGCCATTAGTTCAGATAGAACATAAGATATTTCTGACTTGCCGGTTTAGGTTAACCATTATTCATTTTCTAAGTGCTGAAAAGGGCCTTAACTTGGTGCAAATGGAAGCCATAGTTATGTAACTTGCCCAGATCATATACTTTGTATGGATTAGTAAGTGTGTAAATTATGAAGCCATTGGTACAGGTAGAACTTAAAAAAAATCCAACTTGCCGTTCTAGGTTAACCTCGTACAGACTTTACAACATTTTGGGTTTAGGGGCTATTTTCTTTGTTATTTTCTTTGTTTTCTTAAGGGCTACTAGCCCATAAACCCTTTGATCACGGAATGAACCTATTGTTCTCTTTTGTTCTCTTTACTGTTACATAGCCCCTAAACCCAAAATGTTTGCTCGGACAGACGGACGGAAGGACAGACGGACGGACGGTTCAATTACTATATGCCCGGGGGCATAAAAACAACAAGCAATTTCAGTAAATTTAATCTGCTAATAAATTAATTTCAGTTAATTTTATCCGCTAGTAAACTAATTAATAGAACAATTGACAAGAAATTTTCTTAATAGACAAAATTGTCATTTAATTAAATGTGACATGATCTGACAATTTATAAGCACATAAGTTTTAAACCCCCAACAGTTTTTGAAATCCATGATACAACATCAGCATGGTACAGACGGACGGACTTACCCTGACCAATCTCTCCATTTTCTCCTCTTCTGTCTCCTGGTACTCAGACTTGATATATTTCATCAACGTTTCAAAACCTTTGGTAGATGGCTCGTCACCAAGGAATGTCTCTGTTAGTTGAACAAACTGTGATACGTTGACAGAGTTCTCATCAAATATTGACATCTGAGAGTGACTACGGCTTATCTGTGTCATAGCTGGAAGAGAAAATATATAAGAATATATTAAAGCTAAAGGACTTTAAATACATAGTGTTTGAAACTTGTAAGCTTGTAAACAAACTGATATCCAAAGCCTGAGGAGCTATAATAGCTATTGGGGAGATTAATAATGTTTGACGATAATTATAAATGTATTATCTGTAATAAACAGTAAATTAAACACAAAGCTGATAAACAATAATGTTAAGTTAGTTTACTAAAAGGAACATGGCTCACAGTGGTCCATACACCTTAAAAGTTAAAACAATGAAATTCTTTCATAGATCAACAGGGGCACTTGAAACACAACCAGACAGAAATATATGTGAAAGTAAGAAGTGAAACTGAAAATCAATTTTTATGTGCAATTATGATTTCAGTTAAAAGCTTTTTCATTTTTTTTGTCAGTTTGCACAATGAAAATGATTATTCTACATAAACAGAGTGAGGGAATGATCTGAAATTTTGCATAAAAGCAATAATACTCTAATGTCAAGGAAATGTATCTGTATTGCTTTTATTACCTCTATTAATTAGAGGCTGGGGAAAGGGGGTGATGTTTGCCTTCGACTACTTAATGGTATAGCAATGCAAGTATTAGATAAGTTGGTAAATGGTGACCAAGGGAGCAATCTGTACTCAGACTATATATTTGAAGTTGTCAGAGGGCCACACATTTGTCAGTCTGTAAAGAGGTTAAAATTAGAAACCTTCAGGCTTTTTTTCAATAAAGGGATGTCCAACAAAGTTCAAAGACTAAACAAGATTATTAAATGATTACAATAAAATGCATACTGGGTACACTTATTTATATATATTTGTATATTCATGATAGAAAAAAATATCAGCCTAGTATTCTTGAGCAGATATTATTTCTGCAATTCAGGTTAATATTATAATAAAATAATAATTAAATAATAAGATACGCGATCATGGAAATGCCAGTTGACTACCTCATATTGCCAGTTAAACATTTGATCACTTGCATAAATCTGCAAGTAGAAAATCTTGCTAAATTCTAACCCTGATATATCTACATTGAGTAAGTTATTGCTCCATATCATTTCTTTTACAAATGACAGCCCTTGTTGACGCCTAACTTGCCAACAAAAACAAGTACATTTGTAATTATTTTAATCTTCGCAAATTTAAATTTCCAAACCATTCTAAGTAAATTTATAAATCCACAAAATAATTCACAAGTGTTTTTGCTAAATAACGATCATACAATCATAAAATGACTTACAGTACAGGAATGATAAATCCTTATATTTCAGGACAAAAGCTTAACCATTTAAAAAAAAAAATCTTTATAAAACTAAGATATCATTCAAACAGCGTATTCTATTCACACATATAAAAATGTTTAAAGCTACCTGTTTTCTCCCTCTCAAAGTTTGTCCCTTCAGCAAATGATACAGCTTGTTGTGTTCCTGTACCTGGTGTCTTTGGTTGACTCTGTAGTAATTCCCCAGTCAATGCTACATCTATATATACATAACATAATAAAATATGACTTACATGTATAATATCTTAAAAGTTTTTGAAAAGTTTTATCCTACCTATGGAGATACAAAACATGAATAAAATTTAATATCCAATAGATGTGTCATATTATAACAAGATGGCCAAAATCAGTCAACTCCAAGCGCCAATTAAGCTCTCCCAAGGGATCATGGTCATTATTTTGGAAACTTTCTATCATGAGAGCTTTTTTATCCCTCTGTTAAGTGTTTGATACTGGATAGATAACAACATTACTGAATGTACTGGAATCTTAAGAATGATAGTAAATGTATTTTGATCCAATAAAAGGAATATATAATATATTATACATTATATTGTATTTCCTTTACATTTTTCCTTTACATTTTTACTTAATCTGGGAAAATAATTCAACTGATCTTCATTAAATAATCAGGGGGGAATGTTAACATACTAACAAATATTTTAAATTTAACTTGCTTAAATTTTCATGACTAGCAGTTTCACATTCAAAGTTGTACAACACAAAATTTTCCATATGAAACCATTGATGATTTTTAAAAGTTTTAATATTTTATGAAACAAGAGGGCCATGATGGCCCTAGATCGCTCACCTGAATTATCAAACTCATCCAAACAATTACCTAGACAAGCATTCTGACCAAGTCTCATGACAGGTGAGTCAAAAATGTGACCACTACAGTGTTAACAAGGATTATCCATATTTGAGCAGTGCGACCTAGTTTTTTACCCAGGTGACACATATTCAAACTTGACCTAGAAATCATCAAAACAAACTTTCAGACCAATTTCCAGGATACTTGGATCAAAACAGTAGCAACTAGAGTGTTAACAAGATTTTTCTATTTTTAGCTCCGGTGACCTAGTTTCACATGCGATTTCGAACTCATCCAAGCAATTACCTAGACAAGCATTTCTGACCAAGTTTGATGATAATGGAGTCGAAAATGTGACCACTAGAATGTTAACAAGGTTTTTCCATATTTGGGCGGTGTGACCTAGTTTTTCATCCAAGATGACCCATGTTCGATCTTGACTTAGAAATCATCAAAACAAACTTTCAGACCAATTAACAGAATATTTGGATCACAACAGTAGCCACTAGAGTGTTTAACAATATTTTTCTATTTTTAGCTCCTGTGACCTAGTTTTTCAATCCGAGATGTCCCATGTTCGATTTATTCCCAGCAATGACCTAGACAAGTTTCCTGACCAAGTTTGATGACAATTGAGTCAAAATTGTGACCACTAGAGTGTTAACAAGGTTTTTCTATTTTTAGCTCCTGTGACCTAGTTTTTCATCGAGATGAACCCATGTTCGAACTCATCCGAGTTATTACCTAGACAAGCATCTTGATCAAGTTTGATGATGATTGATGCAAAAATGTGACCGCTAAAGTGTTAACAAGGTTTTTCTATTTTTAGCTCCGGTGACCTACTTTTTCATCCGAGATGACCCATGTTCGAACTCATCCAAGCTATCAACTAGATAAGCATCCTGACCAAGTTTGATGATGATTGATGCAAAAATGTGACCGCTAAAGTGTTAACAAGGTTTTTCTATTTATAGCTCCGGTGACCTAGTTTTTCATCCGAGATGACCCATATTCGAACTCATCTGAGCTATTATCTAAACAAGCATCCTGACAAAGTTTGATGATGATTGGGTCAAAAATGTGACCACTAGAGTGTTCACAAGGTTTTTTTCTATTTTTAGCTCCTGTGACCTAGTTTTTCATCAGAGATGACCCATGTTCGAACTCATCCAAGCAATTGACTAGACAAGCATTCTGACCAAAGTTTGATGATGATTGGTTCAAAAATGTGACCACTAGAGTGTTCACAAGGTTTTTCTATTTATAGCTCCTGTGACCTACTTTTTCATCCGAGATGACCCATGTTCGAACTCATCCGAGCTATCACCTAGACAAACATCCTGACCAAGTTTGATGATGATTGGGTCAAAAATGTGACCTCTAGAGTGTTCACAAGGTTTTTCTATTTTTAGCTCTTGTGACCTAGTTTTTCATCCGAGATGACCCATGTTCGAACTCATCCGAGCTTTCAACTAGATAAGCATCCTGACCAAGTTTGATGATGATTGAGGCAAAAATGCGACCGCTAGAGTGTTCACAAGAAATTGTGGACGGCCGGACGGACGACGGACGACGGACGACGGACGACGGACATTCACCGATCCTAAAAGCTCACCCTGAGCAAGCTCAGGTGAGCTAAAAAAAAGAAAAGAATATTTAAAAGACATTTCTTGTTGAATGGTAGCCATTTTGTTCTTGCATGAAAGCTTGCAAAACTAGCGGGTCATCATGTGACTGCTGTTATCCAATGAATATACAGGATGATAGTTGGAGGTTAAATACACAGTTTTAGAAAGTGTACACAGAATACACCAATGCGTCATTTTAAGGAGTGGTTTTACCTTACAGAAAGCACAAACAGTGTTCTAGATTTTCATATAAAGCCACAACAAATATTGTACACAGAAAGCAGAGAGGGTACAAGAGGAAGCAAATCAGAGATATATATTTGATAATGCTCTTTTTAAAAGTTTATAAAAAAAGAACACTTTTGAGTATATAACTTCAAGATGAACACATTACAGCATTTCCATAATGAAAAGTTACCCTTATAAAAGTTATTTTCTCATATTTAACAATAAAACTACCTGATTCAATGTCTCCTTCTTTTTCTTTTTCCTCAATTGATTCATCAGCTTTTTGTTGTTCAGTTGTCTCCCCAGCTGTTGATGGTGGTTCTGGACCTTGATCAGGTAATTCTGTACTTGTACCCCCTTCCTTCGTCTCAGATTTCTGTGACCCAGATTCATCTGGTTTAGTATCACTTTCTTTTCCTGAAGTGTCAATATCTGTTGTTTCTTTGTTTTCTTCTGGTTTTGCTTCATCTTTCTTTAATAGTTCTGCAGTCTCTTCTTCTTTAGCACTTTCTGGTTTCTGTTCTTCTTGTTTCAATTCTGTATCAGTTTTTTCTTTCTCCTGACCCTCCCCTTTATTTTCTTCTTCTTTCTCTGCTTCTTCTGGTTTCTTTTCTGCGACCTGTTCAGTAGTTTGTTCTGGTCCAGCCTCCTTTTCACCATCTGTTTCTTGATAGATAGCAAAATAATATCTAAAGCATGTTTATAGTCTGGAAAGGTAATACACAAAAAGCTGTCACAGAAATTTGATTTTCTTGTGCTTGATAGTAAAAACAAGTTAAAGTATTGCCAAGCAATAAAACCCTCTACAGGAAAGGGCCTTGTCACACAATTAGTTAGCTGAAATCAACAGTTTGTAGTAAATAATACATGAAGGTAGGTTTTATACAACATACTTTAATGTGGACAGGTAGTAGTTAGAAAAGTACAATGGCATGTTTGCTGTTAGGTAGTTAGTGAAATCAACATCATGGACAGATAAGAGGTATGCTGCAAATCAGCTGTTTGATGTTACTGTTGGAGGCTAGAAGTATCCTTCTCAAGATCTTGACAGCATTTTCACTTCTTTCTTTTTATGTTTATAGGTAATTAGAAATATCAACTATAACTATTACAATTATTAAAATATTTTTTTTAAAGTCTTGGATGAAAAAAAAAATGGAGTGCAAACCCTAACTTAAAAACTTTAAAATGAATACATGTGAAGAAAGAAAAGTAAATTGGATATCTTCCATTATTCTAGTAGTGATTTAATTACAATTCTTAAACAAATGCAAATTGATACATTATATAAAGAAACTGCAATGTATATGTCAGATAAATGCTATATGAAAAATAAGCTAAATAAGCAAGTCATATAAATCATTATAAAATCAAAATAAACATAAATATATAATATATGTAAGTATGAAGCAGGTAGATAAAACAGCAATTGTAAGAAAATACATATTGCAGTTATGTGACTTGCATCCTTCATGGTGGTTAGTAATGCATATATACAACAGTCATTGGTACAGATATATCCTACATGTAAAATACGTAAACCAAGTCTATATCCAGTCTATAAGGGGAAATAAGTGAAGAAAAATCAATGCCACATATCTGTAATTTGCCAAGAGCATGACATTTGTACTGGTGTGTAAGTGTGTATTTGCCACAGGCACAAATTATACTTATTACCTTAAATTTAAAAGTGCTAAAAAGGGGAATAACTGTGGAAAAATGGATGGCAAATTTCTGTAACTTGCCAAATTCATGGACTTTGTATTGGTAGGTTTGTATGGTTTGAAGTCATTGCCATAGATAAAATTTAAGAAACATCCAACTTACGTAAAAGAAGTCTGCTAATCAAAAGCATATATATCAAAACTAACCTTCCTTTTGTTGTTCTGGTTTTTCCTCTATCTTTTGGTCAGTTTGTTCCTCTTTGGCATCTTGTTGCTGTGTTTCAGGAGTTGGCTCCCCTTTATCTGATGCTTCATCTTCCTTTTGTTCTACTATAGTTTGTTCCCTAGGTTCTGCAGTTACAGGTGGAGGGGAGCGTGGAGGCTCTGTTGTGGCTGGTAATGATGGTATCTGCTCCTCCTTTACCTCCTCATCATCACTCAATGTGTCGTCTGCTTCATCAACTTCAACAACTGGCCCTGGAAGAAAAAACAAGTAAATTTAAAATTAAAACATTATTATATAAAAATTAAAAAATAAGTAGTCATCTGCAAATTCTTAAAATTCCCTTTAAAGTACCGTTTAGATTGAACAGTCTTCTTCAGGGTACATAAATGAATGATAAACAATAAAAAGGAAATTATGTCAGCGTCACATGACATCAATAACATCAAAATGTACCAAAGAGTTTGGCCCAATAATCATAGACAGGATCAATTAAAGGAGAAGCAGATGCCATCATGGAAAAGGGAATAAATTTGGTGACATAAAATATATATAAAAATAACTTGTTTCTTGTGAAAAGAAAGACAACAATGTAAAAACGAGTTTAATAAGAATAATGGTCATGTGTACCAATTTATTTTGAAATCCCATCATACCGAAGTTATAAACCAAACACAAACTCACACTGCACTTAGGATTATATGAACAAGCAATACAAATACATTCGCAAATGCAATGAATGCCCCTGGAACTTTCACACTGTTGTACATCATATAATTCCTATATCCTTAACCTGTGACCTTGAACTTAAAATTAGATAATCTTAAATCTGAGGACTGCATGTTTATCATGTTAAGATAAATATTTGACCACAGTACAATACTGATACTTCATTGATCTTGACCTTTGACCTATAAAATAGAGGTGACAGGCAGACCTCACCAAGATGCATCCACATATTTAGTTTCAATGTTTACAAGAAAGGAAAAATTAAGATAAACTGTTAACCAACACTGAATAGGGGGCCGTGTCAATAGCACTGCTGTTTTGGAAAGTGGAGCTTAAAATATATCATTTACATTTTAAACAACAGCTTTGAGGCTGGAAACTGTTGTCAGATCTACATCACAATGTACTTACATTTTCTTGGGTTTCTAAGGTTATGTTTAATCTCCTCCTTGGCAGAGTCCCAGTAGTTTTCAAACAAACTCAACACCCGATGTCTGTCCAGTAAACCAATCTATATCAGGAATTACATAAATATTATGATTATTAAACCTTTGATTAGCTACAATTGTTGATCCACAATCATTTACATATAATCTAGGCTACAGAAGACATCTGCTCTGCAAGTAAACAACTTCAAAACTTTTTACAAAAAATTCATTTTGTTTTCCTTTAAATGACATTGTGCATAGATTATTTCGAGTACCGTTTGACATGATGGGCCTTTGTTCAGTATGTTTAACTAAGACTTTCAATCCTTGATCTTGCAGCATGTGACACATTGGCTCAATACATGTTAAACATTCCTTTAAACAAAATCCAGAACACTTAAGAAGAACCTAACTCTAGTATCATCAAACAAAATTTACTGTTACCTAATGCACATTGACCAATAGATCTGATATTTGAATACTTACACCACTATGGTCACATGACAGGAAGAGATTAGTAAGGTGAATTCTCCGGGCCTCTCTGTGTGACAGTGATCTGTGGGCAGCAGCACATTTTGTCATGTGTAACATAAATCTATCAAACAGCTCACTGTTCAGTTCTGATGTATATGATGCAAAATACTGAAACAAATAATTTCATTTTATACAAAACTATTAGATATACATGTAATATAAATGCACTCTTTCTTTTGTAAGACAACTATTTAACTAGCTTAAAGATATAACTGTAACCTATTGAGTCATATCGATGACGTCACGTCCGGTTGCAGTAAACAAGTTTAACGGCGGAGCGTCAAAATTAACAATAATTAAATCTTTTGATTATTTAACGTCAGAGATTTTCAATAAAAAGACGGATTTGATAAGAAGAAAAAAATCTGGACACGATGGTGTAATTTTCATTAAATTGTGTCATTGATATCGGAAGAAAAACAATTATTAAAAAAGTGTTGTCAGAATTCTCAAAATGAACGATAAAAAAGATTCAGAAATTCATTCCCAGGAGCAGCGGGATTATGAAATGAACTGTCGGAAAGCGCTTAAGAAAAAATTGAATACTACAGAACGGGAAGAAATGATCATTACAGTAACAGGAGGTGGAATTAAGTTGGAAATGAACACTGGTATGTACGAGTTATTTAAGTATGCTTCAGAAATATTCTTTTCTGATCCAGAAATGATTAATCGAACCAAGAAAACTACAGCTTTTGATAAGAAGCAAAACATTGTTTGAAACTAAATATAATGTGTCTTCAGAAGATAAGTCCTGTTCCTACACATTAAATTTATATCACACAAGATCATCTTGTCTAATAAACGGAAAGAACACACAGCAGTTCATTGATTCGGACCTCACAGCCATTTTAAAATTTGTTGAAAACAAGCTGTCGGATGAAGGATATAATTTAAATGAATTTAATCAGAAAATAAAGGCGGTGATACTGAACCATATGTCTACAAAAGAAGCGGAATCTTGCATAGATGAAACAGCGGTTAAAACACTATGTGAAATAGAAGATGCAGATTGCGATTTGGATTTCCAGTGTGAATCTTTAGAGTCGAGTAACATTCGAGTTGATACGGATACTACAGACTCTTTAATGATTAGTATGCTCCATAACATCCAACATCAAATATTGGAAATAAATGAAACACTCTCTCGTCATATTAAGGAGACAAACTTTCAACTTCTTAAAGACGAAATAAGAAGTATTAAACGGCAATGTATCGTTAGTTAACTCCCAAACACAGGACTCTTTTGACTCGCTTTTGCTAAACTCAAAAAACGTTGAGAAAGATGTCAAAATACTCGCCGAATCTATGCAAAGGAAACTTCAGTCATTTTTTGATTGCTTAAAAACGGTACCAAGAAAGGATATAAATCCGAAATCAAGTGATAAATATACTGTAGAGAGAGATAACATTGTTACAACGGACGACACTCAGATAAAGAGACCAATTTCAGAAAAATCAACAAGTCCAAAACGTACAAAAACGCTAATTATTGGTGATTCTATCGTGAAAGCAATTAACAAACGAGGTTTACATGATACCGTAGATACATATTATATAAGGGGAGGCACCGCCCATGACATAGCGTTACGATTGAAAAACTTGGATATGAGGGAATTACTCAACATTGTTATCTACGTCGGAGGAAATGACGTCGCATCCGAAATTCCACTAACCTCGACTTTGGCAGAATTAAAAACTGCCTTGACGTCACTTGAAAAACACAAGGACTGTTCAATATATATATGTACTGTATGCCCAAGATCAGATGCAAATGTTACTCAACTGAATGAAGAACTGTCACAGCTGTGTTTAGACAATAATGCTACACTGATTGATGTATACAGCGGATTTGTCTATGGTGACGGCAGTGTAGCGAAACACCAATTTGTAAGGGATGGTATCCATTTAAGCCCGAGGGGTGCGTCTGCGTTAGTCCTGGCAATAAATAAAAGGCTACGTATAATCAAACAACAATCCTCCCCAAATTCCGATATGCGCGCAACTGTAACAGATAGAACCAGAAGCATGAACAAAAACTTGACAAGAAGGTGGCAACATTCTTCGGAGCGGAGCAATGGGTACAACTTTTCCAGTGAAATGCGATATGGCTGAACCGGGAGTAGGAAATACTTTGATCAGTGTTTTATCTGCGGAAGAATAAATCACAAGTCTAAAGACTGTTGGTATCTGAACTAGGATAATGCGGACAGACACTCTAAAAGCTATTATAGCAAAGACAAATTCCAAACGTTTAATAAATTTAACAATGAATACATAAACAATGTAAGTGAACGTATTAAGACTACTTTGTTAGAAAAAGAATCCAAAAATGAGATTTCATCAAATAACAGTAACATGTGTATTCTAACAGATTACTGGATCGAGGTATGTGAGAGTAAAACAAATAGTTTTACAAATGTAGATAATTTGAATTTGATTTTCTCTTATATATATTACATTAACATATCTGGTATATCTCAAATAAGAAATAACTATATAGTAATATTTCAGTCACACACAAGAACTTTTCAATTAATTCCGTTAAATAAAAAAGTCGGTTTCGATATGTTTCTACAAAATGGTTGCAGGAAAACTTGTTTTATGATAGGAGGCATGTACACTCCTTCTTTAACTATTGTTTATAATGTATGTTACGATTTTATGTTGTACTCCACAATTGATATTTTACACATATGTTTAAGTACGCGAAAAATTATCGATTTGATAGTAAAAGAACGGAAATTTATAGACACTAATGAATCTGATAATCAAATTGTTTCTTTTGAACAATCAGTGCCATACAATAAATACGGAAATGATGAATATAATTGCAAAGTACTAAATAATGTTACGCTCCATAAATCAAATTTTCCAGATAATAAATTGTTCAATTCTAAGTTTGAAAAACGAGGTTTACATATTGCACACCTTAACGTTAATCATTTAATGCCGAAAATAGACGAAATAAAATACAATCTATTAAACAAATTAAATTCGCCAGATATTTTCGGCTTTACTGAGACATTTCTTGGTGAAGATACAACAGATGATGAATTAAATATAAACAAGTTTACACACGAAAGAAAGGACCGTAAAAGTTGTCATAAAGGCGGGGGAATTGTAATATATATTGCTGACAAGGTGCCATATCGGCGCCATTACGATATATAGAAACGGACGAATTAGAATCTGTTTGGTTGGAAATTATTTACCCAAATTGCAAACCTTTTCTTTTAAATTTTATATATCGCCCACCAAATGTTCACCAATCTTGGATTGACGATTATGAAAAACAACTAAGTATAATAGATATATCAAATATAGAATATCATATTCTAGGAGATGTCAATATAAACTTTTATCCAATGAATAAAAAGAAAAAGTATGACAATACAAAATGGGGTGATTTGATAACGAAATATGGTTTGAAACAACTTATCACAGATCCTACTAGGATAACAAAACATACCCAAAAAATTATAGATCATGTTTATACAAACAGTAGCAGATATATCATTGAATCGTTTGTTTCTGATACCTCATTAAGTGATCATTATCCGATATGTATTTCAAGATCAACGAAAGCATGTACCCGATTGATAAATGAACATAATTCGATTAAATATAGATGTTTTAAAAACTTCAATGAAATTGATTTTCAGGTAGACCTTGCTTTATCCGATCTTGAATTAGTCGAGCACATAATTAATCCGAATGAATCTCTTAGCTTATTTTACTCCATTTTAAATACAATATTGAAAAAGCATGCACCAATAAAAGAAAAACGTATCAAACGTGAACACCGGCCGGAATGGTTTACTGATGAGATAAAATATCTAAAACATGAACGCGATTACTATCTTAAAGTAGGGAAACATGAACAATACAAAATGCTCAGAAATAAAATATCATCAATGATTAAAAAAAGTAAAAGAGATTTCTTTAACAATGCTATTAAAAATAACAAAGACCTGGCATTTTTATGGAAAAATTTAAAGGACGTTTCAAATCTAAATAAAAAAGGTTGTATAACAATGCCAGACAGACTAGTGACAGGTAATAAAGAAATTTACGGAAATGTAAATATTATAAATGAATTAAACAAGTATTTTGTCAATATCTCGAATGTCATACATAAAACAAAGTTTTCAAATACAAATTTTTCAAACCTGAAAGAAACTTTAGACCAAAAGCTAATATATCATGAATTTAATATTGAATTAATTACACCGTTTGAAGTAAAACTTATTATTGAAAAACTGAATATTAAAAAATCTACAGGATTAGATGGAATTGGACCAAACATCATTAAATATTGTGGAGATTATATTACACCAATAATTGCATCAATTATCAATAATAGTATTAAATATAATATTTTCCCAGATGATTTAAAAAGAGCTAGAGTTATACCTATTTTTAAATCGGGGGATAAGAATGAAGCAAATAACTATCGACCGATATCAATTTTGTCAACTATATCCAAAATATTTGAGCGCCATATTGCCAAACAAATACACTCATTCTTTGAAAAAACGAACATAATTCATAATAAACAATCAGGATTTCGTAAAATTCATTCATGTAATACTGCACTCATTAGTTTAATAGATACTTGGTTAAAAGATGTTGACAGTGGAAAAATTATCGGGACTGTATTCTTAGACTTAAAGAAAGCCTTTGATTTGGTTGACCATGAAATACTTTTGCATAAACTTAAACTTTATCATTTTTCTGAAAATGCCGTTAAGTTTTTTAAGTCATATCTTTCTAACAGAATACAACTGGTTAAGATAGGTAATCTTCAATCTCAGACAATGAAAATAATTTCCGGTGTTCCACAAGGCTCAATATTAGGACCTTTATTATTTCTAATATACATAAATGACATAGCTTTCATTGGTAATGATATAAAAATTGATTTATACGCAGACGATTCTACTCTTTATGAGTCCGGAGAAAATATATCAAAAGTAGAAATAAACTTCAAGATCATTTAAATAACATTGACAAATGGTGCAAAATAAATAATATGGCCTTAAATCCAGATAAATCAAAATGTATGGTAATAGGAACAAGACAAAAAGTAAATATTATGAGAAAATTGTATCATAAGATAAATGAAATAGCTCTTGAAAATGTAACTGATCACAAAGTCTTGGGTATCTGCATAGATAACAACTTAAAATGGCACTTGCAAATTGACAATGTTTGTAAAAAACTTAACGGAAAAATTGCCTTATTGAAAAAGATATCGTATTTTTTGCACTTTGATATGAAATTATTGTTTTACAATGCATATATATTGCCCATTATGGACTATTGTTGTATTATATGGGGTAAAGGAAACACAAACTACATAAATAATGTTTGTAAATTACAAAAACGAATTGCTAAAATCATTTTACAGCAACCACAAAGATCTCCGTCAATAAATCTATTCGAAACTCTTAACTGGTTACCGTTCCTTGACAGATGTAAATACCACACGGCGGTGCTTGTTTTTAAAACTTTAAATAACATGGCACCGACTTATATGACAGAACTGATGACTTTATCCGACAACAAAATATATAACTTAAGATCTAGGTCACGAAAAGATATTGTATTATGGACAAGACCTAAAACAAACTATATTAAAGACACATTTTCTTATTATGGCATGAACATTTGGAACAATATACCTTTAAATATTCGTAATGTTAATAACCTTAAATGTTTTAAAGAAAAATACAAAGCATATCTTGATGTTCATATGAATGAATGAGTGAGTGAATGAATGAATGAATGAATGAATTAATAAATGAACGAACGAACGAATGAACGAACGAACGAATGATGCAATATACGTATATGTTAAAACAAATTGTTGAGTGTCTGTCGAAAGTATATGAGTTGTAATATTCAAAATATTACATATTATACATTCAATTTTCTACCTATGCATGTCCTGTTGTTGTTGTTGTTGTTTTCTATTTCAGAAGGCCACATTGGAAATAAGATATATATGATTGTTATTGTATGTTCTTAATGTGTAACCTTCTTTAAATAAAGATATTATTATTATTATTATTATTAATCATTAGAATTACTATAACTTTTACAATAAAGTAAGTCATAAAACAAGAGGCCTGAGTTGGCAGTAGTTAACACTCCTGATACTAATCCTATGGGCAGGATTTATTACTTTTGTAGAAGTCTGCAAGGCAATGCTACAGGACAAATATCTTTGGAAATAATTCTTTTCTTCTAAAATTTGTTGTTGTTTTTTCTTTTTGATTGGCAGGCAATCCTATAAATTGCAAGCTTGCAAATTTGTTTTACTATTTACTTTTAGCTGATTGATCTTGAAACGCCTGACACTTTAAACAGGCAGTTCTGAATTTCAAGCTGGACAATACCAATAGATTCTGCAAACTATTAGAATCTATATATTTATATTTATGTTAACCTTAGCAAACTCCTTGACTGTTAGTGCCTTTCCAGTAACATCTGTTGGCTCAAGTGGGTGGCTTAGTTTAGCTGCCTCACTCAAATGATCTGGGAATCTCTCAGATAATTCCACAAATGATCTTAAAGCATTCTGGAGCTGAAATGGTAAAAGCATACATAACATTAATAAACAGAAGCATTACTATTAATAGCTTTTAATGGCAGCATGTGATACTCACAAACACGTTTAATTGACAATTATTCAAATATCTTTTTGCCATTTATGGAATGGTGAATTGCAACTGGAACCCTGAATGTAAAAGGGCCTGATATGCACCCAGTCATCCTGATAACCAATCACAATGTATTAAAGAAAGACATTTGACAAAATTATCATCATCAATACAGTCAGAGAAGTAATTGATTTTTTTTATAAAAAGAAAACACATAGATATTTTAATTGTTCTTTCTGTGACACATTTGATTCTATCAGTTTTGGTATTTTATGTAATTGATTCAGTATACAATGTAATTGACAGAATTATACTAAACAGATAATAATGTCATTTTTGCTTTAACTCTGTAGAAATTTATAGTTCCATAACATACCAGTTGTAATTCAACACTTCCACTTGGATTAACACACCATTCCATAAACTGTTTCATTAGAAGTTTCATCCTTTCTTTCTGCTCAAACATTTTCTGCTCTTCCATTTTCTCTCTTTCATCACGTCGCCGCTTTGCTTCAGCCTTGATTCTTGCCAATCTTATATAATTATATAACATATAAAATTCACATTTCCAATCTAAAATATCAAAAGTGAATTATAACTAGGTTACCTTTCCTTTTGAATTCATTTCTGTTTTGAAAGTGAACAAATATTGAAGTTTAAAGTGAAAATTTTGATGATGAAGAAGCATACCAAGATGGAAATTAATGGCTTTGACAGTTTCTTATTAAACAATGGACCTTAATGAAAAGGTAAATCAATGCAAATACCAACCAGAGAAAACAAAAGCTTATAAAAACATTTAGATTTTCATATGCTCTTATCAATTAGCTATCTTGATGATCTTTCTGTCATGACACTATGACTTGCGTAAAAATGTATGTGTCAGTTTTTATCAATGTGAAACTAAATCATTGAAAAAAAAGGGTATAAAAGAATTACCTGTTGTCTTCAATATTGAAGAGTTCTTTCTTAAGTTCCTCATTGACTTCTCGAAGACTTCGCACATATGGTGATGCCTCTGAGAAATTACTATATCTTGGATTATTTCTCATGAGATATTGTGCTAGATGATTAATCGGGTTAAAATTTGGATCACGTTTATCACTGCCATTTGCAAGTCCCCTTTTATCTGCTTCATTGAGTAACTTTTCCATTCCAAGAATTAATGTTGGCATCAATTTCTCTACAAGATATGCTCTTGTTTCAAGAGTTGCCTCGATAACATTTAACCAATCTCTTGCTAAAAGCTCAGTAGGGATTTTTCTAGCAAGATTTGTTGCTTGCTCTTTTGATATCTTTGTTAGCTCCTTTTTAGTATTTCTTAAACCAACAAGTTTTTCCATCATGCTTTGTTCATGTTGTCTTTTCCATCTTTGAACTGCACTTGGAACCCTTTTTTCTGGAGAGCCATTTCTTTTTGCACTGCCTCTAGACCCAGCAGAAGTGTTTCTTGGTTCACCAACCATGGTCACCCTTTTAGGGGTGCCAGGCTTTTGAACATCAGTCATTTCGATTTATGTATTTTTTACTGAAATATATAATTACTAAATTGATAAGCATGTAAATAAAGCAATATGAAATATATCTCAAGGTATTACAAAATACTTAATTAAAACATAAAATGTTTTCAACACATATGAGGTATGGTAGAACCAGAGATTTAAACAGAATGCTATACTTGTATTAAAAGAATTGATTTATTCTCTGTCACACATTTATAAGCTGCAATAATTGGTGACCAGTAATTATGGATCATGCTTCCGGCAAGAAAGACATCTTGTTGTCAATCATACTCATAAGATATACTGAAGACTTTGTCCATTTTATATATTTAAACTATAAAACATGAATAAAATTGATCTCATTGCAAACATGAAACACACTACTACTATTAACAATAATTAAATCAGAGATCAACTTTATTTAAACAGCAATTGAGTATTTGTAATATCTTTCCTGAATGTTTCATAACATGAACATTTATGGAGACTGAAAGACTGCTGTTTCATACATACTTGTACTAAACAAAAATTATTACAACTGAAAATTCTTTTACAATAACATGCATCATAAGACAGTTAAAGACCACTAAATTGATACTCTGCCATTTTCACAATGTCTTTAATTGAAAACTGAGCAAGTTTAATCAAATCTTTAAGTACAAATCCTGCCAGCAACAATGATAGCAGAGAATTATCATGACATTTTATTTTTTGCTTTCTCTCAGAATATAACATCCCTGGTAAATCAGCTATAATGTGGTTACAAGACAAAAAAAATACAACTGTTATATTCTACACTTATGCTCGAGTATAAAAAATGAGAAAAAAAGATTAACAAGGCAAAGGTGACGTTCACAGAACTTCAATATTGGCAGTTTATGTAAAATTATCAAAGACTTTTACATGTGCATAAATCAAAATCCACATAAACAACTGTAAGTTCTGAAACTTTCCACACTGTTCTTTAAAATGTAATGATGCAACACATGATTCAACTGTTTAAGTATAATGGTGAGGTCCATTTTAGAAAGATGTCAAGCAAAATGTTGACTACATGACATGAAATTATGCTCCCGAAAGTTATGTACAGTGAAAGTTGAGAAAATCGGACGGCTTTCGGACCGAGGGTTTTGTCCGGTTTTCTCAGCGGTCCGGTATTCTCAATGTCCCCTTCAGCTGTTCGGGATCCTGTAAACCGAGCAATGACTTACAAAGGATGCTGAACGTATATTTGCATTTTCATGATCATGTGTAATTATATTGCTAAATAAAGAAATGATAAAAATACTATGCAATATGTTCAAATTGTTTTTGTCTCATTATTGCATATAAATATAATAAAATTTTGGATTTAAACGAACAGCAGTTACTTCATAACGATAAAGTCCGTTTACCCCCGCATATGTTTACATTTTGTTAATGGATAATGATAAAATGAAGATAGTTTACTTTGTTTATTTGTAATAATGTCCCAATTGTAAATATTACCTATACCATATTTGTCTGATAAAGATTTTTAAAGTAGGTCTCTGCAAAGTTTCACTGTCTTTAATTAATTTAAATTTGTCACTTATAGACAGCTCTCGTCAAATTCTTTTAGGCCATGGAATAAAACTTGATAAAGCGTTGATAAATGTCATTTCCGTTTCGTTGTCAGGGAAATTAATATACAAAAAGCAACGCAGTATAATAATACTCTATTTTTCATTCATACTGATTTTAACTTATCAATTCCTCGTGCATTTTGGCATTTATGTAAAACGGTAACATCTATACCTTACAATAAATCAAACTATGAAAAGAGACATAATTAACAAATCAGACAATCATTGTTCCGTTACCGCTCATTTCGCGTATTGGGCACAACCAATTGATAAGTACAAAAGGTTATTCACACCTTCGTCGTCCGATATTGTCAGGGTAATTGTCTATATAATTGACTTTGTAGTCCCCTTTCAACCGTCCAATATTCGGTTTTTACAGATTCCGGTATTGTCAATGTTTAATACAATAGTTTATAGAAGGGAAAATTTGGGACTGAATTATTCGTCCGGTGTTTAGAGAGTTCCGATTTTCTCAGCGTCCGGTTTTCTCAAATTTCACTGTATTTGGTATAAATTATATACAGTCTAGTAAACAGGTGCTAGATAGTAAATATAGAATCTGTTATAGCAGACCCCAGAAATAATCAAGTTGTAAGTGGCCTTGCTTTACTGTTGGGTGAAACACATTATGTGGTTGAAGTGTTTGCCTTGTGATCAGGTGGTATAGGGTTCAAACTCTGGATAGAGCCTGTAGAACCTGAGGATGATTTTTAATACAAGCTTATAATGTTTAACATCACAAGATCACAGTCTGCTATACTACTGTATATATATGGATAATAGCAAGCTCGACGAGCTGGCCCGAAGGGCCTGCTCGCAAAGCGAGCTTTATGGTAAGGCGAGTACCTGCTAAGTGATGGTTTTGAAAACTTTCGTCTGAAGTACCGAATTGGACACATCGCAACTTTTCGAATTTAAAGATAACGATAAAAACTGAGGAATTCTGACTGAAAACGGATGTGTAGACTGGTCACCCGCGCACGTCTATGGGAACCATAATAGGACAGGGAACCAGAATAACGGAAGCTGTGTATAAAATATCGAATGACAGTTTTAAAACGGAAAATGTAAAATGAAATTTGAAGGCGCCATTTTGTTTGAAAAATCTGATAAATATAAACAATTTTTTGTCGAATTTTGTTGTGAAAACTATCTAGAATGAAAGAAAATGGTCTAACTAAGAAAATGAATCTGAACACCAATATCTTTTATTCAGTTGTTAACGCTGTACAGATCTTTAAAGTATTGTTTACGTGACGTCACAATGTAGCGCCAAACAGCACATGCAAAACAATCAAATCAAGTACGCTATTTTAATGTCGCAAACGTTTTAAGTTTTACATTTATTTCACTTTCAATAAACTTTATTTCGCTTGAAAAATTATAGAGTGAAATAAAATAAGCAAACAAAGTTTAATCAACGTTTTCAAAACTCGTTATTCATTGAACGACAGGGGCGCAGTATGTGTGACGTCACACGCACTCGTCTAAAAATGAGCGATTATTTCATACTATTTCACATTAAAAGTACATCGAGCTCGCTTTGAGGCTTTGCCTTTTTCATATTATGCCTTATTCTCATCGATTCGTGCCTTCTCATCGATTCGTGACCTAAATAATTGTCTGGTATAAATACTTCTGCAAGGACATACACCATCTGAAAACTACACAAGTTTTATTAGACACTCGATTTGACAATTCTATCCAATCAAAATGCGTAATTGAACAGGTGTAAATGACCTTACCCTACAATCAGCTGGCGACCTAATTACTTTAAAATATTTGATATTAATGTTTTAATTTATCAAACACACTTACACTTAAGCCAAAAAAATATTCATTATGCTGTAAGAATTTACTTAAGACTTTGAAACATATATTGATCAGATCAGGCTGAAAATAACCATGCGAACATTTAGTGGTGTGAGCACCTATATTTTGATGACGTCACAGGGTGAATCGGTGGGTAAGCGTCCAGCTGAGCAAGACAGTCATGGTTGACATGTTCAGTTGCTCTAATCTTTGAGCGGTTGTTTTTAGAAGTAATTTAAAGTTTTTGAACTTTTAGATAATGAATTTATTTAACAAATGCACTAATTGAACTGTATGTATGTCTAATATTTGTTGTGCAAGTGCAATTATTCCAAATAAGAGTCACGAATCGACGAGAGAAAAGCATAATTTTGTTCTTGATTATCAACGAGATATTTTTTATCATTGTTGGCATATATGGCAAATACCCGTGTTAACGAAAGAATACAAGACCTATAGACAAACAAATGTCATACCGAAATTGCTTCAAAACACATATTTCATTCTGCAAGATTGACAACAAAACAAAATTTCTGGTCGCGAAATCTAATGATAAATTTAAAATATTTGTTTTCTACGCAAAAAAAACCGCATGCATCATCAAAATGTAACGTATTTGAAGTAATTTCCTGATTAAATATTGTTTAAATCTGTGTGATAAAACAGGAATCCAAATTCATTATAAAAGATGAAATTACTGTTTCTAAAAAGTTGTTTCTTCGTCCGCCATTGGTTGCTAAGCGGAAGTGCATAAAGTATATAAAGTCCGTTTACAACGGAACAACTTATTGCAGGTCGAGAAACAGGAGATATATTGCGTTATTTTGTGTACTGTATCATCAGTTCGAACAGAAAATGTATGTTTCTTGTTGTAATCAGATAAACAATATATAGCTAATTTTGTTAATACTTTCTTCTATTCTAAAAATTTAAATATGCTACTGTATGGTTTCTTGCAAAAAAGTTGGATATATCAAATCAATACAAAGCGATATTCATCTTCAATGTCATTGTTGTTGCAAATAAAACATGTTCGGTCACTTCTATCAACATTACTACCTGTTTCTATAAATAAATTGTTTCAACTGTTATTTCTTGACCCCAATTCCTGGCAATTTCCGTTTAAAGGTCTTCCAGAATTTACGTGGTGATTTATGTTTAATTGTATTAAGAGATTGGGCAAATTTTTTATCAAAATTATTTTTACATTTACGGTAATAATATGTATAGTCCTTTTCGTCATATAAACGTTCATTCTTTTCTCTTATTTGGGTGTATATTTTATTCATACATTGCTTTTTTTAAAAACAATTTATGTTTTTCTTTGCAATCTTCTTATAGGCCCTATACAGCTTTTGCCTGTTTTTGTCTGTACTGCTAAAATACAAAGTCTTAATTTAGCAGTTTTCAAAGTATTTCTTCCCATTTATATGCAGAAAATCTGTGAATTTATTAACTAGTGTATTGGGTATTCTCCATTAAAAATATGATTTAGATCAACTTCGCTTCTTTGAAGATTGCTTATGATGCATTTTCCATGACAAAATTACTGAAATACTTAGTTTGAAACAACACAGAGTTGTTTTTCCAACAAAAAATAAAATCTGAAAGCCGCTTTGATAATAAGATATTTCTTATCTTAAATTCTATCAAGTAATGGTATAGAATTTATATAACTAGAATGTATATACATGTATCTATACCCGTGAGAGAATAAACACTACGTGAAGAGGAAAAGGAAAAAGCGCGGGATTTGGGAGAAAGGAGATGTTAGAAACCAATGTAAAACTTTCTCTCAAATCCCTTTCATATACACGATTGGACATAAAAATAGTACACAAAATTGAATGAGATTCAAACATATAGTTGCATTGTCTCAGACGCATCTTTGAATTTCCGCTAATAAGCGTACATTACGGAACAATCTTTCAAAAACAACTGTAAAATTTACTTTCTAAGTTTACAGTTAGATACTTGATGAAAATTGACCACTTTATATTTTAATTGTTGTAAAATTTGATATCATCCTTTTTTATAATCATTACAAGTTTATCTATAATTACTATAATAAATATGAGTGTCAGTCGGATGAATGAATGAAAATATCTAACCTTTACATTCAAGAATATATATAAAAAAAAATTGTTTTTTTTTGTATAGATCTACATATTTTCTTTGTTATTGTTAAATCAGAAGGCCATTCTGAAAATAAGTATACTTTCTTACTGTGTAAACTTTGTATGATACCTTCTATAAATAAAGATTTTATTATTATTATTATTCTTACAACGACAAAAGGACACTTAACGTAACAAATAAATCGACCCGTGATATTTCAAAGACTTTATAAAGCTATTACGGTAGTTTTTTGTATGATTTAATGTAGAATATATATAATTAACACTTTTTTGCAGCTTGTTGATTTATGATTTACTTCATCAGATTTTTTTATCAAATAATCTAATTCCGATATTTATGGGATATTCCAATCTAACTTTATTAAAGGCTTATATATGATCACTTCCCTTCCACATATAATTAAATACTTTTAATATAATCAATCACTTCATCATACATTCAATCTAACTGATAGTGGATTTGGAGCCTTTTGAGGAACATACAAATGAAAGGTAGGATATAGGTCCTACCATACATACATTAAGAACATATTTTGAAAAAGAAGGAAAAAACGTGTGTGTGTTGTTTTTTTTTCTTTTTTAATATATAGAGGATATTCAAGTTCTTTCTATAAATACATGATTTATTTTCATCGAGTGGTATGAAAATAAATATTTCATGAGTGGCGGTAGCCACGAGTGAAATATGGTAATTTTCATGCCACAAGATGAAAATAAATCATGTATTCATAGAAAAAACTTGAATTTTCTGTTTATTATATACATTTTTCTCTTTTTTGCGATAAAATTTGAAAGACTTTCCCTTAAATTTTGTGTACTGGCAGAATTTAAAAGAAAGTAGTCCGGCAAGACACCAGTGAAAATACGGAAAATATGTTTCACTGCAGTGAAAAATAAATTTTTACAGTGAAAATGAAAATACGCATTTTATTTCATCAATATTTCTCAATATTTCATTTATAAGTATATAATAAATACATATTTTTACTCACTGAAAACAGGTAAGCATATGACTTTTAATATAAGCACAGGTTCACTGGGTATATCAACGCAATTCGAATATTATATTTTTCTTCTTAATCTTCAAATACATAAAATAGAGAAATACAGAATCCCTAAAGAAAGCCCAACACGACAAAATTGAAAATGTTGCAGGCTCGGTTTGATTGAGCCTGTTCATGGACGGTAATGGAAAGTGCAAGTTACCGTCCACGCCCCCTAGCACCGGCTTAAGCAGAATTCAACATTTAACACGAAAATGGTGAAATTTTGAATTTAGAAACATCCGCAGATGTGTTCATACGGCGGTTATCATGGAACCTTCAATGTGACACAGTAGTGTCATTCCATGAAAAGCGGCGTATGGTCCCCAAGTAAAAGAATGCTTGTGCCCTAAACGAGAAAACAATGAGCGGAACTAAATAAAATGGAATTTTGAAAGGGGATCTGAGGTTATGAAATATGATAAACAAGATCAACAAGGAAAGGCGGCGTTCAATGAACGCAACCCCCATATGATCCAGCAACAAGAACCAATGGCAAGGAGCCCAGGCGGACCCCAAACAAAAACAGGACAGGGCAAAGACAGGTTAATCATTAAATGATAAATAATTTGTAACTGATTAGGAATTCAAAGAAAATAATAATAGGCCCACAAAGGGGAAGGGGACAGGAGACCGGGGGAAGGGGGTGGGGGTTAATCAAAGAAATAAAAACTAGAGGCAATGGGGAAGATACTTACCGTAGACGAGAAAACAACAAGGGACACAAGCAAAAGTGTCACCAAAACAGTATGAAACAACATAGACATACATCTGAGGAACACAGTGGGGCGCCGCCTTGGAACAGTCAGCAGCATAAGAATAACTGCTGGGGAGTTTAAACCGGTTAATGGTGCATATCACAGATAAGCCTGCATATCACAGATAAGACGTCAAAAGACAAATTTAAAAAGCAGGCAACATCCTAAGGGTGATTATACAGTATTTTTGAAATGCTTTCAATCACATAGTTCCAAATTATCTATGGAGGTTTGATGTTTACTTATTGGAAAAAAAACAAAGATTCCACAGTTTGCTGCAGTACATTATCAATATAAGGTACTGGCCCTCCGTACTGCGTGAGGCACGATGTTTTCTCCCATATTATAATCAAGACAATAGAGAAAGTTGGAACGTTGACCTCATGTCACAATTGACTTGGAAACTGGTGACAGTTATCTGTCGGATATTGCCGACGATCCATTCTTACTGTTGTGCCATATACTACCTATACCAAACATTTTCTACTTTATCCAGTGTCGTTTCTGGTAAAATTATAGGGGCGGCGGTCGCTACCCTGATGCAACGCTACTGGCAATAGGGTTGCAGATTCCCATACATAATGTGTACAGTTTATCATTAAAATTAGACAAGTTCATTTAGAATTTTCTACAAAAGAAAAAAAATCTGGGAAACTTAAATATTTTAAAAAAATTCAAAATTTGAAAGACCCTGGAAGTAAAAAAAAAATGTAACTCAACTTGGCATTCACAGTGATACTTATGAGGAGGAAATTTTTTTTTCATTCACACGTTAAATAATTTTCATTCTTTTTTTATTTTTTTATATGAATTCCTGTGGTTCAGGGTCAAATATACATTTTGTGAGTTATCTTCAGGAACTCATTTCTGGGCGGTAGGATAATATAAAAAGTACTACGCGCCGGCAGACAAATTTTTTCTTAAAACTTAACACTTCCAACGACTACTTAGTTCTGGCTTCCAAAACTTTATAAGCCGCTTTTTAAATATTTTTTTTTCATCTGATCACGTCATGTCATAGTATATAAACGGGTACGCTGAAGACATTGAAAACAGATAGCTTATTTGAAAACAGATAGCTTATTATAAAATCCCGGGCCTCATTTGACTCCGATAAGTTTATCTCAATTTTTTAAGATCACGACGTTGGATTATCTTCAAATTTTCAGGTTACAAAGTCTAGTAGACAATTTTATATAAAACTTACATTAAAAACCAGTGGCGAGCTAAGCGTTAAATATATTGGCAGTTGTCTAAATAAAAGTTACGTCGACTTGAAGCCTGCTTTTGATAGCTATTATAAAAACCCCATGCCCTTACCTATATTATCTATACGGCTTGATTAATCCATAATTTAGCCTCAAGCGTGACTAATCTATTAAAAATTACAACTGTCTAAAAAATTATGCGCATTGTGATAAAAATTTCGTCACTTGAACCTGAGAAGCAATAAAACAGCCGTATTAGATTATGTATAATTATGTGAACACTGCAGACATGTTATACCTATTGAGAAATAATTCAAAATGTCTCCGTCCCGAAAATGCAGACAATTTATTTCGAAATAATTCAAAATGTTTACACCCCACCAGAACCTGTCCTAGCCAGACGAAACTCTTATGAGATGGCTAGGACGTCTAATAGAACAGCTTTTAATCAATGTATTTGGCGGATTTTTACGTCATTTCCGAGGTCATAAACAAAGGTCAACAAAGGCGGAAGTAGACAATGCAATGGAGTAATGAGAAGAATGCAGATTTCTTTGTAAAATTAGTGAATTACTATTGGTGCTACGATTTCATTAATGCATTATGCAGTTATACTGACAATAGTTCCATCATGGCGCTTGTGACGGTGCAGAGGTCACCGAGTCCCAGTGCTAGTGCTGAGACGGTGAGACTTTACTTTGATTCAGGAAATGAAACTTGTTAATGTTATGTTATGATTATACAGTGATTTTTTTTTTTTTTCAATTTTCAAAACAACCTTTGGCTTTCAGAAGAGGAAAATATAGCGCGATAAATGAGATAGGGGGAAATCAAATTTCAAAAACTGAAAATGGAATTTACCCACACATTTTATATAAAATTTTAAATTTCAATTCAATTTAAGGTAAAGGGTCATCTCGTCCCTATACCAACTCGGCACAGTTCAACTCGGCACAGGCCAACTCGGCCCTCTATCAAATTAGGATGTAGATTGTTTAGATTGTTTAATTTATAAAAATTTAAGGAGTAAATTATTATAAAATTATTCAGAAGTACGATCAATTATAGCTAAAGATACTTCAGCGAACAGGTTTTATAGTACTGCTAGACCTGTTAGCTGAAGCCAATCCTGTATCGAAAGTCAACCAGAACCATGACATATTTATGTCATGCTGTAGTTCAATAAATTTCGGTGATCTGGACAAAAGCTATTTCAATACAGGTAGTTAGATATATTTGGGACTCTTCAGTCTATATATTTGAACACATAACGTAAGATTGATGAAATAATGCCTCAAAGTTTATCAGCGGGTTCACATTTCATAAAATTCATCGCCATTGCTGCCCTAATTATCACGTGACTAGCGAGAATTTAGGTTCGTATACTTTGCATGACATTTGGTGACCCGTGACCCAAATTGAAAACATGGCTTTGCAATAATAAAATTATGAATAATGGTGTATTTATTCAATAACAGACATTGTACCAAAAACATGTTGGATTTAGAGCTGTCATTGATTCAGTGCAAAGCATATCAACGATATATCGATATCAAGTAACTAAAATCAACGATACACCGATATATCGATAATATCCTATACTCACTTGTCTGTCATCCATTTCCATACCTGTTTCAATGATTTCAGTCAAAAACATGTTCTGTACAGTGTCTTGTCCACTGCATGATTTTTTCTATACAATATTTTTTGTCACCATTGCTATAAAATAATTCCACTATATAACAAAAGCATCACATTTGATATAAATAATTGTTTCTGCATATATTTTGGGTGAATTGTATAATTTCTAGGCATTTAATTTATAAGTCAAAAGTATCGATTTTTTAAAATGTGTATCGATTATTGATCGACAAAAAAATATCAACGATACATCGATATTGTCGATATCGATGACAGCTCTAGTTGGATTTATATTGTTTTGAGTGATGATTCATGAATTATTTGTTTGTTTTTATATAAAATGATCAAACACTTACTAAGTAAATATACATGTAGTGTATGGTCCGTTACTAAAAATAGATGCTAGAATTCCCAAAACTTGAAGTCCCGCGAGATTTCATTTGAAAGCAGACTCCATATTGGTAAACATTCTCTACATATTTGCTTAAAAAATAGTTGGGTACACAATGTCATTGAAGTTTCATTTAAAAACAAAACATGAATTGATTCAAAATTGATTTGTTTATCAAATGGTATTTTTATTTGACCCAAAGATTAATAAGGGTGATTTTAATAGGTTTGTATGTACGGCGCACAAAACTGCTAAATTCTGGTAGCCTTTGCAAATAGGGTTGACCCATAACTTTACTGTCGCAACGTCAAAATAAAAACGACATATAAAGTTATGGAAGCCAGAACTAGATCAATTACAAACAGAAATTATCTTTGTTAAGAAGAGATATAAAAACAGTACAATATATATTGATCCATAAATAAAGTTTTGGGATTGAATTTTTATGACAATAAATGTTATTGTATTTAACATTGTTTGTTCTTTAATACAACCAATGCTGTTTTAACGATATTTTTTACTGAAAACATCTAAAGTAGACAAAACATGCATATAAATTGTTAATTCTTCCTTTCTCTACAAAATCACATACAAATTGGTACTTTCGTCAATAAAACCTTTCATTATCCTTGAGTAGAGGTATATAAACGTGAAAATGTTAAACAATGAAAGTAATGATGAAAATATATAAAAAGTAATCATTACCTGTATTTTATATTATTATGGGCCGAGTTTACCCATGCCGAGTTGGAATAGGGCCGAGCTGACTAGGGGGCCTAGCTGACCCTGATTCTAATTTAACATGCATGGTACATAGCAGGTTATCTATACTAGGGACAGTTTTCTGTCTTCTAGCTGATATAAGTCAGCTGCTGTTAAGTGGTTCTGGTGAAAAATGTGCACAGGGCATTTTAGGGGGAAGTATTAGCATTTTTAGGGGAAAATATACCTATTTTGGGCTAGGGGGAACAGCCTTTATTCGGCTGTAAAATAAAAAAATCACTGTTATATGGGTTCTACAGCATTATGAATAATATTTCGACCTCTCATTGTTTTTTACTTTTCCACAGGATATTACCACAGGGACCCAGCACAGTGTTGGGATAGTGTAAAAAAGTGATTCTAGAAAAAAATATATACTGACTGTATATATATTATATATACAGTATATATTTTTTTTCTAGAATTACTTTTTTTACACTATCCCAACACTGTGCTGGGTCTCTGTGGATATTACCATAACAGTTGGAACAATTCAAAGTGGTCTGATTTTTGTGAAGTGAAAAAAAACAAAACCAGAAGGCATACTGGTTGGCACTAATTAAATCACATATTTTTGCAATATATTAATTATCTTCCTGATATTTTAAATAGTGAACCACCTAAACAAAGTTCAGTTCAATGACTTAACATTACATTGCTAAAATTGTGTATGAAAATGAAATCTGGTACATGTACCTTTATAAGTTCCTGAATGAGGTATACAAAGCATGGTCTTTTTTCCCCACAACAGTAGATACATGTAAAGTCGACTTATAAATTTTTAAGTAAAAAATGACTGGAAAATCAGTATCAATAATTTATTTTTTACATCTTATTTGCCTAATCTATTTTTTTGTTAATATGTAAACAATTTTCAAAAATCTTTCCATGGTCAGCACAATTCTAACTACCCTTTTGTAATTTAGTAAAAAGAATGTTTTGGAGCAGATTTTGCCTACAAAAAGATTAGGTTTTTGAAAAACATTAAAAAGTTTACCAAATTATAAAAAATCATCACATCCTGTCATGCTACTATACAACTAGGTGTCCATGTGGTTATTTGTTGAAAAACAAAGTTATGTACCGGTAACAACTATATTTATCAAGTGTCGGGGTTATCTGTGCGTCGGAGTTATCTCTCCGGCCAGTACTGTTCAACATATTTTATTTGTTTACAACATTATCAGGTCTAGGATTTCATGATATTTACCAGGGTAATTTTTAGTTTGCACCACCAAATTTGCCAATCAGAAAACGTTGGAGCCAATAATTTTGAAAGGGAGACATGCCCCTAGTGAAGATTTGCTGGCAGTTGATAACAAACAAATATTTATAATATTTTATTCTATTCTGTGATCTTGAATGGACAATCATGAAAAAAACATTCATTTTTTTAGGGAAAATCAAAAAGTAATTACTGACCAATGAACTTAAATAACACTACAGTACTCTCCAAAAAAGATCAGAATTTTAGTCAGATGTTGTACTAACTGATTATAGTGAATAGCAGCCTGTGTTATCCAAGATCATATGGCACAGATGCAGTGGTTTTTTCTCACTTAACTGGGAAGAGACCTTTGAAAAAAATTATTGCTTAAATTATCAATTTGGGAAGTAAAAAAAAAACTGGTGTAAGTTCAGATTTTTGGTAAAATTGCATGATTTAAAAATAAAGGTGAAATATCACTGAGATTTGCTAGCAGACCTTGGTCTGCACTGGATTGCAAGTTTAGAATCAATTGCAGCCAGCAGACGTGGGGTTTAACATATGGATTTGCCAGTGTTGTTTCATTTTATAATTATAGTATCAGATTGACTCTTGTCAAAAAAGGTTAAGAGCTGAAAGGTTTATCGTACATGTAGCATGAAATCACATGATTTGTTTCTATATGTCAATTCAGTTTGTTTGTCATTTTTTAAGCCTGTTTTATTATGCTTATATGTAATAATGTTTAATATTCTATCAAAAGTAAATAAAAACCAAGAATATAGTTGACAGTATTTATGTTTTAATTCTTTCAGGAAGAACAAGATGTTCTCGACACAAGTGATAGCAACTTGAAATCTCCACGTCAGAGGAGGTATGTACATTTTGTTATGTTTACCTTGTATTTCAGGTAGGTCAGAGGTGAAGAAGGCCAATAACTGAGAGTAGACTTTTCTGTCATAATAGAGAATAATGATGATCAATGTACATGTATATATTTGATTTATCATCACATTCTTGATCATCTTTAAGAATTGAGCTACTGACATTAGTGACAGGATTGGCAGTCATCTATAACATATAAATTTGTATGATTTTTGTTTAAAATTATATTGTATCAGTTAAAAGTTCTAAAATTCCAGCAGGACATACAGGCATAAATTCCATGGTAAAATGTTATTAATGATTGATAAGAGACTTAAAAGATAATAAAGTAATAAAATTTATAATATTTTCATGTTTTGACATACATGTATTCACCAAGTTTTAGTTAACTTCTAGTCATTAACTGACGAAGTTTCTCTGGTACACTTTTCACTGTCCTAATGACTGCCTTACATTATGACACCACAGAATTATACCAACCTAGCTGGTACACATTTACACTGAATGCTTGAAGTAAAGCAATGTTGTATAAATGTCTAACTCAAGAAAACTAGTAGTGTCCAAGATAAAAAATCATTAATCTGAACATTGGACCACTACATTGTTTAAATGGACCTTTGATCTTCTTTCAGCTGTTCAAATGTTTTAATGAATGTTTGTTATAATTCCCAAGCAGGTTTATTTAGCAAGTTTTTTGCTCACCTGAGCACAAAGTCTTAAGTGTTGTTAACTTCTGCATACAAAATGGGAATTCAAAATAAACTGGTACACTTGGTCACCAGATGATATCTTGGGCACAAATCCAGCTCAAAGATCAAACTGGTCACAGCAAGGGTTAAACCTGTTACATAGTCTTTAAGTGCAGGTGGATTGTTTGTCTAGTCAGTAATACATCTGCATGCATAATTGGAAAGAAATGTGTTGGATGTACATGTAAGATGCACATTCTCACTTTCAAGGTCAAGGCTCTGCTAAGAGGTCAAAGGTTAAGTACTGTTTAGCTTATAACATAGTCATTACTTGATGGATCGTGGAAATATTTGGTGTATGTCTTCATCACTAGAAGATAATGTCCACACCTAAGGTCAAGGTCATTTTTGGAGGCCAAAGGTCAAATCCTGTTTGCCCTATAACATTGTTTGGCAAATGTCAGATGATGTGTCATGCTTATGACCATTGTCTGCACCTTCAAAGCAAAAGTTGCTGTTGGAGGACAAATTCACCTGGGTAAGAGAGTCTGTTATTTGTAATATCCAGTTCAAGATTTTACTTAGGGAAAGAATTGTCATATGCAGGAGTAATTGTGTCCTATGGACACATTTTTAGTTTTTCTGTATTTATTATGTTGATACATGTACATGTAGTTTAAAGTTAAACTCGCATAATTAATATATCTTAAATAGATAAAACCTTTGTATATTGTTCATAAAACAATTTTACAAGATGTATAAAGATATTTATGGATATTATCCCCCCAAAGTTATCTGCAGAAAAAAAATGAAAAAAATATATTTATAACCTTTTTTTGTAATATGACATTGACCTTGTATCAGCTATAAAACTGATCAAATGTCAAGCCTGCTTAATATTATGCAATTTATTTTTTTTCTTAGTTTTTTATGCAAAATGTTTTAGCATCTGATTATGGTTTGCACTGTCTACATGTATTCAATTCAGTACATTTTTAAAAAAAAAATTCCTTGAACATAATGAATGGTTTAATCAAGATTGAAAGATGAACATGTCTGTTAAAAAGTTAAAAAAATTTTTAGTGTGGTAAGGGTGAAAATAGTTATGCTTGTTTGATGAACAGAAATACAAATGTTTTAAAATATTTACTAGTCAGTTATATCATGTATCTAACATAGAGGGGAATTTGTTTGTCATGATCACTTTACAAGTAATTGCATAGATTTTGTAAAGATATAAAATAGCGTGATATAATCAGACTAGGAAATCTTTGTGATTAGATAATGTAAACTTTCCTGTATAGATACTTGATCATATATCAAAGACCTCGTTTGCATTTTTTCATTGTGAAAACATTATGTTTACTTTGATTGATTTTTAACATTTGCTTTGAACATAAAAATGTACACTGTTGATAAAACGTTGAAGTAAATACTTATTTCTTGTCTTTTTTCATGCTTTATGTTTCTATCTTTTGTTATTGAAACAGTTAAAATATTTTTCACTGAATTTTAGTTGTTGTAATCTGTTTACTTTTTTCACATATTAAAGTGACATTATGTTCATTTTTTCTATGCCAAGTTGTGTTGAATTATATGTAGTAATATATTTCTAAATATTGGCTATTTTAATGGTGATTGACCAATAATTTATAATGAAAAATATTCATGATACAATAGAAAAACTACCTAAATTATAAAAAGACTGTCCCACTCTTTTTGAGAGTTTAGTGATATCGATACATTATGAACAATATTTTAATATAGGAAATTCAATCATTCCTATGGGTTATTAATGAATTTATCATAGTTAAATATAGAATTGAACACAATTATGGCAAAAAAATTTATCTGCTGTTATTAAAATTTCTAGCTTGTCATTAAGGTTTCTATTTTACAGGTATCACCATAGCAGGGATCATTAGTTCAGCGATTCATTAAAAATATTTTATAAAGAAAAAAATTGATTAAAGGCCCATTATGCCCCAGTTATATAGTTATTTTTCAACAACTTTATTTTTATGTACTTTTACAGTTTTCAACATTGGCCAATTATCTGAATCATCTTTTGCTGCAATAAATTTTTAGTAAAGTAATATTGTGAATGGAAGTCAAATGTTTTTTGTTTACATTTTTATCGGACAAAAATCTGACAATAAACAATATTCTTCAGGTAATAAACATCTAACATGCTTTTAACATAACTATTATATAAATGTTTTAAAACTCTTGCTTGCGTTTTCTAAAGAAGTAAATAATTCATTGTTTCTGAGGCATAATGTACCTTTAAAATAAATAACATAATTTTCATGTTTCAGACGACGCTCTAAGTCAGCTTTGAAAAAGCTCAAGAAGCTTTTCAACACTGTTAGATTTGTAACAAAGTTAAAACCATGGTGAGCTCCTGTAAACAGATGTTAGGACACCTTTAATAGTACAATAACATCCGCTTGTTCCTGTTAACAAAATATACACAAACGATCATCAGCTTCAAAGAATCATTTAAACAATTTTATATTTATTTAGCTAGAAGAAATGGTCATTTAATTATTGCAGCAATTCCATGGCAAATCAATTAAAAAACGTCAATTATCAATAGAATTAAATTTTAAGTCTTGCACCACCTTCGAAACAGGAATTATGTTTTATTTTTAGTACTTAGTTTATTGGAAGTTGATGTAAAGATTTAGAAAATGATGTTGTTTCACTATGTAAAGGTGTTCTACTATAATAGGAATGCTAGCATGCCTATCAAAGAGAATAACTCTTTTATAAACACACCTGAGCACAACATGTTCCAAGTGTGCTTTGGTGATCACCCTGTGTCTGTTGTCCATCGTTGTTTGTTAACATTTTATTAAAGCGACATCTGCTCCTAAACCCCAAGGCCAATAGTGATGAAACCATACAGAATGATCCTTGGATTTCCCCCTTGGATGCACAGATGGTTCCAGTCTGCTTAAACAAAATGGCCACCAAAGCTGAAAATAGAAAGACCCTTAAACAACATTCCCTTAATAATTTGGTAGTGTTTTTGTACAGAGTCTGAATCACGTATTATTGAAATCTTGTCCATGTAAAGCATATCCTCAGGTGAGCAATTAAGGGCCATCATAGCCCTCTTGTTAACAGCATCATGTATCAGGTATGTTAACTCTGTTGTATGGGGATGCTAATCTTGCTAGGCTTTTTTTTAATTTACGCTGTTGTTCTTTTTCAGCAATGGGGTACCAGCCACTATAATTTGTGTATTATGTTAGCTCACCTGAGCATGAATTGCTTATTGGTGAGCTGTCAGGATTGGTCAGTTGTCTAGATTGTTAACACACAAGAGGTCACAAATTCACAATTTTGATTGAATATGAAAACCTTTCATTTGTGTTAAAAGTTTTATTGCTCTTTGTTTTTTTTCTAAACAGGACATGTATTGCATTAAATATTGACTTGTTAAGTCATTGTATAAAGGAATAAAGCTGTATATAACTTTATGAAGTTTATTCATCGATCTACAGATTTTAAAGCCTAACTGCTGTTAGTTGAAATGTTTGTTGAAGTTCAGATCTTTCTGATATAGTAAAACATTTATATATATCTTCTTAATCCAGGATTATCATCTGTTATTCTTCATGATCAACATTTTATGTACACACAGTTATTTAAATGGTTCCTATCTGATGCATATAAAGTAGGTCACAATAATTAAAGATAGACTCTTGAAATAAAGTCTTAAAACTTAAAAAATCTTCTCAGAAACTACAATGCCTAAAGCTTAATTTTTTTTTGCATAGGACCTTGTGGTCCTCAACAAAAATTATAGAAAGCATGCCATTATATTAACCCTTTCCCCCATGAGCATATTGTGAAAAATGGCCATTTTCACTGAAAAGCCTCCTCTCACAAGTTCAAACTGCTATGAAACTATGAAAAATGCTTCAATTCTAATCAAACTTGGCACAAATGTTGACTGGACAATTGCCTTTGTAACGACATGCTCAGTCTTAAATTTCCTGTTACCATGGCAACGAGGGGACATCTCAAAATTGCCAAAAATCACTTTTTTGCCTCGATTTTTTCCATCAAAATTTATTTCAAAGTGCTGCAACTTCTCAAGGGATTGAGATAGAGTCAAAGGCTTTTCAGCGTTGGTTTACACGTTACCTTATGATCGTCCTGGGGTCATTATAAGCCTCTCACAAGTCCAAAATTTTCTTGGCGATGAGGGGGACTCCGCCCCCCCTTCAAACCCCCAAACAGAAGGGGGCACATCCCCTTCTGGCAACCACCTGATGTAATATTTGGATGGGGGACGGCGCCGAAAAAATGGTCAATTTTTTTAACAACATTTCTCAAACGAAAAACAGTATTTGGGGCCTAAATAGGGCATTTTTTCACTGTTTGAGGCCTCAAAAAGGGGGGGGGGGGCAAAAAGCCGTCGAAACACGCTTATATAAGGGAAAAGGTTAAAGTCATAATTTTGCCTGAAGGATCAAAATTGGGGTTCACCTAGTTGCTACAGACTTGTGTATAGGAGAACAGATTTTCATATTATGTAACCAAAGTTACAATTATGCCTAGAGCTTTGATATTTGGCATGCAATAGTTTATAGCAATGGATCTCCGGTGGGGGATTTAGGGCCAAGTTGGATCTCTTGTTTAATTTATCAAATTTGCTTTTTTATTTATTGATAGATTTGGCATATACATTGATGGAACAATATTTTGGACCAAACATATAAGAAATTTAAATATGACCATGAGCTTTGAAAGACCTGCCCCCCAAAAAAGCTGTTATTGATATTTTTGCTGAATGAAGTATAGCCCTTGCTTTGTGATGGCTCTTTAAGGAATAAAGGCTGAATGCAGGACATTGACCGTTCTGGTTATTTCATATATTCTTTCATATTTTAATATACATCATGTATTTTGTCTATCATTATTATAATTTACATAAATTATATCACTGTAATATATATCCTCCCTCCTCCAGTCTTAAAAAATTTCAATAATATGTATAGTTTATTATATATAGTTTATTATATACTATAATATATGCTTTCTCTGAGGGATAGGTTTCATATAATTATAACACTTTATTCTTATCTTGTACTTAGCTTTAGCAATTAATTCTTGTACTTATTTAAGTCTTTGGGATTTGGGACCTTAATTAATAGTCTATTACATTACATATAATACATAGACACCCTAATTATAAATAGAATTATAGTATATTGTCACTTGTGTAATTATGTAGAATTTTACTTTTACTAACAAGGTTTTAAGTTGGTTATTAATATTCATATATATATTTATACATGTATATAGTAATCATGAGAGATGTGTTAGAACTGTAGAGGTGTTGATTGATTTTGCTGATATGTGTTATGGCTAAATTGTTTTAATGTCTAAATTATAAGTATTGAGCAGTCCACAGTACGACACTGTTTGTGGCATAAATTATGCCTGACAGAAGTTTCACAGTATGCTGTGTTTATCATTTAGTGATATGTTTTGCAACGTTCATTGCATGATTAGATAAGTTTTTAGCATTATTTGACATAGCTACAGATGTTTTTATTTGAATGATTACAAGTGAATGTTTGGGCATCCTGTATGTTTGGTGTGATTAGTTTTTATCAATTTAATAGTTAATTGTTCTAATGTTATTATTGAATGTTATTTATGCAGTCCAAGACAGGAAATGACAAGGGACGAGAATGTGGAAGGAGCAACCCACTCCTGATAGTGGGTCAGCCAAACTTAATGGTCTGCCAGTGGTTTTATTGGGCCAGTGTGCGATTAAGGACATTAAAACATTATCAGAATATGAATAGGGGGTCAAAATGTAATATTAAGCCTAACAACTATTAAACTGAACATTAAAATGGTGATAATAAAACATGGCTGTAATCTGTTGTAGTTGGATGTTATATTGGGGCTATTACAACCATTGAATTACTTAGTGAAAAAGTAGTAATTGTAATATTAATATGGCCGATATTAAGGATCAGTAGGCAAAAATAGGTCTCATCATGTGATGATGAGAACATTTATGTGAACATTGGGAGGTGGGGGATGATCAACTTTTCATTCATAGGACATTTCCTCTGAAACAACTGATTCATGTTTGATGAAACTTGCCTCGAATGTTCGTATGAAGCGCTACAATAATTTTTAAATGGTTCTGATCTATTTTAGTCATCTTGCAACATTTACAGGCACAAGTATCATTCTATAAAAAGATCATGTTAGATAGAGCACAGTGGTCGAGGGGTTAGAGTCGATGACTTCTGATCCAGTTACCTCTCTGGCGTGGGTTCGATCCCCGGGAGATGCTTTGGTAGTTTAGCACGGAGGAAGGTAGTCTAGTACTGGTGTAACTCTCCAGGAACGATGGTTAGGAAACTACTCGCCTATATGACTGAAATACTGTTGGGAAAAGGCGTAAAATGAAACAAACAAACAAACAAGATAGAGCACAAGTTGTGGCTGTCTCAGGTCAAGGTCACATTTCATTCATTACAGCAAAATGAGGTGTTCCATACATGTAACTTTAGCATGCATAACATTCATAAAAGACACCAGAATGTCGTCATTTGTAAGCATGAAACTTGTTTTCCATGGGGATGTATGATAAAATTTTCTAGCACAGATGCAAATACTAGGAAATCTAGCTAAATGAGTTTTACATGTAATGAATGTAAGGTGGATACCTGTTCAAATTGTTAAAGTTAAATCTTTGTATGCAAGATTTAATCTGAAATTTTCTTAGATCAGAAAGGGCTATAATAATAAGTTTAACAGTGTTATAGTGTTCAGGATCATGATGGTGTGTCATTGTGCAGGGCTCATATCTCTCAAGGATTTTGTATCTTCCCCTGTATAAATTATCCAGCATTACATGTACTATCTAGCACTGAGAATATTGTAGCACAATGTCCTACTGACAGCTGTTGTGTTATATATGTTTATAAATGATATGTAGTCTGATTTTGCAAAAGGTAATTTCTACTTTCTATAGTTTCAGTGAGAGTTATTTCACAGTGAAAGGTGCAGCCCTTATTCTACCCCAAAGTGATGAAACTGCATATACTCGCAAAGTAACTAAAAGCCATGCAGGTAACATAATACAAACATGTTTATAGATAATGAGCTTTTTTTTCCTTTATTCATATTAAATAATATTTTAATGTTATGATAAAAGTCTCAAAAGGTTACTCCTTGCTTATTACTGTTCATATTTGTAGACTTTGTATCATAAAAATGCTCTGACTGAGGTATATAATATAACAATGATTTTTATAAAACAAAAGAAGATTTCATGTTTATTTTAGGAGATGACATACAGAGTCATTTACAAGCTATGTTCAGTGTGCTTAGACCACAGGATACCATTAAAGTGGTATGTTTTCTAATATGTTTATACCTCCTCCCCTGTTTTGCCCCTTGTAATGTTACATTTTCACAGTGTCCAAGAACCATAACTATTGAAAGTTTGTAGTTGTTGCCCTTTTATTTTTCATAAAAATATTTTTGAAGAAAAAATTCAGTCATGTCTTCTACAAACTTTAATAATGTCCTTTTGGTTTTATTCCTGAATGGATTGTCTTTATACTTGGACAAGACCTTAAAGTCAACTAAACTTAACTTGACATTGACTCATAAATGACATTGACCTTTAAGATCAAATCTTTGAATAAAGTTGATTTTAGCTGTGTACAGCCTACAACTTGTTATAACTTTACTAAGTTTGTTATTTATGAATGGATTTTTTGGACATATTAATCCCTAGGACAAAACCTTGAAAATGAATTCATTGAACTTTACTTTGACCTTTATTGTAGCTAGCCATTTAAGGTTGAAGTATTGAATTTGCTATGATTGGCCATAACTATAATAGTTCATACCTTGACAAAACAACAATTGACCAAACTAGTATGTTGAATAATTCAAATATGACCTTGACTTTTCATTGATCTTCAAGGTCAGTTTAATTGTAATAACTTGGACATGGATGTTGAATGAAAAATGTCCCTTAGTTAACTTCCTATATTATTCAGACTTTTGTTTTGTTATCATGCTCTGAATATAGTTGAGCATGTTGTCCTATTAACTTATTTTACTCAACATAATTTGAATATTCTAAACATTTCACTTAAATGTACATGTAATATGTTTTTCACTTTATAGACAATTGTTTATTCCTATAATAAGGATGTATACAAATATAATGAAATGTTAGTTTATTAAACTGTAACAAATATTGTATAATTTTATATTCAGGCGGTGAAGCTTGAAGGGACTCACACTCGGTACCTGGTTGTTGTATCTTGTATAGGTCGACAGGACACCGAGGAGTCGGTCATACTGGGTATGGACCTGATGGATAAGGCAACCATTGGTCTCATTCTCCCTGTCTGGTCTCACATGCATATCCAGTTGGATGGTGATGGGTAAGTTTGTACATGACAGCATCAATTACTGTATCAATTGTATAAGATTATGTTAATATTTGTAAAAGATATCATCCATGGAGAAACAATATATTAAGCAGTTATATTCGGTTCATAGTAATCATAAATTAATCAAGAATTAAATGTTGTCATGATTAAAAAGAAATTGGTCATCTTTACTAGACTTCAGCTTCTCAAAATAGCTTTTATCAACAACTATCTTTGTTGCATGAGAATATAAAATAACTTCTTAGCTTCCTGAACAGACGTCAGAGGCAACAATGGTATCGTCATTGGATGCCTAGAAACACTGAAAATTTCTAGTTTAGTGGAGACAAAAGAATGTTGTCTTTATGATAAATTTTGTCACATTTTAAATAAAGATATGCTGAATCCATTCCACCCTTTGTGCTGACTAAAGGTCAAATGTCAGAAAATTTATGGCTCTTTAATTGTTATACTCCTTGAAAGATTTTCTACAAATTTGTCTTAAATGTTTTCATTGTAAAGGTGTACTCCTGCCGTTCTGACTCGCCCTTAAACAAATTCTTCAAATTTTGTTCAAATGTTCAAATGCCCATTTAATCTAAGGAAAATATTCTTTCTACATTACATTTTATATAATACATATGAAACCAGAACAAGTATTATCTTGAAAACGTATATGAAAGGTCACAAGCCAGCTCGTCATGCCAAAGTCAATATCTCCACACTGTATTATGATAAAAGTATTCCTGTTTTTGGCCTAGAAAATGTTCTTCTTTTTTAACATGCATCAGATAGTTATTCACTTAAAACTGAACTGTAAAGTGTTGTTTTTTTCTGATGTAGATGATGTAATATCTGTTTCTCACTGCTACTATTTTTGGGTATTTGATATGTAAAAATTTTGTTATTTCTATTTATAGGGGTTTTTCTATCCAATCTGACCAAAACATACATATCTTCAAACCAGTATCAGTCCAGGCTATGTGGTAAGTTTTATCAACATTTTGGCAAATCTGTTATAATAACTGTGCCTTGTTTTAAGCATAAATGTTGGAAACATTTGGTTCACCTGAGCACAAACCAGTAAGTGTTCAAAATGTGCTTTTTTGATCACATTGTGTTCTTCTTGACTCTGTGCAACTTTTTATTTCAACAACATCTTCTCTGATACACTTGGCCAATGAAAGTGAACTTTGCAGAATTACTCCTTTTATGAATCTCTATCAAAGTTGTTCAAATAATTCCATTACATGCAGAATTCTAGTTGGGGAAGCAATCAAATGAAAACTTATAAACAATCTTCTTGTGGAATATGTAAAGTTTTTACATAAGGTAAAGTCTTCTTTCAAATTCCATTGCCTCAAGCTTAGATTTAAAGTATGGAGGATTATATAGGATACCTCTGGCAAGTTTATTAAAATCATAAAATTAAAATTTAAAGGGTTAAAATTTGGCATGCCCCATGGGTCACATGATTTGACATAGTGTTCGCAAAGCAAAATCTTTTTTTTTTTATTAAATCCCAATACTTGCATCTTGTATATTTTCAAGGTATGTATAGTTGGCCCTTACTAAGGGTTTAGGTTTATGTCATGTATTGAAATTGCCCCACCTCCTTTGTTCTATTGATTTTTCAAAATGTTATGTAGGAAAAACCTTTATAAATTTCTACCAAACCACAACATAAATAATCTACATATATGGGGTGAAGCATCATCTAATGGATGCCTATAAAGTTTGTTCAAACGATGATGTAGTCAAATTTTACCTAGCATCACATTATGGTCCTCTATAAAGTAATCTCAATCATTACTGTGGGATAAGTATAAGAAATTGCATTAAAATTTTCTTGTCTAAAACTGCAATGCCAAGAGCTTAAATATTTTGTATGTTGCATCACCTTGTAGACCTTTACAAAATTTATATTAATTATATCCCAGGGGTGAAAAATGGCCCAGCCCTGGCAGTCACTTATTATATAAAGACTTGCAAAGTAAAACACATATAAGTCCTCTTGTGTCAAGATATTTGACTTGACTTATACAAATCAGTTTATAAGTTATGCAGCTAGATGAAAAAGTGATACATTTGTACACCTAATGTGACCTAAATACTTAATCTGCACTGAATAATTTTGACTTTTCCTAGCAATGTATGTAACGGATCAGTGGTCAAGGGCAATCATATCTCAATTGTTTCTTTTAAGTAAAGAAAGCAGTTTGCTCTTTATATTGTATACTTTTGTTACTGTTACTCTGGCCCATTAAGGCATATACATTCTAATAGGTGAAACATCTTTATAACTTATTCTATACAGAAAGCTTTAAATCTTTGAGATGTTTATTTTTGTATTACAGGTCAGCATTGCAGAGTTTAAATAAAGTTGTTAAGATAGCTAAAGATAGACTATACATTCCACGAGGTCTCACACATACCTGGATCGGTTATTATGAGGCCAAACTTACAATAGAAGGAGTCCTGGTTTCAGAGTGGTAACTAAAATAATGTTCTTTTATGTGATTGTAATTAGAATGCAATAAAGATGTATATATATTCTTAACAATTTACAAAATTTCTACAGATTTGTATAGTGTTTGTTAGTTATTTAATTATAATCTGATTGAATTTAAAATAGTGCGCTTTTTTATACATCTTCCAAAATTTGTAAGAATTTTAACAAATTTTAGTTAATTGTGAAACATCACTCATTCAATATCAGCAACATCTTTTATGTTGATCTTACATTATATGTCAGGCAGTGAAATACTTGGTTTAAGCAGTGAAATTATATCTGACATTCACTGTATATCACTCACAGTGAGAGTATTTTAGGTATCAACATTTGAATGTCATTAGAGTGTGATACAGTGCTCTTTAATTATGATCTGAGGTGAATACTACTAGAAATCCTCAATTAAGTAATTTGAATCATTCCATAATCAGTATCAATTCAATAAATTTGCAAAGGTATCAGCTAGAATTTGACCAGAAATGATGCCCAAACTGACATACAGAGTTGTCCTCTATTAAGCACAGTCACTTTGTGTTGCCTATAGGTTTGTTATTGAATATTGAATCATTATTTACAGGAATGCTACTGCTGACATTGATAGATCTTACAGAACAGACAAAAATATTGTAGCAGAGGTCACAGGGTGAGTATTCTGATCTATTTACAGGTCAAAGGTTTCAAGTTGTGAGTAAGGTTTCCAGGCAAAGCTGCAATATATGCTATTTTCCTATACATTGAATAGGCAACCAGTCTGAGTAAAGACATTGACTGACTTTATGTTGGTCAAATGGGCAACTAACCTTATTAAAGAGCACTGACTTTGTTTAGGCAGTCAGAGTTATAGAACTGACCATTTTTCCTATATGTTATATAGGTAACCAATCTGAATTACAAAATTGACCATCTCCCAGTAGTTTGAATAGGCAACCAGTCTTAATGTTTTCATGTTTTGTTTTTGGTTTTGTTCAGTAATATTGACATTGTGCAGGTTTTTGTGGCAACTTTCTAGATTTCTTGATGTAGGAAGACTTCTGATGCCCCTCCATGCATTATTTAAGGCACAAAACGGACACTTGTGTAACCTAACTAAATAGCTTTCCAAAGTCCTAAGTATGCAACTTACTGACTTCATTAATTTTGTCTTTGTCTGATTTATAATTAAGTTGTAGAAGTGATATACATTTATATTCATAAATAGTTAGTCAAATTAAGCTAGTGCAAGTGTTATATTCAGCTTAATGAAATTTTTCTTCCACATTAATTATGTGTAGGCGTGGAGTTAGACGTACAATGTCTACGCCTGTAGGTAGATCCATGTCACTAGAATCTTCCTTCGAATCTTCAGGGTGAGATAGGCATGGCAATCAATTCTCCTCTGAAAGTTACCTTTCATTTCTTGTTAAATTTTCCACTTACATTTCTCCTTTCTTACTTAATAACTTGTATAAAGTATGTTCAGATTCTCTATGACTGTTGTTTTATTAATCAGTACTGTGTGTATTAACTCTTATATATGTTCAATTCCTCTGGTTCTATATGCCAGAGTGAATTTTTGTGATTGCCTTATGTACATTGTTTATCAGGTCCGAACAAATATATATTGTGTCCAGGGACCAATTAACAGTAATAGAACAAAAGAAAACAATAGATTTTCATTTTGGAATTGTAGGATCAAGGGCTCTTGCCAACTATTCAATTAAAGAAAATAATGAAGAATAGCCCAATTTTGGAAATCTAGTTTGGTAGATATTTGTCTATCATGAACATTTCTTTTATTGAACATGTCCTCTGCAAAAGGTATAAAGGTTTTACTGCTGAGAATTAAAAGTTACCTTAATATATGATGACAAACAATGAAAGTGAAAATTAATTAAGGGGTCAGCAAGCATCCCCTTTAATTGAGTGACTATATATAGATAATGTGAGGAAGTGTACCATGTTTCTGTTACCAGTACTTGTTGATGTAGTCCATGTGCTTAATGTATAGCTTAGTCCCTCAGATTGTCAATGTAACCTATGCCTCAATCTTCTACAGTATGCTAGTTCTACTTTAATACATACATTAACACATCTTAACATCATGTTACTGTGGGTACTACACAATCTTATCAAAATTCTTCTTCTGCTCTTTCTTCTATAAATTATTCAGTCTGAAAAAGACTAAATATAACCGTTTACTCCATAGAAACTCCTTTAAACTCACTAATATTATCTGTCAACACTTGGTAATGAAGTTGTATTGTGTCATATACAGTGACATAGTTGAAGACAAAACATGCAGTGTAATGGTCACATTAGTTGCCATACTTCCACCTGTGTGAGAACTTGTGATAAACTAGTAAATAAAGTTAACAGCAACATACAAGATATATCCTACATATACTGATTGTCAGAGGCTGTGCTCACTGAATGACAAATATAATACAATTTGTTAAATATTAGATGAAATACTTGTAATTGATACCATAATTGTTTTGTTTTTTGTTTTTAATTTCTTCAGTATTTATTAAGCTGTGATTTAAACTTGATACTATAGATATTCTGAAATGTAGAAATACATTGCATATCAACATAATGAATTTTTCAAGAGCCGTAAAGGTATTTGTGGAAACAACTGTATATGTATTTGTGTAACTGTGAACAGTTGCTATAAATATAACTTAGTCTGAAAAGTTGACACACATGTATGAATGTAAACACCTTCTCCTCACAATCTATAATTACCAGAGCTTAGATATTTGGCATGTTGCAACATATTATGGTCCTCTAAATGTAAGTCCTAACCCTGGATTCAAAATTGGTTCTTTTCTGGGTATAACTAACTTTACATAGACTTTTACAGTAAAAACCTTTTCTTCTCTACAAGTGCATGTTCTAAAGCATGTAGCAATGACAAAGAACCCATAACACATTAATGTCCTGCTCCTTACCGCAAAAATGGCAGGTCAAATTTGTTGCATTGACTTTTATAGTAAACAAACTCTAAAACATTTTTCTCAGAAACTACAATGAAAGAGCTTAAATATTTGGCATGTAGAATCACCTTGTGTTCTGCTACAAATCTGCCCTATCCTTTTTGGCATTAATAGAGGTATAGTGGTTTAGTATTACTAGTTTGTTTACATTTTGCTACTTTCATCTTCACTTTCTTCAGGTGATAAGCATCTTGTATGCTCTAAAACCATTATTTACACACAATGAAACTCATGTTTGCCCTTTCTAAGGAAGGGAAAATATTTTTGTTACAGAAGCATGAGGTGCCTTTAAATTTGAAAAATGTTAAAATTGGGTATCAAAAAGTTTTTAATTAATTATAAAACAGTTTATATTATATATAATGTATATAGTAAACTAGAGACATGTATGTATGTTACAGGGAAGATGACATATATAAGAGGATACGACTGGAACTAAAAAATGTGATGATGACTGTAGATCTAGAGGAAGTCACATGCTTGTTTGTATGTCTTTTCTTATTATCTTAATCTTCCTGCATTTCTTAAGTGTTTGTTTTTAAATCTGAATTTTTATAGTTTATATAAGTAATGTAACATGGGAGACTTAGAGGTGTTTGCACAACAATCTCATTTTGTTAGTCAGCATGGGCAAGGAAAATCTGCTTTTCTCTTGTTTAGTGTCACACATTTTCTTTTATCTTATTTATCTGATAACTTTTAACACCAAATAATATATGTGACATGAATGTATAAATCTCAAGGTGATTAAGCTAAAAAATATGTGTGGAAGAATATAAGATAATCAGAATAAATAAAATACACCATATTGAAACACACAACCTATAAATTAAAGGAATTACCTGACTAGTTAAAAGTGGTAATAATGGCAGAAAAGTTTATAGGGGTAAATTTTAATGTAAAAATTGTAAAAAAAAATAATTTAAGAATTTCCAGTCCAACATAAGTTACATTTGGTAAGACATTAAAAATGGTGAAGGTAATGATGTCCTACCTATGTTTTGAAGATTTATTCTTTAAGCAATGGATCTCAGCAGGACTGGTGATCCATGTTTTGGACCTTTCTATTTTGCTTGTGTTGAAATGTTACTACAATAAATGTTTATAGTTGAGGAGGTCTATAGAAGAGAAGCTGGGTATGGATCTAAAGAAGTATAAAAGTTTTATAGATACAGAAATGATGGAGATTCTAGGTCAGATGGACAAACCTTCTAAAATACTTGATCATCTCTACCTCGGCTCCGAGTGGAATGCTTCTAATCTAGACGAACTACAGGCAAATGGGTATGTGTATCGGAGTTGGGGCGTTAAAGTTCTTGATAAACAGTGTTAAGAATATTTACAAAATACAGATTAAGCAAGATAAGAATGGTGGCCCAGTGGTCAGTATAGTTGCATTTGTTATTTTTGTCTCAAATCATAGACTGTGATAAAATTCTTCTCACAATCAATTTTGCTTAGAGCTTAAGTATTTGTCCTGTGGCAGTGATTTTTTTTTCCAATTTTCAAAACAACCTGTGGCTTTCTGAAGGGGAAAATATAGCGCAATAAATCAGAAAAGGGGAAACCTGAAATCAAATTCTACCAAGTGAAAATGGAATTTACTCACATTTTATGAAAAAATTTATTCCAGTTCAATTTAACATGCATGGTACATAGCAGAGGCCATCTATAGGGACAGATTTCTGTCTACTAGCTGATGCTTGTTAAGTCATGTTCTGGCGTAGGGGGAAGAGCACAAGGCATTTTAGGGAATATATGCATTTTTTTAGGGGAAAATATACCTATTTTGAGCTAGGGGAAACAGCCTTTATTGGGCTGTAAAATACAGTGAAAAAAATCACTGTGTGGCCTCATGGCCCTTTACAGAAGTTATTGACATTTAAGGTAAATGGCAGTCACTTCAAATTTAATTTTGATTGAAAGAGTACTTATGTAAATCCCATTACTTTACATTTGCCTAATAACTGAATTTTTAAGCTATGGCATGAAAATCTGGATATTAAATTCAATTTTATGAATGGTATTTTATTTGACATTTGATGATCAAAATGATGGTCTATTTACTATCCAAATACTCGAAATAAAATTAAATTAACTAACCGTGCAATTATACTTCAATTGTATTTATTTCATACATATGTATACAATATCATATACATTTGAATAACGATTGAGCTTTCAATACCTTACCTCCAAATTTGATAAAAAATGATTCTATTAAAATATTATGGAATAATTTTGGCTTCTCAGAATTGTGTTCGAACCGAAGGGCAAGCAGGCGTGGTACATGCACCAATTGTTTAATACGCTTAAAGTATAGCAATGAACAAAAATTACCATACAGTTGTCCACCATTTAGGCATCACAATCGGTCCAAGATTACCTGTAAAATGATCCCGACTTGAAGATCTGATTCACCGTCTGGAATAAAAACATGACGCGTGAATCAAACCAACCTGCCCCATTAAGACGAGCACGCCTGCCTGCCCAACAGTCGATAGAATTTTCAGGCCACAAATAAATTTTAGAAAATTTATCCCAAACTTCTATCGACACAAGATATTATTTCTAATTAAAGCATCCCTGAGGTAATCAAGATAAAATTCAAAGGCCAACGTCATTTAAATGAACTCCATCCGGTCGGAAAAAAACCAGTTTTAGCGTCAATATCAGTTTTAATTACATCACTTTTACCAGATGAACCGACAAAAATAACGGCCAATTCCATTTATATGCTTACGTTTTTTTCTCCATGGCAACCCACCCAGAAGTTGCACCCCTGACCAGATTGCCTTTGAATAATGTCAAACCATATAATAATAGCACCCAAGGAAAAAGCTTCCCGAAGGTAGTTTATCTCTGATTTGTTTAAATTTTCTTTTTAAAGTAAAAAGGGGGGAAAGCCACAAAAATCATTTCCGCCAAAGTTAAAATTTAATAACTGTGGATTTCGATAAAAAAGAATTTGAGTTTAAACGGGACCCCCGGGGGGAAATGAGCCCAAACGCAGGCCTCTTTCCCACCCCACCAAGCAATTTTGGGCCCTCAACCGAAAGTTTCTCCTTCCCAGAAATTTTTGGGTGTCCTTTCCGGGCCCAAAACGGGTTTGGGAATCCCCCAAAAACCCCACACATCAAAATAAAAAATGTTTTTTAAACTTAATTATGAAACGAAATTTTATTTCAAACCAAAAAATTTTTTTAAAGGGGGGCCCCTACTGGCAATATAAATCTTTTAAGCACCAAATTTTCCATCTCCCCAAAATTTTAAAAATGTAACTGACGAGCTGAAAAACCTTGAAAATGCTAAATCAGTAGCCCTTCCTTCCAAAAACAAAGTGAAAAAAACTGCCGAAATTGAATTGAAACCCGGTTTTAAAAATTGCTTGACAAAAAAGAGGCCCTTTGGTAAACGGGGCCCTTTAAATTTTAAATATTCAACAGGGCCCGGGGAACCGGACACAATATTCCGTGCTCACAAGGAATTTTAAAAATATTTTGGGAAAACTCCCTGATTTGTCTTGTTCGACGTAACTGAATGTTTGATATATTTTTTTTTTCGACAAAAGAAAAACCCGGGAAAGGCTAAGAAGGGTTCTTTACTGAGTGAGCTCACCAGTTTTGCTTAAAACGAAAAAATCCGAAGTAAAGGGCCCAAAAAAAAAAAGAAACTGAAAATAAATTTGCCCCTCATAGTTGTTATAACAAAACTCCTGGGAGTATTATATAACGGAAAATTTAAAAATCTGCATTTAAGGGGGAGCCCGGATATCACGACAAGGGCGACCTCTTCTACACCCTTCTTAAAAAAATTTTTGAATTACAAAAAATATTGGAAAAATCGTAAAAAGTTAAAATTTATGAAAATAATTTATCCCTTTCAATATAGGGGAGAAAAAATTTTGTTCGTGAAAAGGCCCTTTTTCGAAGCAAAAAAGCCCTAAATTAAAAAAAAATGATGAATTGGAAATGGGGCCCTTGTTTGGGAAAATTTTAAAATTTTTTCTGAAAAGTATTAAAAACAAATTTTTGCTAGTGTTAAAAAGTTAAAAAAGGGAAATTTTAAGCTATTTTCCCCAAATTTTACATCGTCTAGCTCTGTCTGAAGACATTCCCTAGGGAAATTTTGGAACGGGCAAGGGTGTAAGTCTTTTGGGCTGGAGCCAACTTCCGGAATCTGGTTTAAAAACTGAAACCGAGATAAAGCATCGCAGATATCATTTGAAGTACCCGGCACATGATTTGCTCGGATTAAGACATTAAGACTCAGGGATCTTTAAAGTAATTGCCCTCATCTAAGCTCATTACTCTTCTATCCTGACTTTGAAGTTGCCTCTATATTAAGAATGTGAACTACTGCAGATATTATCACAGTTAAATTCTTATTTTTCTTATTCGCTAAATGATTGCCCCAAATGAATATTTACGAAACAAGAGGATCGGGAAAAGTTCTAAAACGGTTATGTCCAGCAGTAATACCAGATTGTATGCAAAATTCCGGCCATTTGCCTGACACCAATGACTTTGAAAAATAGATACCGAACCCTAGATTGTCCGGCACCGCCAGCTCTGTCTGAAAATAGCTGTACATCGTCATTTAGACCCAAAAAAATTTGTCATGAAAAACTGAAATACCATTATAATTTTTTTAAGAAAAGGCTAAGCACATAAGTAAATCCCTGTTTTTGTATCTTTTTTAATACGAACACGTAAAAAAGGCTTAATAAGCCCACATATTGAATTAATAAGCCGGCGTAGGAATGGTCTGCCTTCTGCAATAATTGCCCGGCAAACAAAAATTAAGAGAACCTAAATTAGTGACTGGATTTCCTTCACAGTGCAACTTTTTCCAACTCAAAATGTACAAAATTTTATCAATTATTTCCTGAATTTTTGCATGGGTATCCGAACTTGCAATTTTGTCCGAATCTAATTCTAGGCCTTAAAAATATCAGACATTCAGTCGGGCCCTCAGTTTTATCCATGGCTAAAAGGGAACACCCAATTTCAGTCATGGTATCCTTGAATATTTTTTAAAGCCTTGTTACAAGGAATTTGTTTTTTTATCTCCGCCCAAAAATCGTCAAGAATAATGTATTAAATTACCGGATTTAAATTTAGATTTTACACGAAAATTCTAAAACACCTAGCAAACCCATGTGCAAAATTTACACAGCTAATTGAGGCCCCAAAAGGCAATGCTTTATCGAAAATAATATTTATTTTTAAAACAAAAGCCTAAAAGCTCAAAATCGGAGGGATTTTATTGGAATTTAAGCAATAAGCCGGGTCTTTAAATATCCGGACTTAAAAAGTTTACAATGGGGACCTAACTCTTGTACCATCTTAAACGGCCTCGTCAAAACTATTTTATATCGAAACCGTGCCATAAAGCTGAATACCATAATAGTCGTTTACAGATTTCCCCGATGGGAAAACGACAAATGATGTATCATTCTATATTCGCCAGGAGTTTTCTTTTCAACAAGGGGCCAATAGTGTGAAAAAAAATTTAAATTTTGGGGAAACGGGGGAGAAAGAAAAGGGCCGGCGACCCTTCCTGGGTTTAATTTCCTTAGAAATTTGACTTTCCCCCTTTCCTCCGGCTTTAAAACCTTTCGGAACGGGAAATTGCTACAACCCCGACGAATACCGGGGGCCTTTATACTTTAAGGGGGAAAAACCAAAATTTAAAACCCTTATATAAAAAATTTAACCCTTTATTTTTTTGTAAAATTTTAAATAATGGGAAAATTTAAATAGTAAAATTTATGGGAGAATTGCTTTTAAAATAGAAATATCGGTATTTGCCATTTCATTTTGGGGTGTCGGGTAACCTTTTTTAAACCCTTTTTTACCGTATTTGTCGAAAGAAAAAGCCCCGGCCTTTTGCCCAAAAATTGGAAAAACCCCTCCCCCGAAAAAAGTCCTTTTTGGGAAAACCAAGAACGGTCAGAATTCATTTAACTCAAAAGCACCTTTCCCAAAAAGGAAAGGGGAGATTTATTTACTTCCCCTAAGATTTTTTTGCCCCTTTAAAGAAGTAGGCACGTGAGCCGCTATAAACAGTTGCTAACCCTAACCCGGGGGGACGCTTGGCACGTTTGGGCCCGTGTTTAAATTTTAGAAATGAAATAGTTTTCTACTAGAAACCCCCGAGGGAAAGGGTACTAAATTCAAAATTTTTGGGTTTGAAAACGGCCCCCAAACCCCAAAGACAAATATTTGCTGACGGCAGACCTATCCTCTCAGAAATTAAACCTGAAGCATTTTTTGAAATTTTTTCAAAATCGACAAAATTTGACATAAACCCGCATCTTTCCCTTTCAGGGCCTGTTTTTCTGCCTCAAACCCCGCTCGTCAAAAACGACCGTTTACTGCCTCGGGCTGCACCAGGCTGCCCATTTGTTGCATGGTCTGTTCCCCCCTCGCTGACCTCTGATGGGGTTTGGAAAATTTCATCCCCTCTCTCAGAAATTCACGTCGGGTTGGGGGCGGGGCCCCCTGGTATTTCTTTGCGCGCTGGGAACTGCCGAGTTTGCCTTGCAGGGCTGGAACATCATTTTAGCTGCCTTATATTCTCAAATTATGGCTTGTTGTAGACGGTACTCTTCTTCGGCATCCACGACCACGTGGCATTATCTTTATTTTACTTGATAGTGAATTTGTGTTGTAAAGGCGGAAAGAGGGAAAATGCACGGGCATTTCGGTTGCTTTTATAAACCAATTATCTGGACCCCTGTTTACGCTATATAAAAAATTAACTTTACAATGGAAACCAGTAGTAATTCTACACCTAACACAATAAGGTTAGAATTTAAATCTGAAATTGTATAGCAACCGCTAATGTAAACAAAATCTGATTTCCCTTGAAGGATAAATTGAATTATTTTAATTCCAAAAACCTAATTTTCAATATTTTTTTTACACGTATTTCTAAATAAAAAAATGACATGCTATAGAATTTCCCCTGACTTGCAGTCCAGGTAATGTCAAGTTTTATCTGGAGCATATCATCTACAAACATGAAGGAATTTTAGTAATAACTTGATACAAAAGTTCACCGCTTTAGGACCTTATATCATGCACATGAAACAGAACTTTTAGGTCAAAGGTCAAGATAACATTTATAGGTAAGCTTCCACTTGCAGTGATGTAGTGTCATGTGCATGCACCAGCTTAAGTAGAGTTCTGAACTCAATAATATATTCCATGATACATTTATCTATTATTATTTTATGACAGGGTTCACCATATATTGAACATCAGTAGAGAGATAGATAATTTTTATCCTGGCGTGTTACACTACATGAATGTACGAGAGTGGGATGTTGATCAGTCTGACCTGATGAAATATTGGGAAGATACTCATAAATACATTAACAAAGCCAGGTATATAATCATTGACAGATTTGTAGCTCACCTGAGGACAATGTCCTCAAGTTGAGCTTTTGTGATTGCCTATTGTCTGTCGTCCATTGTGTGTCTACCAAGTTTGTTCAAATAAAAGTCCTAGGGTCAAAATTGCCACCACCCCAGGGGTCATTGATTTCCCTTATATGTAGACATGTATAGTTAAAAACTTAAAAAATCTTATTTTCTTGTGAAAACCCAAAAGAGATAAAGCTTAGATATTTGGCATGAAACATCTTCTAGTGGATGTCTACCAAGTATGTTCAAATAAAACCCCTATGGTCAAAATTGACCCTGCCCCAGGGGGTCATTGATTTTCCTTATATGTATATAGTAAAAACCATAAAAAATCTCCTGTGACAATCCAAAAGCACTATAGATTAGATATTTGGCATGAAACATCTTCTAGTGGATGTCTACCAAGACTGTTCAAATTAAACCCCTAAATCAAAATTTGCCCGGCCCCAGGGGATCGAGGTCGACAGTTCAATCCCCAACCAGGTCAAATGTTCCTTCTCTTTTTTGTGTCGCCTCTACGGAGTAGTGGCGACATATAGGGATCACTTCTCCGTCGTCTGTCTGTCCGTCTGTCTGTCACAAAACTTGTCTGGACTACTCCTCATAAACTACTGGTGCAATTTTATCCAAAACTTTACAGGAATGATCAGTACCATGTCTAGTTGTGCATATTGTCAGCATTTTCCGGTTCAATGATTTTTGTCAGAGTTATGGCCCTTTTTATAATTTTTGAATTTTAAAGTTTGTCCGGACTACTTCTCTTATACCACTAATGCAATTTCAATGAAACTTTACAGGATTAATCTGTAGGTCAAGTCCTTGCGATATTGCACAGGTTTTCCGGTTGAATGCCGAGTTATGGCCCTTTGATAAAAAGGTGTTTTTATGCCCCCCACAATGTAGAAATTTTGTGAACCCTCCTTGGATGGCAATTTTGCTTAAACCTCCAGGGATGAACAACCCCTTAATGTGTAGATGGGGCAAGTAAAGGGAAGGAATTTTTGCTGCAAACAAATTTAACAGAATTATGGCCCTTTGTTGATTTTTTCATTATATACTATGTAGAAATTTTTTGTGAACGCAACTCCTCTTAAAACCGGATGGCAGATTTTTTGTGCTTAAACTTCCAGGGATTAACAACTTTAATGAGTAGATGCAGTAAAGGAAGAATTTTTGCTGCGACCAAATTTAACCCGAATTATGGCCCTTTGTTGATTTTTTTATGTTTTCAACTTGTGGCACATGTAGTCCAAAAATATTTGACCTTGTCCCTAGAGTCATAAGATTGACAAAACAGTGGCGTGTGAGGGCATCCGTGTCCTATGGACACATTTTCTAGTTTTCTGTGTGTTGCCAGATACACAAAAGCTTGTCCGGACTAACTCCTCATAAACTACTGGTGCAATTTCATCCAAACTTTACAGGAATGATCAGTACCAAGGGGGGTTTTTTTTCTAGTTGTGCATATTGTCAGCATTTTCCGGTTCAATGATTTTTGTTTTTTTCTTTTAGAGTTAAAGAGGTTATGGCCTTGAATAATTTTTATGCCCCGCTTCGAAGAAGAGGGGTATATTGTTTTGCTAATGTCGGTCTGTCTGTCGGTCTGTCCGTCGTAGTAAGCACCACAGGTTTTCCGCCGATTATCTTGAAAAGTATTAATCACAAAGTCTTCATATTTCACATAGTGATTGGTCATAACTAGTAGATGACCCCTATTGATTTTGAGTCTCTAGGTCAAAGGTTCAAGGTCACAGGGACCTTAAATGTCAAAATGGTTTCCGCTGATTATCTTTAAAAAAGTATGTATCAAAAAGTCTTCATATTTCACACAGTGATTGGTTCATAACAGGTAGATGACCCGTATTGATTTTGGGGTCACTTGATCAAAAGTCAAGGTCCACAGGGGCCTTAAATGTCAAAATGGTTTCCGCTGATTATCTTGAAAAGTATGTATCACAAAGTCTTCATATTTCACATAGTGATTGAACATCACTAGTAGATGACCCCTATTGATTTTGGGTCACTTGGTCAAAGGTCAAGGTCACAGCGACCATAAAATGTCAAAATGGTTTTTCCGCTGATTATCTTGAAAAAGTATTTATCAACAAAAGTCTTCATATTTCACATAGTGATTGGTCATCACTAGTAGATGATGACCCCTATTGATTTTTGGGGTCACTAGGTTCAAAGGTCAAGCCGTCACAGGGACCTTAAAATGTCAAAATGGTTTCACAAAGTCTTCATATTTCACATAGTGATTTGGTCATCACTAGTAGATGAACCCCTATTGATTTGGGGTCACTAGGTCAAAGGTCACAGGGGCCTTAAATGTCAAAAAGGGTTTCCGCTGATTATCTTGAAAAGTATTTCAATACACAAAGTCTTCATATTTCACGCTAGTTATTGGTCATGAGGAGTAGTAGATGACCTCTACTTTTAGGGGTCAATTAGGTCAAAGGTAATGTGACCATGGGGCCTTAAATGTCAAAAATGGTTGTTGTTGATTTTTTTCATATTGAAAACACTTCCATGTACCCATGAAGTTTTTTGTAAAAAAATACCCAATTATTGTGAAGTCAATGGCTATATTGTGTCACATTCTTGGTTTTCCGGACTACTTCTGCTAATACCACTATTGCAATATTCAATGAACTTTTTTGATTTGTCAGGTCAAGTCCTTGCGCATATTGCGCACGGGTTTTTTCCCGGTTTGAAATGATTTTTTTGGAGCGAGTTATGGCCCTTTGATAAAAAGGTGTTTTTTTCTGTGTGTTTGCCAGATACGCAAAAGCTTGTCTGGACTACTCCTCATAAACTACTGGTGCAATTTTATCCAAACTTTACAGGAATGATCAGTACCAAGTCTAGTTGTGCACTGTCCGTCTTACTGTCTGTCTGTCACAAAATTTGTCCCAACATTAATTGGCCATCATGAGGCGACACATGTGATTACTGATCACTCTTGTTATTAGCTCACCTCTCACCAAGTGACATTTGAACTGTTTAATAAAATGGCTGCCAGAGCTTAAATTAAAAAAACAACAACATCTTAACAACATCTAAGCCACTGGTTCAATTTTGAAATACTTTTACACAAAATTTTTCTTGGTGACATTGTACAAAAATTCTTCAGATTAAGCTGTCCCTTATTTTTAAATTGTGCTTCTCGGGTAAAAAGGGGCTCCACATTGACAGTTTGACCTATTTCAAAGGTGAGCGATCCAGGGCCTTCTGGGCCCTGGATTATAAAATGTTATAAAATGTTATTAAAATGTTATAAAAGTACTTGTCTACTCTTAAATCAGATATTTTTGTAAAAGCCAAAATTTTGTACATTTGTTGATTGTCCAAATACTTTGGTATGTGGTGTAACATTGGACATTGGTATATGACTTCACAATGGTATATTATGTAACATTAGTATATGATGTAACATTAGTATATGATGTAACATTGGCATGTAATCATTATATGATATAACATCAGTATGATGTACGAGGGCTGTTCAAAAAGTTCGTGGACTGCGGCTCTACTGTTCACATCTTTTAATTTGCGTATATGATTTTACAAAAGACATATATGAAAATATGTCCTTAATAAACAGTGAAAAAATCAATACAATATGTTTACAAATAACAATTCTGTGACAGTTACAAATCACAAGGGGTGCACAATCCGGCGCACACTGATGATGAAACAAAATGACGTTCGTGACGTCGCAATATAAATGAAACATTTTACCAGCGTCATTGTTTCGGAAAGTACTCTTTTTAGTGTTCAAAATCTGCAGATCATATACTAAAACCATTTTTCTCTTTGTGATGATGACCCAAGATGTAAAGTGGTCATCTTTTCGCTTCATTCTCCGTATAATGGTCCGAGTGCCGCATACATTCCGCTCTTTATCGTGATTTTTGAGTAATTTCTACACTTAACGGACATAGTTATTCAGTTAATACAATTGTTGATTTATAGTATCAATTTGAAACCGCCCTCATCCAATCTTTAAACAATATGATTATCAATGATAAAGAAAAATATCAAATGACATTCTATGTGGTAAATCTACTGAATACCGGCTAGCATTAATTATCAAACGGACCAGGGTAAATACACGTAATACAAATAAAATCTACAATTATTTATTGTAAATACGCACATATCCTGATGAATGAAATAAAATATTATTTTAATTAAATTGTTTTGTCAGACCCGGTGCAGAAATTAATTATGTCGGACATCTCACAAAAATTTCTTAATGTCTCGACTTCTATAGATCTTTTGCAATTGACGTGACAAACGTCCCAACAATTTGCCGCTAAAAATTATCCGTCGCCCTTTCTGTCTGTGAGCATGTATTTGCCGTATTTGAATTGCTTGCGCGACCTGAAACCAAGAGACTTGCTCGCCAACTCATTGTTCTTCGTTAATTGAATCACCTCATAAAGATAGAAAGGAGTATCCCCCACATTTATTGGTAAAAATTTCAGAAAGAGCAAATTTCTAGTTTTTAAACAGGCTTTATACTTCCTAACTTACCCGTCTGTCTACTGCTGCTCAAAACCTATTTGTTCAGCTATTCAACGTCCAAACGATGTCAAATTTCAGATTTATGTCATTTAAATATCAATAGATTATTACTTGTATTTTACTTCATAAAACAATCATTCAGTTTGTTTCAACATGTGTTTATATTTCACATTATATGAAAGTTTCAGCGTGCGCCGATGTTGCGTTACCATGGTTATTAAAGTGCATATTACTCGTAAAGGAAATAAAAGTTAACAATAAAAGTAAATCTTACTTTTAGAAATAAAGACACTCTTTCGATTCATATCCACTAAGGGTGTTTTTATGAACCAAGTAAAAAATGAGAGCAAAAATCCACAAACTTTTTGAACATACCTCGTATATGATGTTACACTGGTATATGATGTAACACTGGTATATGATGTAACACTGATATATGATGTAACACTGGTATATGATGTACCACTGGTATATGATGTAACACTGGTATATTATGTAACACTGGTATATGATGTACCAATGGTATATGATGTACCAATGGTATATGATGTACCAATGGTATATGATGTTACACTGGTATATGATGTTACACTGGTATATTATGTAACACTGGTATATTATGAAACACTGGTATATTATATAACACTGGTATATGATGTACCACTGGTATATGATGTAACACGGTATATGATGTAACACTGGTATATGATGTAACACTGGTATATTATGTTACACTGGTATATGATGTTACACTGGTATATGATGTAACACTGGTATATGATGTAACACTGGTATATGATGTAACACTGGTATATGATGTAACACTGGTATATGATGTAACACTGGTATATGATGTAACACTGGTATATGATGTTACACTGGTATATGATGTAACACTGGTATATGATGTAACACTGGTATATGATGTTACACTGGTATATGATGTAACACTGGTATATGATGTAACACTGGTATATTATGTAACACTGGTATGTTATGTAACACTGGTATATTATGTAACACTGGTATATGATGTTACACTGGTATATGATGTAACACTGGTATATGATGTAACACTGGTATATGATGTAACACTGGTATATGATGTAACACTGGTATATGATGTAACACTGGTATATGATGTTACACTGGTATATGATGTTACACTGGTATATGATGTAACACTGGTATATGATGTAACACTGGTATATGATGTAACACTGGTATATGATGTAACACTGGTATATGATGTAACACTGGTATATGATGTTACACTGGTATGTTATGTAACACTGGTATATGATGTATATTACAGGAGGAGAGGAAGTAAGACTCTTGTACACTGTAAGATGGGAATAAGTAGATCAGCCTCCACTGTAAGTTCTAGATATGTGTGAAATATAATCAATCAATAATGAAATAAATCATCTTTATATTATGGAGAAATTTAATTAATTGATTCAGATATTTGTTAGGTATATTCAGCACCTTTGTGCTCAGAGGTGGAGATTTTGTGATTGAATGATCTGTTATTAGTTTTGTGTCATTAACCAAAATCCCATGACACAACATCTTGTACATCACATGGTAGGTTTTAACCAAATTCAATAGGAATTTTCCTCTATCAGTCTGATGTACTAACAGGTCACAGAAGCTGACAAGTAAGCTTTCAAAATAAAATATTGGCAGAAAATACCATGCCATAAACTTTAGTATGAGATTACTCTAGAAATTATATGACTTTGAATTACAAAATTAAAAAAGGTAAATATTTGGTTTAAACCTATCTAGTTACAAAAAAAATGAAAAAAAAAATTTTGAGAATGATTATGTTAAAAGTAGAAATGTTGCAGAAAATGAATATGTTAGAAACTGTTTTAAAGTATGTCTTTATGTTTATTACAGGTGATAGCATACCTTATGAAGGAAAACAAATGGTCTCTATCTAAAGCGCATGATTACACTAAGTCTAAACGTAACATTATCAATCCTAACCCAGGCTTCATGAAACAGTTAGAAATGTACGAGGGAATACTTAACGCAAAGTAAGTTATATCATTATTATCTTATAAATTTTTATTTTTCAGTTATTTGCTTCTACAGTTAGATTCCATGTATAACTTATTAATTTCAAATTAATAATTAACATTAAATGTATAAGTTGTTCATGCTTGCAGGGATGTATCACTAGACAAAATGTTCACCCCTTTTAGCTAAAGTATTGTTTACATGAACAAGGTCTCAATGTGAAAGATCACTATTTTGATAGAACTTGGCTATGGTCAAGGTCATACTTAGAGGTCAAAGGTCAAATAAAAATATAAGTGTCTGTATTGACAATTTTGTAGTCTGGAATTGGGGGATTTTATTTAAAAATCTAAAATTCTTGTATAAATCAAGTGACACATTTAAAATGGAAAGATCTATGAAAGATTTTAAAGAAATATTCTCTTTGTTAAATTGGAAATAGATTTTTTGCATGATAAATTTTAGCCTGGTTTGCAATGCTTTTTATTTTTTGGTCATTGGGGGTTACTAACAGTATTTTTTCATAAGTGGAGCTTTTTATGTTAGATAAAGTTATCAAATATAATTATGTATGCTATTTACAGTTGGAACAGAGAATTTTTCAACCGTCAAGCACCTGTAAAACCTCTGAGTCCAACAGATGAAATGGAGGAGATGACAGGCAGTTACTCTAATCCGGAGGATTTCTTAGTTCTCAAGACGGGTAATTCTCATTTTATAAGACATGACATTTGTTTATTATGTTTGTACAACTTTTTAACTGGTTGTCTGTACAATTTAGTGTCAGCTCAATATCTTTTTTTCCCCTTGGATGATTATCATGCTACTGGGACCAAATGTATATTGACCTATACAAAATCTAGGTTTCAGGTGCCTTACTGAAAGGTGGTGCTAAGAAAATACAGTGTAAGGTTAAAATCAGCAATTTTGAGTGTTCTTTATCTTTTGAAAACTAATTAAATATTTATCTCAGTGTGATAATGTGCAGAATCCAAATGTCAGACACACTAGTTCTATATTTTAAAACTTTGTATGCAGCTGTACCCTAGGATCTATGCCACATATGGTCAGTAGGACCTGAAATAACATGACATGACACTAGCCAGCAAATTAAAAAGCATGGACCTTGAAACTATAAGCTTTGTATTTGTATTTATCATTACAAGATCTACATGCCACACTCATTTCCAGGTCAAAAGAATGTCAGGAAATTTGACCAGTAGTAACAAAACTAAATTAAAATCCATTGACAGAGAAAGTTAAAACTTTGTATGGGCATTGCTTAGTCCATATTCATTTTGTTTCAAAAGGGCAAGGTTACAATGACTTTAGTTCTATTGTTAACATTTGTTCATGGTCAGTAATTGCAACTTTGACTGAAAACTTGATAATTATGTATTTTCATTTAAAAAATGTGCAGTTTTGGAAAGCTCTTTTTCCATCAGTTTCTGTGCTTCAAAATTTCCTGTCTACTTTGAACCACTCGCAGGATATTCATTATATTATATATTAAATGTTTATCTCATTGAGATGATTTGCATAACCATATCTGAGGCACAAATTTTTAAGGTTATGTTAAAATTTAAAAGTAAAATATTTGAGCCAGCAATTTCTTGTTTTTTAATTGCTGACAAGATAATTTATATTCATATTTGGTTCAAATGTTTATTTAATTGAAACAGTGAGATAACCCCACATTTTAGTCACACTAGTGTAATAAACCAACATTTCAGTCACACCTAAACAGTGACATTTTAGTCACACTGAAGTTCCAAGAATAAATGATTTGGACAAATTTCTTAAATGGGCTTCTTCAAAAATGAATTTTTGTTTTTGTTTTAGAAATTCAGAATTTTTTATTGTATCAAAGTTGTTAATTTTCTTAACATTTCTCTTTATATTATGCATATGTTTTGGTTTATTCTAGGTAAAGCCTCCAGTGATCCCGGTGAATCACCCTTTATAAATTTAGAACAAGATATTGAACTTGCCTCAAGAAGTGCTGACTCCACAGAAGACTCATTACCAGACCAGCTCTCACCTGAAACTGCTGACAAGACCGGGAACAAGAAATTTAAATACTCCAAATCTGAAGGTGATCAGGCAGAAAGTGGGGACTACCTCAGTGCAAGTAGTACAGAATCCGAATACACCTGTAGTGATGATCTAAGCTCAGATGATGAAGATGAAGAGGGAGGTAAAGAGAAAGAGAAAGCAACAGAGATAGAAAATAGAGGTTTTGTACCAATAAATATCCCAGATATTCATACTGAATCTGTCCAAGAAAGGAAAAGATTGGGGAAAGTTGAAGGTAGGAGATGTAGATCAGAAAGTGATAAAAATCTTCTTGTTTTGGAGGAGATGTCTAGAGAAGGATCTACATCTAAGTTTAAACCAGATGGCAGCTGGATTAAACCAGCATCAGAAAGTGAATCTGATCTAAACAACAAAGTTGAAAATGATTTTGATGCTGAATCAGATGTAGGTACTGATAAAACAGATGATGGGGAAGGACTTTGGATGGGTGCTAAACCAAAAAGTGAGATTAATGAGAAAATAGAAGTTAGCACTGCAGAAGAACATGAAGCTATAACTGATACTCAAAACAAAACTGAATGTGAACTGATCATTTGTGAGGATAGTAGTGATCCTTATGTAAGAGAAAATATTCCATGGAATCCAGGAAAGGTTCAGCAACAAAAGAAAGATATAGAGGATAAATTTGGTGCTTCTGTACTCAAGAAAAGAGAATCTGTAGAAAGTACTGATGACAAAACACAGATAGTGAAAAAATCTGAAACTGCTCTTGAAAGTGAAAGCAAGGCTATAACTGAAGTAGGAACAGAGAGAGAATTAAAGGATTATTCCAAAACTATGTCTGCAGGTAATTCGGAGGAATGTACATCAAAGTTGGATCAGTCTGTTTCTGTAGATGATGTACAAAATGATAAGGTATCACCAGAAATGAAGAAGTCAGTGTATGAGGAAGAAGAAATAAATCTCCCAGAGGGACTTGTAAGAAAAACAACTATGGAAATAGAGGAACGAAACAGGTAAACATGAAATTTATTTTCTAAAAAAGTGTTTTTAAGATATGTATTTTCATTAATTTGACTTATATGTACTACTTAAAATTTGACCAGGGTCACTGTTTTCTCTCTCTAGTGTTTCTTCAATAGCAATATCATTTGCAGGGATATAATTGGAAAAAATTCAATATAAAGTTAAGGATTTAGCCTTCAACAGAAGTGAGTACTTTATTAAAAACTTCCTTATAATGATTATGATGAATGCTTTTTACAATAAGTTTAAAATTGTCATTCGGATTGTGAGAGGTATTTTCAGCGTTGACTGACTTTTTGAAGTTTGATAGTACATATGACATAAATATTTTTTTGTTTCAGAATTACATTAGACATTCCAGGTAAAAGTCTGAAAAGGTCTTCGAGTTTAAAATCAACAAGAGTAACACCAAAGTCAAAAGATCGTGACAATGAGCGCAGAAAAACCTGCATAGCTCTTATGTCCCCCACCCACCCTGATTACATTGATAAAGATCAAAATAGTCCTGAGTCATATGACACAGGAAGTGATCAGGATGAGGCTTGTACTGATGTTAATAAAGCTTCTGGTAACACAGAGGAGGAAATTGAAAACCAAACTGGTTCTGTCAAAGTTTATAAATTTATGGGGGAAGAATTGACTGTACAAGAAGGTCTGGTTCGCAAACAAACAATGGGTTAGTATATATGACTTATTGTAGTGTTATATACGTGTATAGAGGAAAATCAAAATACTTTATGCTAATAGATTTTTGCTTCTCTAATGATAAACTTGGGAGACTTTTTGAATTTTAGCTTAATAACACTAGTGTGCTAGATCTGCTTTAGACAAGGATTTGTCAAACCAGCTTCATGTTGTATTTGATTCTAGCCTTTGAGTATTTTGACTTATGTGTTTCTTACTGACGAATATTTGGTTCTGTGTGAGATATTTGAAATAAGTCATAACAACTGATTTTTTGCTTCAATTTGCCAGCAATAGTTAAGAAGTTGGATTAAGTTTTGGTTGAGATTGGTACTGTAAGTATATTCCTAGCTGCAGTGAGCATGTGTAAGGGAATGAGAATAGTATTCATTTAGTTGTTTGATTTAAGACAAATTACTAGAATGAATTGTTACACACCTACTTTCTATCTGGCGTATATGTTATGCACTTGGTCATCTGTCTGTCCAGTAGCATTTTTATGTCGGCTTTGAATTTTTTTGAAATATGAAATTACTTCTTGGCAGTAATTTTAACCATAATGAGTCAATGCAGAGAGCACAGGTTTGGGCTTCCTTGAATCAAGGTCAAGTTCAGACTTTTATATTGTGTATGAACTTAAATATAAGATGATGTGTAGACTCCTTAGATCAAGGTCACATGCCATTTAAAATCCTTGAATTTAGAATACTCAATACTGTATAGAATAATTCACAGGCCAAAATTCTACCAACCCTGACAGTCATTCTATAGTGCATTATTATCCACAATTGAAGAACACCTCATAAACCATGTGGTAGATTTTGACCAAACTTGCAGGAATGTTTCTATGGTGATACAAATGTTTATAAATTATGCCCCTGGAACCAAGATGACCAGCCACTGGGGTCATTATGTCTATATAGACTTTTATAACCATTATATCTTAACGGCCTTCTCTGATACTACACTACCCAGAGCATAAATATTTGGTAAGCAACATCACTGTGTGTTCCCTAGCGGCTCGGGTTATATATACAAACAACCATTTATATAAGGCCATAAACCTGTCAAAAATCCTTTATATCTAATGATATCATAGATGTCTTAAAAAACTTCTCCAAAACTAAATTGTCCAGGACATTGATATTTGACATATAGGATCAAATTGTTGTCCTCTACTAATGTTACATAAATCATTCCTTCTTATATTAAACTTCAATGCCCAGAGATTTGCTCCATGGCATAAAGTGGACTTACACAAAATTTATAAATAATAGAGTCTCCTTCCTTTGGCTGCAAAGTTTGATAAGGATTATTTATATAAGACATGTTTTTGACATATTTCATGAATGGTTCCCTTTCCTAACAGAAAGGTTATTTTTGATTACTAAAACAAATTTGCATTTGTGTGTATATTAACTTGTCTGTTTGGTGCTCTTGTTTTATAAGCTCACCTGTCAGTACAAATTGCTCAAAGATGTATGTCATCTATCTTCTCTCTTATCCGTACTTCCTTAAAACATCTTCTATACCACTTGGTAGATTTTCATAAAACTTGACAGGAACGTTACTATGGGGACATTAGCAAAAGTTGTAATATAAGGAGAATACACGACCTAGACTTTATAGATGAAATATTCTCCTCAGATAGAACAAAGGCTTAGATATTTGACTTATAATATTACCTTATGGCCTGCCTTGTGAACTTTAATGAGACATCAGGTTGTCTGATAATGCACTGGTAAATCAAAATATCTTGGTAGCCTCATAATTTAGTATACTAATAGGTGAAAGGTGTTTGACAAACAGGTACATTGTATGTGGCAACATTTAGTAGTAGATGCTACTTTATTGTTTCTTGGGTTGTATATATTGCAAATATTCCTTTCATTAACTGAAATATTTGGTAGAAGGAAACCATGTGTGAAGTATTGATATGACCAGGAGACCCATGGGTCATGGTTTTCTTTAGTTGCATGTTTATCTCATGTTGTCACAACAAGCTTGAGAAAAAAAAAAAACATTTTAGAATCCTACCATGCTGCCTGATTCTTGTGTAAGAATTTCATCCGAGTATGTGATAGTTTAATATATGGTTATTTCTTTCTAGAGTCACAACCAGTGTTTACAGAGAGGAATGTCTACAATTAGGCTGGTGACCTACAGTTATTATTTGTCTGCATTTATCTGCATATAGGCTATTGTTTAAACTTGCTTTTATAAAAATCTTCATTAATCGTTTGAACAGCATCTTGTGTATTCTGTTATGTTTTTTATTCCCCTTCAATATGAGGTATTATGATCATTCTGTGTCTGCCTGTGGTTTTTAACATTTTACCTTAACAACATTATGTATGGTCAATAATGGATGAATATAAATAGAAATGATCCATAAAAATTGTTCAAAGGATTCTGGTCTGCTAAACAAGATGGCCACCAGAGCTAAAAATAGAAGAAAAAAAGACATTTCAACAACATCTCCTCTACCACTGGGTAGATTTTCATGAAATTACAAGAACTATAATTTTGGTAGTCTTTTACAAAAATGGCTTCAAACGTCTGAAGGTCTTTTGAACAAAATTGCCACCAGAACCTACAAGTTCAACAGCAATGATTATTTGGTGATCTTTTACAAAAAAATTCAGTTAGCTAAACAAAATTGCCAATGGAGGTAACAGTGGATAGCAGGATATACCTTTTCAGCAAAAAAGCATTACAGTCTGCAGAACAATATGGCTGCCTGTGTGCTAAGTATAAAAAATTAAGGTTTAACTAAGTAGGGAAGACATGTAAGTGACAGAATGAAGGCCCCCTTTTATTATCATTGCTCTTATAAAAATTCAGTTAAACATTATAATAAATGATGTAATATATTACAGCAAATTGTGCGAAGCTGTGCTCTTGTAACAGAATGAAACCAAATATTACAATATCAAAGTACTTGTAATATTTGAATACATGCTTTTAAGTTTGATACAAATTTTATAGTCAGATTCACTATTTGTAAAGGTTCTATTGACAGTTTTGAACCTTATTTTTTCTGTTTTAGATGATAGTTTTATTTTATAAAGTTTGCATGTTTTTTATCTTATTTTTATTTATTTTTTAAAAAAGCAGAAACAATTTGATATTTTTTGATGGATTTCCTTTTATCCAATAACTTGCAGTAAATTAACTAAGTTAAGATCTGGTTGGTTAAATGATAAATGGTATATTTTTAATAGAATATTGTATGGTTATTTTTATACCAGCACATTAAACATACATGTATGTTTCAAAGTGGTAGAGATCCACTAACTTGCAGATTTACAAATTTAGCAAGTAGTCTATTCAATGTTCAGGCACAGTTTGCATGCATTTTAATTTTGCTTGTTATATATAACCTAACAAATTATTTACAGGTACTTAACTTTTTCGTGTTACTTTTATTCTGCATCATTATGTAGTTACAGCATGGATTTATAATTTGATGAACTATTATGTAACAATATTGGCATTAAAACCTCTTTATTACTGGTGCTAATTGTACATTAAATACCATAATAACTATCAAATTTATAACCTCTTTTAATATCTTCTTACTGTTTTAACACACCTGAGCTTGTGATCAGAGATGGGTTTTGTGAAAGAATGATGTATTTCCTGACTAGTCTGTCCTGCTTCCTTGTTCATAGTTTCGGTGGCTTAGTGGTTAAAGTGTCTGCTTCTCAACATGGGATCATGTGTTCGAGCCCTATCCAAGTTAAAACCATGTTTCTTCATATGACTCCAGTACTGGTTGGTTCCAGGAAGCTGACTCAAAAGTGATATATATAAGTTGCAAGAACTTGTTTTGCAATCAAGCTTGAATAAATACATATGTTTTTATATCTTATTTTTGCCATGCACATTATATTATGAGCAGAATGTATATCAGCAGTAAAAATCTTAATGTTGCTCACATTTTTTTTTATCCAAGAATGTTTTTATTTCTTTCGATGTATTTCATTTTTTTACTCAGAAGTATACAGGCAAGTGATACTGACAGTATGCAGCATATACCTATATATTTCCTAAGTTATAAATATGTGTTTGTAAAATATAAAACTTGCAATTTACAATATCCACTTTCTGGTGTTTTATTCAAGATTAGGCTTATAGAAGTATTTGTTTGAAAACTGTCATAATTATTTGGTGGTAATAGGAACAATTCAATAATTTATTTTGCATGTAAACTATTAGTTGAGTTACTATGATATGTTTTGTATGATTTCAGATATTGAGAGTAAATCACTGGAACCTGTAATAAAGCAACAGAAATCAGATAATTCAGTTGTTCAGGAATCTTCTAGTACCTTAACACAAACTTCAGTAGACAAATCATCTGCTGGTGATACTTCCAATATTAAATATGTAGATAAATCAACAATAGATGAAAACACAACTAAGAAAAATGAAACAACTGTAATAGTAAATAAATCCAGTGAAGCATCTAGTAAAAATGTAGAAAAAGCAAATATAACTCCAGAAAGAAAAAGTATATCTTCGTTTACTCCTATAAAAAAACGCACTAGCACGGAAAGCAGGTTTGATAAGGAAACCTTGGAATTGATTCGCGAGATTGGATCAGCGTTATTGAATAGTCCCGCAAAATCTAAACTGGAAGAAAATGAAAATGAAGATTTGAAAGAAGGTGAAAATTTGGTCAGTCATTATGTTAAAAAGATTGAAAAAATGTCTGGTGTTTCTAAAAAGAAACATTTAAGGGAGATAATAATAATAGACAAAAATGATGTCACAGTAGAAAAGAAATCTCATGGTAGTGCACATGGGAAATCTTGTGTTACGCAAAGTCCATCAGACACAGAAAACAAACCAGTTATTTCTAAATGGAGTCCTTTAACTTCACAGGGTTCAAAAGAAATTGAAGAACATACATTACAACAGCATAAGTCAACAAATCCAATATGGAGTCCAGTTGCCAAAAAACAATCCTCCACACTTGCTGAGGGAAAAATCTCACCAGATTTCAAAATCACTGGCAAATCTGATGTAAGTGCTACAAAATGTAAAGACAGCCATATCAGTAAATCAGATATGACCCTTAAGCTCATATCCTCTGTTTCTGCTGGGACAGATTCAGACAAATGTAAACAATCTGAAAAAGAAGAATCAGAAGTTTGTTCAGTTAAAAAACTATTAGGAAAGTTTGAACAGCCAGAGCAGGTCTCTGGTCAAGTGACTCCAGTTTTTGGTTCCCCAAGCATTTTAGGTACAAATACTCACATATTTCAAGGTGCTAAATCTGATTCTTCAAACAGCAATCCAAGAATTTCACCTTCAACCAGCAGTTCACATTCTTTTGTGTCAGAGGTCAAAAGTCAAGGACTCTCCCATGCAGGGTCAAAATCTCCAGTACATCACAGACAGTCAGAACCAACTATTCATTTATCAGAGAAGTCTATGATGCAATTTGAATCTAAATTTAAAGAAATATGTCCAAGTTTATATGATACATCACCAGTAAAAGAGGAAAGTGACTCTGAGGAAAGTAACATCATGAAAGATCAAGCTGAAGTTAAAACTGTACGACCTAAATCTGCAAGTTATGGACCAGCATCTGGAAGGAAAGTGCGTCTTCGTCAATCTCAAACTTTACCTGAATCAGAGATTGAACAACAAGGGTTTACCTGGGAAGGAAAGAAAGTAAGAAAACTATATGGAAAAACTCATCCTCTAGCTAAATTGGAAGGAAGAAAATATCCTGACACAACACGTAATAGCCCTTTTTATAATACCATGTAGACAAAAACTGTTTTATTTCTCATATTACATATTTAATGTTATTACTACCATTTATAGATTAATCTAATAATCCTTGTTTAGGATAAAATGCTCAGTCAAGAAAAAACTTGTTAATATTTTGATGTGTCTTGGACATTTAAGGATATAGAGGATATTTGTTTAGTTCAGTGTAAGATCAGAATATATTTCACCGAGTGAGCACCAAAAGGTATATTTCACGAGTGGCGCAGCCACGAGTGAAATATGAACTTTTGGTGTTCACAAGGTGAAATATATTTGATCTTACACTAAACTAAACAAATTTTCTTTTTATTATATGCAGAGAAACGTTTTTAAAAAGACATTAAACCTAATACCGAATGAATAGCGCGCCAAATAATAATATAACGTGACGTCATTTACGACGTCATGTCATTAAGTTGGTACCCAGTTCTGTGCACGCTGGTATTTCACTGAAACAACGTAAGGGGCTTAAATTCAAAACAGTGAAATTATCAAAGTGGTAATTTCACTGTTTCAAACAGTGAAATTACCAGTTTTATGTCACTGATATTTTTCTATAAACCACCGAAAAGCATGTAATAAAACATTTTAAATGTGCTAATCATTATAGGTAAATTGAAGAGATTTTAAGAAACCGTTTGAAATGAATTTACCCTGCTTATGGAACAATCAAAATTTAAATGATATCAGAATACAGGAGCTATCACCAGTATAGAGCCAGGTGAGACTGCACTAATGTACAGGTTTGTTTGACTTTATACCGGTGGTAAAGGTTCTAGCAGGTTCACGGTTAACCTCAGGTTGTTAAATTATTTCTTCCCATTGACAAAGCATTGGTGAAGTTTTTTATTCAAGTCCATTGATTTTAATACAATTAAGGATTATTAAAAGCCTCGTACCATCATGACCAAATTGGGGCAGATGTGTTGAATTATGCCCCTATTCAACTTTCTGTTATGTCATCCTCCAGAAAACTGGATCATGCTGGGATGGACAGGTCTTGTTATATTATAAATTGTGATACTCAATTTAAAGTTTTAATTAATCCCTATACAACTTATTGTAAACATTATTTTTATTCTTTAATTATATGTCTTCATTCCATTTTGTTATCAAGTGTAGTTCAACATGTTATTTCTATATAAATTAGTGTAGATATATGTACATTGTTACTTTTATCCTGCTACTGTGTCAATTAGTAGCTAATTGATTATATGATGTGTACTCTATTGAAACTACTGCAATATTTCCTTGATAGTATGAATAGTATATACTTATAATACTGAATTGCATGTACCAAACAAAACCAACACAACTTACCAACTGAACCATATTTCTTGCATAGCAGACTGGCATTTCCGTGAGTTTTATCCATGCCAGAAATTTCATCTGGCATGGGGGGTGCCAGATGAGTCGCGTGCCAAACAAAAACGTCATTTTAGCGTATTTTACAAATGAACCGCGTTAAAATGACGTCGTTTTAGAAGGGAAGTACATTTTGTATGTGCTTAGGATGACGTCAATTTGATGTTGTTATTTAAATTGTAAGTTCATACGCTATTGTAAGAAAATAGTTATGGATGAAATGACTTTAATTTCCATGAACATCTATCATATTGTGGTAAACCATTTTAAATATGAAATAATATGGCAGAATATGCAAGAAAAAATATCTAACATATGTTTGCGGTTTGGATCGGAATATCCTTCCCTCGGGAACACGCCCAATGGGCGGGTCCCCTCGGGACGGATATTCCGGTCCAAACCACAACATATGACAGATATTATTAGTACCAACAAGACCTGACATATCAACCACACCTGATGTAATAATTAGTTCTGTTGTATAAACCAGACCTGGTGTATCAACCTGACTTGATGTACCAACCACATCAGAGGTATAAACCAAACCTGACATACCAATTACACCTGACATATCAACTTGACCCGACATACCAAATATGGTAGACCGTACATACCAACTTAACCTGGCATACCAAATAAGGTAGACCTGACATACCTAATATGGTAGACCTGACATACCAAATATAGTAGATCTGACATACCAAGTATGGTAGATCTGACATACCAAGTATGGTAGATCTGACATACCAACTTAACCGGACATACCAAAAATGGTAGACCTGACATACCAAATATAGTAGATCTGACATACCAACTTAACCTGATATACCAAATATGGTAGACCTGACATACCTAATATGGTAGATCTGACATACCAACTTAACCTGATATACCAAATATGGTAGACCTGGCATACCAAATATGGTAGACCTGGCATACCAAGTATGGTAGACCTGACATACCTAATATGGTAGACCTGACATACCAAGTATGGTAGATCTGACATACCAAGTATGGTAGATCTGACATACCAAGTATGGTAGATCTGACATACCAACTTAACCTGACATACCAAATATGGTAGACCTGACATACCAAATATAGAAGATCTGACATACCAACTTAACCTGAGATACCAAATATGGTAGACCTGACATACCAAATATGGTAGACCTGACATACCAAATATGGTATACCTGATATACCAAGTATGGTAGATCTGACATACCAAGTATGGTAGATCTGACATACCAAGTATGGTAGATCTGACATACCAACTTAACCTGATATACCAAATATGGTAGACCTGACATACCAAATATGGTAGACCTGACATACCAAATATGGTATACCTGATATACCAAGTATGGTAGACCTGACATACCAAATATGGTAGATCTGACATACCAACTTAACCTGATATACCAAATATGGTAGACCTGACATACCAAATATGGTAGACCTGACATACCAAATATGGTAGACCTGACATACCAAATATGGTAGACCTGACATACCTAATACGGTAGACCTGACATACCAAATATGGTATACCTGATATACCAAATACGGTAGACCTGACATATCTAGTTTACCTGACGCCAGCTGTACCAACCACATATGAAAAAACCAACCACATTAGTCATAACAACCACACTTAACATACCTACCAGATTGATGTATCAGCCAGACCCAATGTAACTACCAACCACACTTAATGTATCTACATAATTACCTCATCAGAACCAAAGGTTCAGGGCGAGATATTAGTATGATGGGGGATGCTCCAGCATCTGTCTTCTTTCATCAACAATGCTCCTTTTCTCTAATGCAACTTGCCAAAATTAATTCAAATTTGGTGTGTTGCATCCTTGTGACACTGACTGAACTTTACTCATATTTAACCAGTTGGCTTTCTTAAATAAATATAAAAAAAAAACATCATGAACCAATGGATGGTCACCAAACATTGTAGCATCTTTAGATGGTCCTCTTATCAAGTTTGCTAAATTAAAGTAGTTGACCCTTTTTAACGGCTGAAGATGGATACATCTCTACTGCACCTACCGGTAACTTGGTCTGTAGCATTTATTATTGATGGATAGCTTGTATTGTGAAACTTCCTATGCCATGTCCTAAGCTTAATTTTCTGAAAGTACTAGTTAGTATTTTGAAAACATTTTCAGATACAATGTACCAATACATGTAAAAGGATATATACAGAACACTGCCAAGTGGTCTTTTTATTTTTCTCTCTGTGCATAATGTTTTGAAATTATTAAGTTTATTCCTCTGAATACATTTAATATATCGATATATATATTTTCAACACTATTAGAAGAGTAACCCAGTTAATAACAAAATTTTTTTCCCCATCTTGGTACATGGTACAAGCTAACAGAACAAAAAGAAACCAACCAAAAACTTTTGAACAACTGCCTATTATAAAACATATATAAATATATACTTGTATTTATTCTGGTGAGTGATGCTGGACCACCATGGTCTCTTGTCTTGTTCTAGTTTTGTTTAAATGTCAATTTAAACATTTGTGGGAACTGTAGAGAAAACTATTATCAAGTTAACTGAACATGATTATTAAGCATTTATCACAATTTTGTATTCAAACTGTTAGTATTTGTAGTCTATTTATATACATGTATTACGTGTAGTCTTATAATATACATGTACTTCTACATAATATCAAGTGGTTTTTAAGTGGGTTATGCTTACATGTTTGCAATATATGTAGCTCAACCATTTCGTGTATCTTTATGTTGACATATGTGTAAATAGACCTTGCATATTCATACACACGTGTATTTTCATTCTTGTAATGTGATTACATGTTCATTTTGAAACTTTTGTGTAGGAACATTTTCATTTGTGTAGTTCAACTTTTAATGTTTAAACATAGCTCAGTATATCATATGTTAAACGCATTTAATAATGCCATAGTCTTTCTATATTATGTAAGTGTACACATGATTTGGTTACAATTTCTTTCTTTGAACAAACTTATTATAATGTTAAGATACATTGTATATTTTCTTTTCAAGTGAAATTTTATACAAGTTTTATTTCTTAGTTCTTAGAAGTTTTAGACTTGAGGAAACAGACTCAAAAGTGATTAAATACAAGTTACAAGAAATTATTTTGCAATCAAGCTCAAATAAATATGGTTAAACTAAACACAGTCTATTTGTACATACCGTATAAAACTGACAAGTCTGTGGTTTTGCTTATATTGACATGAGTTTTTCCTTGCATTATGACTAGCAATAAATTAGAAATTGTTCACTATGTTTGGCAGTGTTATTTTGCAATTAATTTATTGTTGTATTGCATTTAGTTCGACTTAAAAAAATTGTTGACTTGATATCATTGAAATGGGGAAATTACATACTGGTAGAATGATTTCATTAAAATGGGGAAATTACATACTGGTAGAATGGAATGTTACTATGATAAATGGGGTAAAAATGATCTTGTTTCAATCCTCCAGAGATGGCATTTCTTGTTTAACATTGCTAACAATTTTAGAGCAGTCATTTACTCATGTCTAAATTAAACTGACATAAGGCACTCTTGATAACAAATTATTTCTTGGTAACATTTTATACATGTGCAATCTTTGTTGTTTGTTTTTTTCTCTTTTTCTCTCATTGACATTTTTATATGACTAAATAAAATTATTTTAACACAAATTGTTTGTTTATTTGTCTGGTTTTAGCACCAATATCAGCACATATTTGGCCATATCTTGGCAGTAACGGTCCATTAGTTCGGCTTTCCTGGATAACTTACCAGTAATTTCTCAACAAGTAACCAGCAACTTATCCCACATGATCCCTCAATCAATGGTGAGAGACAAATTCACATGAAGTCCAATAAGTATTCGAGGAGATATTTTGCCTTGCCCCTGGATTACAAATCTGATTACTGTCCCATCCAATCATTTGTGTTTTTCGCTAATATCTTTTGAATTTGATCAGATATCAACTTGAAATTTAAAATATACGTATAGGCCAAGTTTCATTATCTTTCATGGCAATTTTACAAAGATTTATTTGAATATCTCAAACTTAAAGCTGCATAATAAGGAGTTTTCATCAATTATCAATTTTCATTATTATGTTATAGAATCAAATTTCTTTAAGTAAAGAAAGTAACATTTTCTGTCACCTGTGTTGGCGCTGTAAATTTCAACACTAAAAAAATTATTAAATAATGGTAAATGTTAGGTTATGTGTGAAGTTTTATGGAACAAAACAAGATAACAATATTCATACTATGAAAATAGTTTATTTTTCTCCCAATTCCTCACAGACAAGTGTTGGGACAGCTATTAGCATTTACATCAGGTAATACAAAATGACAAAATAAATACTTTATCCTTAATTACATATATAATATCTAGAGCAGTTTATACATAATCAGAAATGCAGGTGATCAAAAATACAACTAGATTTATGAAAGTTTGTAGTAAATTGAACAAGATGTTAATTTACAGGCATTGTGAAAAATTAAAGGGAGATTTTCATTGTAAAGCCTTCTCAGCACGGAGAAAATATAAATACAACTTTTTCTCAATGTTATTTCCTAGGTAAAAGATTCTGTGTTTGAAATTGTTTTGATATTTGAAAGACCAAATTGACATTTTTACGACCACCACTTAAAAAGAGGCAGTACACTGTTTGATGAGTCAGTCAGTCTGTCTATCTTTATGTCATGTTATCAATTACTTGAGATGTAGATGTAACCTTATATTACTGAATTAGAGGTAATTAGGCCAAAGTCAAAGAGATACTGTGCAAGACCTTTGTCTCATCAATAACTTGAAAAAATTGGGACATTTTTCATGTTCAGTAAATAACTCCTATTAATTTTGAGATCAGTAGGTTAAAAGTAAAGATCATAGTCTTGGTCTGATCTGTAAATGTGTCGCTGTGAAAGACAAATGAAGAAGGGACATATATTAGTGTCCTATATGGACACATTTCTGATTAACATAAAATGTGTCTATTTTGGAAAATAAATTGTAAAATCTCCCTTTAAAATTAAGTAACTTTTGCTTATGTTTTGACAATGTAGCATTAACACTAAGTTGTTATAGCAAAATAAATCCAAACATTCACACAGATTATGAAGTTATACTACCCGTAACACAGTCTTAAAATATGACATTTTTTTCACAGTTCGTATTTTGAATTTTTATAAAAAAAAAATTCAAATAAAATAATGAATCTAAAGATATATTAGACACAAACAAGACTTGCTGCTGGAAACAGAAAAATGCTCAAGAAACCCGATTCTAATAATTCAAAAACTATATGTCTCCTGATGAGGGCATTAAAAATAATTCTGGGAATGTATTGTATAAAAGGGAATGTTATTATATAAATAAATAATTTCTCGTGTTTCCTTGTAAAATATACCATAAGTAATCTATATTTACATATATTATTACTACAATTGTCAATTATTCTGTGGAATGTGAAGTTTTACTTTGCCTGGAATATATAGCAATTTGTGTAAAATGGAAATGAATGAAATATAAAATTTATGCAGGTAAATAATTTTTTCCTTTAACAATATTTTGTACAAAGTTAAATGTATATAAAACAGGTACTTATTAGGAAATAATAGATATATTCTGTCTTAATTAAAACAACCTTTGTAACTTTTTCACAATAAACTGTTTGATAATATAAATACTAGACTTTATTATATACTTATAAATGAAATATTGAGAAATATTGATGAAATAAAATGCGTATTTTCATTTTCCGTATTTTCACTGTAAAAATTTATTTTCACTGCAGTGAAACATATTTTCCGTATTTTCACTGGTGTCTTGCCGGACTACTTTCTTTTAAATTCTACCAGTACACAAAATTTAAGGGAAAGTTTTTCAAATTTTATTGCAAAAAAGAGAAAAATGTACATAATAAACAGAAAATTCAAGTTTTTTCTATAAATACATGATTTATTTTCATCTTGTGGCATGAAAATTACCATATTTCACTCGTGGCTACCGCCACTCATGAAATATTTATTTTCATACCACTCGATGAAAATAAATCATGTATTTATAGAAAAAACTTGAATATCCTCTATGTATCATGAATATGTACCACGATATCAACACTTGGTAAACTAAGTCAAAGTCAAACATTACATAACAAAATCAAGTTGGTACCAACTGTCTTTAATCTATTACCTTATTCTTTATACTTTAAAGAAAGTTAAGAGTCTAGGATTTATTTTTTAAATGTCAATAAAAAGCAGTTCTCATAGAGACCAGTTCTAGTTAGTTCCTGGAAGGAATCTTCAACTTTATACTTTATTTAATTACTCTTACTGAAATGTTTGTGATGGGTAAAAACCCTTCAAATTCACAACACATACATGCTCAGGTGAGCTATGACACTCAGGGGAGCTATGACATTAACTCAGGAGAGCTATGACATTAACTCAGGAGAGCTATGACATTAACTTAGGACAGCAACAACATTGGACTCAGCTGAGCTATAACATTGACTTAGGTGAGCTATAACATTGACTTAGGAGAGCTATGACATTGACCCAGGTAAGCTATGATATCCACTCAGGAGAGCTACAATACTGGAGGGAATGAAGAGGTTAAACAACATTGGTTATCACAGTTAGATACACAGGTCGTTATTTAACACAACACAACATTACACTATTTATAAACAAAGCTAAAATTACAACCATCTGTTATCAACACAATATAAAACAACTTTAGTAATGCACAAACAATTTGGAAGCAGTATTTTATGGAATCCTTAAAATCATAATAATCATTATGTGTTAAGTCAATTTGCAGAATTAAATAAATAAATTGATGTATATATATATTTATGAAAAAATATAAAATTGGGAAAAAGATTACTATATTTGTTTACAGAGTAATCTTTTCCATTCTTCTCAGAACTATAGTAAATTTCATACTAAAATAATATATTGGTAATTGTTGTCTTGTATCTATTATAATGCAAACTGTTCATAAATACATCACAATATTTTATATATGAAATGCTGTTATAGACACTGTTATATAAAATACAAATACATGTATATGCAGTCCTAGCTTAAATATCTATTACATACAGAGTAGACAAAGCTTTTAATAAATATCAGCATTTTATCATTTAATAAGTGTTTAAATTTAGGCACAAATTAAATAAGACAGAAAAGTTAATAAACAGAAATTTATATCAACCAAAATTGATTTGTATAGTGATCATGTATTTAACTTGTAAGTTGACATGTCAACATAAGATATGATAAAGAAATAAACAAATTGGTTTACTTAATTAAGTAGCTAACAATTAGAGAAAAAATGATTCGATTTTAAAATTCTCATAATATCAATTTCTCATAAAATTCACAAAATATCAATTTAATGTGAACTAAATTGAGGGAGACATAATGTTAAGTATCAGACTTCTTATAAACCATAATAACATTGTATCATCTTTACACAACTAATCTGGTATGCCACCATGCTCCACATAGACAGCTGGTCACTTTTCTTTTCTTCTTTTTTTCAAGCATTTTGTATTAACCAAATGGACAATTCAAACATTACAACAAAGTAAGTCCTTAATACCAAACATGTTGTGACAAGATCCAAATAAATGCATCAACTAAATAAACTCAGATCTACTGGCACATAAACTACCTGAATATAGACAATTCTAAACTATAACATCAAAATATCATAGAATGTATCACATAGAAGCTTCAATAGTATTTCACCTTAGTATATAAATTCAGTAACATAACATAATTAAAGACATGCTTGTAGAAAACTAGTAAAAAAATTTGCTCAACTTAATGGACAAATGAAATAGTTAACTCATGCATGCTAATGCCTCAACTTATTTATATAGAACCGTTCTTATTGTGTGAAGGCAAGAAATGTTATAACTTAATATCAAAATATTATAACACAATATGTTACTAGTACAACAAGTCTGCTCTGTAACTGTTACAAAACAAATACTGACACTGGTAAATATTCATAACTTTGATTTATATCCTGCAACTTTCATCAAAATTATCTCTTCCACATATATATATATATAATTATATGTGTACGTATATGTGAAGAATTTCTCATGTTACGTCAGATCAGACCATTGAAGCACTGCAGCAGATCTCTTTACTTCCTTCCTAATGATATCATTATTCTCCTCCACGAAAAGGAGAGTTTCTACTGTATAGTTTCTCATTTCAAAAGCTTCTTTTGGCAAATATAAAGTTTATTTGAAATCAATATAACTGTGCTATCTAGTGAACTTTTTAAATATATTTTTGCTCTTGGTAAAAAATCCTCCCGATTTTTTCTTCTGTTTTAATTCATCAGGTGTGAGTGACCTGGGCCTCGTCATTCCAATGTCATCATTCACTACATCTACTTTATCATGTTGGTTTGCCAGTTTGGTTGGGGAGCCGCCCAGGCCTGGGCTCGAACCCGACTGTTGTTGTTGAGGCTGCAGAACAAACAAAAAAAGATCATTAAAAAAACTTGCACCAATTTAATTCAATGTAATTGATATTATATAAGAAAAATGTAAGTAGATGCTCCATATCATAGATAAAATATTTGACCCAAGAGTTTCATTATATAAGCATTTAAGACACTTCTGTTTACATCAAAGACAATTTGTTTTTCTTTTAAAATCATATTACTGAGTATATGGGTTCTATAAATGACATTAACTTGTTATACTTAATTCTCATCAAAAAGCAATAAAGTAACTGGTACCTTGATCAACAATTAAACAATCAGATAAGTAGCTCAATGAAATTATAAATAAAAACACTGCATGCTACAGGCTGTACATGACAATACCATGAAAATACAATTAACTGACAAAACATTGAAATAAATATATACAGATGTTTAATTACAACATAAAGGTGATAATTCACAACAATAAAACTCTAATTAAGTGACACACTATCCCCCATTATTATTATTCATGTCTCTTCAAAGAGCTTAATATCTCTACAACAAAATGTTAGAAGTTTCAAATGTAACCCAATACCGTTTCATAGCAAACTTTCCTCGCTTTCGCTTATGTATTCTGTCCTTGACAAAATCAGTAAATAAAACTATATCAGGTATAAACATAGCAAATAATTATAAATTGTTTGGTAAAATTTTAAGGAGACTTATTTTGCAGCAATCATCTTTAAGCTTCAGAAAACATTTATTTTTCTTTTCCAAAATTTTTATAGATCTTAAACAATTTATTGTTTACTTAACTATGAAATATTGAATTTAAGGACTTCATTTTATATCAAATTCTCACAGTGTATAAAATGTTACATGACAAATGGTAACTTCATGTTTTCTTATGATAACTGTTATTTGGAAAGTGTCAGAGTTCCTCTGATAATAATATCATTTTACAAGAAAAGAAAGGGTCTTCAAAATAGCAATTATTTTTTTTATGTTATCTATCTACATAAGTAAAACTTAAAATTTTGAAAATTTCAACCTGTACTTGAATGACCTAAAGTGAAAATGTTTATTAAATCTTGATATTTAGTTACAGAAACATATTTTTTTGTTGGGAATAATTGGTTTTGAAATTAGAAAATGCAAAGTATATGCAGTTTAATAAATGTAATAAAAGTACCCTAAGAAAAGGCATTTATGTGACCAACATTAAATTATTGACAAAAACTTACATTTTGAAATAACAATGGACATTTATAAACTAGAAATATGTCCATGGGACACTTATGACCTAACTTTATTTGCATTTCAAAGTGGCATATTTACATATATATATATACACATATGCTTAATTCATTTTATTCTAATGAGTAATTTATATAATAATACAGTCCAACCAATTAGACTTGTCACAGAGACATCAAGATAATGTTAGGATAGGCAATTTCTTTTTTTCCAAAGGTTTTGACAGCAAGGAAAAAATTCTGTATAATAGGTCAAACTGTTCATTTTTAATGAATTAGGCCAATAATAATAGTATGATCACTTACAAAATTCACAAACTTACAACTTGATTTGATGCATTAACTGTCACTGGAGTACTGACCTTGACCTAATGACCACAAAATCAATAGGGGTTATGACAATGTCCCTACCAAGTTTTACAAACTTTGGCTTATTTCTTTTTAAGTAATTGATCAGACATGGATTTTACATAAAATTCTCATCAAAGAAACAAAATAAAATAATTCACATCTATCCATGTTTCAAATTTCATGAAAATATTCCAAGTAATTTTTTTAAAGTAATTTGAACTGCTAGTTGAATAAAGAAAATATATATCATAAAAGCCTAAAAAAATCCAGGGTGTTTCTTTTTTATTTGAAAAAAAAAGAGAAAATCTGTATAACAAAATGTGCACACAAGATAAAACAGACCATGTGTATCAGCTTCACTCTGTGAACTAAATGTGACCAAAATTGCAAGCAAAAAATTAATAAGAAAAGTAAGATATAAATTAAATAAACAAGACGTGCAGAATAAAAAAAAGACAAGCTCAAACATAGTTATAAATATTATACCAAGGTGGCTCCTTGCATAACTAGTAGGTGAAAATAAACACTTAAAAACAAGCACATGGACAAAATGATTACACAATTGTCTTTACTTTTTGTCATTTAAGTTAATCCATAACAAGTTAATTTTTTTCCTCAAAAGACAAAAAAGCTTCAATCACTTGAAGCAACAGACAGAAAAAAAAACACAGAATTTTAATTTTCTGACATTAGAATTTCAGTATACCACATTCCTCTTCCTACTGACAGATTTCAAACCCCACATGAAAGCAATTAAAACCCCAAAAAATAGCCACATTTAAGTTAGACATTATAGTCCGTAATTTTTGTCTTTTGTACCTATTTTCATCGTCGAGGATAATTCTGATATCATAGATACTGAAATAAATTAATGAAATAAATTGATCATATTCACAGGTTGGGTGACATTAATTTTGCATTCTGTAAGAGTTATCTCCCCTTATAGATATCTGATTACATGAATTGAGTTACATTAGCAGACAGAAGACATGAAGCTGTCAAAAATTCATGGCAGAAAAACAACCCCTTTTGATATCTGAGAATTACAATACTTCATGATTCCTACAGGATAAATTATTTAACATTTTCACCAAAAGTAGAAAAATACCACAAAAGTAAAATGCTATGAACTTCCTTTTTCTCACTATTATCCAAGTATAATGGTTTTACTTGATTTTAATGCATGTTTACAGAATGCAAACAGGTGGTTACCACAGATACCAGGTTTTTGTACTGCCACAAGGTGGAGCCACTGAAGGTGCCATGCAATTGTGACTGATCAAATGATCAGCTGACCTACTTTATTATCAATTTTCTCAGATTTTTCTGATTTTCTTGAGTCAGAAGTGTTGATACTTTCGCCTGACCTTGCTGGTGTAACTACGCTGACTGAATCCAACGCCTCTTCATCTGACACAGGTGTCTCCTGTAAGAAGTTGGAGGGAACCAGACCCTTACGACCATCCATCTCTGCCATGTAGAAACCATCGTCATCCATTTCACCAAAACAAATGATCACATCTCCAGACTTAAATGATAGCTCCACCTGTATTACAGTGTTCAATAAAATTTTATAATAATATATAAAATAAAATAATTACATATTTTTAAATTATTCTTGTAGTTTTATCTAAATATATTAATTTGTTGTATGGCCAACAATGGAAAAAATAAATCAGTATTATATTATACAAGAGGGCAACAATGGCCTTGAATTGGTCACCAGAAATCCAACGCTAAAAAAGTTATTTCTTCAATGCAAAAGTAGGATACATTAAAGCCCTTTATTGTCAAATTCTAATTTTAATAACTGCAAGTGAAACCCAGGATGTGAACAAATTTGACCCCGAATTTGAAGTTTCAGTTCATACCTCCAATTCAATAGAATCATCATGAACTATAGGAGTTGCTATAACAAGATGTCACACAGGCCAACCAAGTGATACAATGACACAAGCATATACCTCCTCCAAGCAATGTTTACAGAATTATAAATACATCTTAACACAGAAAAACTTTAATCAAACATCTGGACAAAGACTCTAGGATGACAAGGACAGCTCTACATATACTTTATACAGTGTAACTAAAAATACAAGTAATACCTCTGCATCAACATTAGGTGACAGTTCCTGGGGATCATAGTCATATAGGGCAACCATCCTGCGTACAGTAACCTCTCCTGATATAGATGGTAAATCACTGGGGCTGAGGTGAATTCCATTGGTTGTTATTGGCTTCATGTATTTATCTGATGCTGTAATGATTATGATATCTATATTTTGAAGGAACATACTTTGAAAAAAGTTATATCATATTCAACAACTGACACATTGGCCACTAAGCTAGAAGCATTGGCCACACATCTAACATACACAACATTGTCATGTTTAACATCTGTTTTTCAAAAATTCATCATTCAATATCAAAACTGTTTACTTAGAGAGAAAAATCAGCCATTTTTCATGACTATACAATTGAATCACAATACAGCATTGTAGTATAAAATTTCAAAAACTTTCTCCTATACCTGATAGTTGCTCTGATAGAGCTGAGTTTGACATGGTGCCATTTTGTTGTACTTCTTGTAATAATTGCTCCTCTAGTTCTGGGTCATCAACTTGAATCTCAGATACCATATTACATGGTATAAATCCAATACGACCAAGACATTCCCCTCTGTAAAACCCGTCAGCATCTTTGTCACCAAATACCTGAACATAGCAGATTTAATAATTATATATTTATATGTAAGCTGGCTACAACAAATAATGGTCTTTAGTTTACAATCCTTCATATAGTTTCTAGTTATGACCAGTACTCGTTTCCATTATATTAAAGTAAATTTCAATTTCAGAACATTTCCTATAAAAAAAAAAAGACTTTATTAAAATGTAATGCAGAATTGTGAACTAAGCTTGCTTGTGATAAGTCTTATATTGTATAATTAAAGTATAAGATAAACATTTATAATGAAGATACTGAAGAACAAAATCAAGATAGAATGTGAAAGGATAAAATAATTCATACATTGCCCCAACCACACACTATTCTTAGTGCGCTCATGATCAGCACCCTAACAATCATCATATATATCATATATACATTTGTACTTTTCAATATTCAGCTGTAAATTAAATAGATTATTTCATACTGGGCTTCCTTTCTGACCATTTTACACAAGCATGTTACTTATATACAGGTATATAATAAAATAATATATCTGCTTGGTAACGAAACAAGAATGTCAAGTTTACACTCACTTTGATTATCTGTCCTTCTCTAAATGGAAGCTCTTCATCTAATGCATCCACATTTGGTGACATAGTTTGTGGATCATAATCAAACAGTGCTACAAATAACCGTATTCGATTATCATCAACTGGTGGATTTATCTCCCCTGTTATAGAATCATCGTCAGATTCCTGATAAGTCATATCACTTTGTTCTCTATTTAATTTAGATAACTCAAGTGGCTCAACATGGCCTACATATCCAGAACTCGAATTTGATTTATTATTAGGACTTGGACCAGGACTTCTACTGTGTCTTCCTGTATGTTCTGGACTGGTACCCACTCTTCCATGTCCACGTGGGCTATGATGATCCTGTAATCTTTCTGAATGTCTTGGACTGCTTTTTGATCGAGGACTTTCCTTAACCTTTGGACTATTCCTTGAGCTCGGGCTTTCATTTTTTGAATGTCTGGGGCTTGAATTTCGACCCATATTAGCACTGTTGGGACTAACACCTTTGTCAGACCTTAAATCTCCACTTTGTCTTGATTTATCATTACTTTTATCACGGTTAGAAGTGTCATTTCTAGGTGAATAATTCTCGTCCCGATACCCATCACGTTTATCCATTCTCACACTATATTTTGCATCTTTTTCTGCACTTTGTTCTGATGAAAATTTTGATGAATTTGCATTGTTTTCTATAGAATCTGATTTCACATGTTCCCTTCTTTCTTCAGATTTTTGTTTTGATATCATCTTGTCTAGACTATTTTCTCTTGTTATTTCTAAGAAATCAAGTGAAATAAAACTAGTCTGATTAACACAAGCTAAATATAGCACATAAAAGAGGTAATAATGATAATGTACAAGAAATATTCCAATTATTCTAGCTGATATCTTAATTCATAATTTGTTTTAAAAAGGTCATTCAAACTTATTAAGGATTTTAGTATGACATAAGACATTTCAGTAGTCTTTAGAGTGTGGTTTTATTCTACTCATGATGTAACTATACTGGAGCTATTATCATTCTGAATTCAAACCCTCCAGTATAAACACTGTACTTTTTGATGTGGGAAAGCCAACAAATACCACTGTGATTAAAATTATTTTACAACACGTAATTAATTGATCTTGTATCAAATAAACTTTCAAGTCACAAAGTATTATACATTGTAGTTAGTTTATACCTAGCTGTCATCAATGATTTAATAATTTCATCACAAGTGGTTGGCATTTACTTAAAAATATACAGTGAAAAATGTACTAATTCAATGTGACCTTAAATTTTATATTCTAAAAATATTATAACCCAAGATATTTTTACAGCCTCACTCTAGGCTCACCCCACCCCTTCCAAAAAAAAGGCAAAGATTGATGGAGGAATAAAGCTGTGTACATCAGTTGTTAGTCTTTTAGTAAAAATTTCATCCTATCTTGGTTAAAAATTCTGAAATTCATTGTAAACTCACCAATTTGTGGTACAGTTTTAGGGGAGACAACTTTCTCTTTTTTCTCATTTCCTGGACTAGAAAAGGAACGCTGTTGGTCATGTGACTTGCTGCCAGGTGCTGATTTGCCACTTGTCGGTACAGACTTCCCTACATGCACATCTGCATTTAATTCCTGGTAAACAAAAATCTACTGATACATACTTCCTTTTAAAACAAATAAAAATATATGCTAAAAGAATAAAACTGCAAGAAAGAAAACTGATGATGACCATAAACAAATTTAAGGCTCTGCACAAAGTGACTTCAGAAAAGATGTTTTGCTGCATGAAACACCTAACAAAAGGTCTCCATGTAAGACATTTTCCTACCAAGTTTCAACAATATTGGCACAGTTGTATCAGATGAGATATTGATAAAAGGAAAGTTAAAATTTCTGTCTAATTGTTTAACTTTATCTCTTTACCTGTCATTGAATTCTGCAACACATCACTAGTAAATATACCAGTATTAACCTTAAACTACATATAATGTGTTTATATAACAAACTGACATCATCTGACTCTCTCCACATCACATCCAAAATCTTTCAATAATTAAAGTTATATTGTCAGAGTTCTTAAATTTTGAAAATTTGAAGGTTAAATTGTATAAAACTATATTTTTGACTTCTTGGGATTGCCAAAATATTGATTACATCATGATTAAAATCACTACAGATTACAAAAAATAAAAAAAAAATATCTGTGTATTTCATTAAAAATTAGTGAAACATTGCCCAAATAATCACTAAAGAAGTGGAACATTTTGTTCTGTAATGTTTTCTTCCCCTGATTTTTTATACAACATTCAAGTGTGTTAAATAACAGACATGAAATTACCATACAGTTATGAAAACAATATAATTTCACTGTTCAGATATAGCTTTATACCCTTTAACTCTCATTTCAATTTGTTCATATTTTAATGTCCTAATAATACTTTCTTAAACATGTCAATCAAAAGTCATTCTCTTTATATGTAAGTACAATGTACCTCTTTGATGCATACCTGTATTCAATTGTAAAATACATTTTATAAAATACTCTTGTATTTCCTGATTGTAGACTATGATATTTCATGCAACTACCTGTATGTCAATGCCATCAATAGACCACAATAGAATAAGAGATTTAGTTCTCTTATTTTGTGTAAGATCCTTAGTACAATGTAACTGATGCTTTTGTAATGTTTTGCCATGGTATTGTTCAATACTGAAATCTATCTATCTATGTTATATATTTTGTATATGAGTACATAAACACTTTAGTTGGGATTGAAAATACTATTGCAAAAGTGGATGTTGTCAGCAAACAGATGGACATACAGACAGGACAAAAATAATAATACCCTGTAATCTATCGAGTGATGCGGGGTATATAAAGAGTATACACACAGTAACTGACAGTTCTTCACTACATAGTCATGTAAGCAGTCTAGAGAAATCTAAATAAGCTCATAACTTCAATTTTAGCTACACTATAAATTCAAATTACTTTTGAAATTAATTAAAAAAACAGTTATCAAATAATGACATTATAGATTGGAATATAAGAATAATTAATGAGTTGTATTACACAAGTCACTATGTAAGACAAGGGGTATTAAGGTCACAAAGGTAATAATACAGAGTAACACCATGCAACATGGGTCCTGGGACAGGTGTTTTAGTCTAATTGTGAATAACATCAGTGGTTGTGAAGATAAAACTTACATGCAAACTTATATTAAATGAAAAATGATGATAAACTTTAATAATTTCAAGAAAACTGAATAAAAGAAACAACTGAAAAATTAAATAAAATATACATATGTGTGTCAATAATAATTCAATTATATGAGAACCATTTCAAAATGCTCTAAATTTTGAAGATCTCACAAAATGTCCAAGGAATCAATCTACCAAGATCCTAAAAACTTAAAATATTACAGGTACATATAGTTATATAGAGGATATACAATTTGAAGGGCATTTATTGACTATATCAGATTTTTTATTTATGGATCTCACAAAAAAGGTAACTTTGCTGTATATTATGACTCTACTTCCTATATAACAGACAAACTTTAATAACCAGCATACCTGTGAATTATGATACCATATCAGATTGTCCTATTCCCTTATCCATACAAACATTAATGTCAATTTTGAATAGACTAACAAAGCATATCAATATTTGGCTCCGAAAAGAATTTCTCATTGAAATAAAAATGGCTATTTAAGACTTATAAGTAAGTAAGATTTATAAAGGGTCATATACTTTTTAGAAATTCTTTAGGTATGCCACTCTGCCAACCATCATTCATCAATTTAATAACCAAAAGTCCCCTATCACTGAAAAGGTTCCTCTAATTAGAGAAAATTAAACACATACATGTGAAAATTCATATATAACTATAATGATCTAGGCAGAAAAGTGCTCAAACACTTTTATGGAAAAAGATTAAAACAAATGAAAAAAATAGTAACAAAATAGAAACAATCACACAAGGTGCTGGTTAGATGCTGAGTGATAACACAATCTTCATATCACAATAACTCGCATTAGAAACAAAAACGTGAAAGTTAGAAAACAATGTCAGGACATGACGTTATAAAACCCTAACTTATATCATCAATACATATCTATTGATTATATATTAAATGATGCTAAATACAAAATATGTTCAACAAAATCATAAAGTTCAGTTAGTGTAAGCTATAAAACAAATATAAAGTATATTCTCATCATACAGTATTACACTTGATTAATGTCAAAAGTCCAAATCACTGTTAAAAACTCAGACTATAATATACCAAGCACACAAAATGAATAGAAGGATTATGTGAATGTATATAGGTATACTGCAATTCTATTTCAAACTGAAACAAAAATGTAATTTTATTAAAAGTAATAATTTGAGTCTTGTTCACACCCCATCACCAACAAAAAATTAAGAAGCCCCAGCTAACCATCATGCCTTTAACAAAGTGTTTATAGGGATATTGGGTTTCCCAAAACCACTCAAAAGTTCAACTCAACCAATCCTAACCTCTGCTAGATTTCTCTGATAAATATCTTCAAAATCTGAACTGTCATTGGTCATGTTTGCAAGACCATTAACCAATGAATGCAAAGTATCTTTGAGAGGGCTGTTTTCATTGGCTGATTCTGGTGAGGAAGGTTCCTCAACTTCAGGAATGTCCGACAATTCAGAGCAACTACTGTCATAAAATGCATCTGGAAAACTGGGTGGCACTATTGCCTTCTGTGAAAAAAATGGTTGATAGAGTCACTTCATATGTCATAATGTTTGCAATGTTCAGTCTCCTTAAATTATTCTTACCATTTTCTTTCACTCATTGGCTCATTTCGATAAATGCTTTTTAAAGTTAAATCTTGCTTATTACCATTTGTCTATATACCAAATGAACCAAAATCTACATTCATAAATATAATAATAAAATTTAAACATCACAACTGTTCCCAAATTCTGTTCCAAAAACCTACCTTTAATATTTTCTCCAACCTTTTTGATAACATCAACTTTTGACCTTGACCATCATTAAGGATTGTTAGTAATTACATAGAAAAATAAATGAATTCATGAAAATGAATATCAATAAACAGCTTTATGTTATGGCTCATTTTCCAAAGCTTCAAATCCAAAATTAACCATATAAAAGCCTGCTTAATTACAATTACCAAAGTCACATGACTAAATGACCTATCACATGACACCTCAAGTAACCTGTGAAATGAATGACATATAATATTCCTAGGTCACATGACACGACATACCTGCTCATATACTTTGTCTATTTCTTTAAAGGCAGAATCGATCATGTCATCAGTACTGCTACCATGTAATGGAGATTTCTGAAAGTAAAATCATTATTGCTTTAAAATAAAAATGAAGATTTATTGTGTAGAGAAGAGAATCAATAAAACCTGACATGTGAACAGTTTTACAGGACAACAATGGTGAACAATAATTGAAGCCTACCACTGTCATAGACACTGGGGTACATCAAGCATGATGTATCAAACTAAATTTATTCTAAAAGTAAAATAAGGGGTTGCATGTACTTTATCTGTTTGACAGAAATTACATTATTTCCATACAAATCTGTTTGTCTGCCTGTTGATGTGACAACAATATTTGGTTTATTACAATGAGACATTATAGTATAATGATGTTTATAGTGACATAACAATGATTATTTCCATGTTACTGATCGTATTGTCTGGCAATACTGACCTGATTTATATTATATAAACTTTTCAATAATTTCTGTCTGTCATTACAAGTCTAACAATTAATTTTAAGGCCACTATGGTTTGAACGAAAGCCCCCTATTATTACCAAATAAAGTATTTTGTTATCTTTTATTCTTTTTACAATTAGAAGGCCCCCAGTATTTTGTTTAAGTTTCCCTGAAAAGCAACCAGTCATACCATTATATAGCCAAAATTGTATATGGCATACAAAAAGGTTGATATGTTCTTAGCTAGGTTTGAGTCCATAACCTTCAAAATGCAGCACATTATCATTAAAGCTAACAAGGCACAAGATAGGTAGATGCTACTTAGAACAACATAATCTATAGCACCAATTTTAAACTTAAACTGATAATTGCTAACAAAAGATCATTGTCCATTCAAGTCTATGGTCAGTATTGCCAAACAATGATAAAAATCCTGATGTATAATATATACAAACCCTGACTTTTTGTGTGGCCTCTGATGCCAGTGATTTTGATACACCAACTGTAAGCTCCTTGACAATATTTTGAGGAAGTCGAACCATTTGGGAGCTAGCTGACTCCACCTTCTCTTTTGATACAGTACGTACGCTCAGTTGCTTTGGCACAAAACCTTTAAAATCCTCTGATGTTAAAATGGAATGATCATCTGTAACAGAAATTTTTCTAGTTTTGAAATTATTGACATTATTTCTAAACATTTTGAAATCAAACATTGTCTGACCATCAAATGATATAGAGCCAAATCTATATTCTACCATATTAATACATAATCTACAGTGATCCACATGACAGAACTACAACTTTAAAAGATTTTTTTATAAACCAATTTGAATAATTATAATAATGCTAAAAAGAATGGGTTCACACGCTCTTCATATTATTCTAATACACACCGTCAAGTTTTGTTTAATCTTTCAATGTTTAATTTTCAGAATTCTTATAATCTAATCATTCTCAGGAAAAGCAAGTGACAGATGGATGGACAAAGTCGCAACTACTTGTACATGCTCTCCCTTATGGTAGCAGAATTAACGTGTTTTTTCAGTGTTACTTAATGAGGAGAATAATTTATATCAATCAATTGATTATATATTGGTAAGTCTGTTATATAGTCAAGAATCCTAACATTAGAATTCCCTTCTCATCTATACCACAAACATGCAATAACTTTGTGAATTTCTGTGAAAACTTCATAAACAGGCTAACAATTCTTGGTTAACATGGTACAAAAACTTACTCTTACATTACACAAACACTTACTAGTTGCACCATGAACATGTTTTATTTTCTGACCATCTGCATAAACATTATATCCCGAAACAGAAGCACCATTTGAAAATCCAGAAGTATCTATGGTAACAGGTAACCATGTTAACAAAATACTGCCTTCCTGTGGACCTGACTCCACTTGAACACTGACAGGAGGGTCTGGTACACCTGAAATAATATCATGATAACACTTGTCTCCTTACACTGTTATCTTCTATATAACAATTATCTCATAATCTTTATCATTTAACACATACACTGTGTACTTTTATATAATGTTTATCATTTAACACTAACACTGTGTACTTTTATATAATGTTTATCAGTTAACACTAACACTGTGTACTTTTATATAATGTTTATCATTTTACACTAACACTGTGTACTTTTATATAATGTTTATCATTTAACACTAACACTGTGGACTTTTATATAATGTTTATCATTTAACACTAACACTGTGTACTTTTATATAATGTTTATCATTTAACACTAACACTGTGTACTTTTATATAATGTTTATCATTTAACACTTACACTGTGTACTTTTATATAATGTTTATCATTTAACACTAACACTGTGGACTTTTATATAATGTTTATCATTTAACACTAACACTGTGTACTTTTATATAATGTTTATCATTTAACTCTAACACTGTGGACTTTTATATAATGTTTATCATTTAACACTAACACTGTGGACTTTTATATAATCTGTATCATTTAACACTAACACTGTGGACTTTTATATAATGTTTATCATTTAACACTAACACTGTGCACTTTTATATAATCTGTATCATTTAACACTTACACTGTGGACTTTTATAAGACAATAAACAAAACACAGCATGGTCAGACTTGGGTTGGTGTAGCATAAACATGCAGGCAGGCGACCAATTATTTTTGTTAATACATATTATTAAACATTAACCTATTTAATGATCAACATTATTTTTTCAACCAAAAACAAGGCATTTCTCTAAATCACCGATAGCTCCGCCCTTTCGCTACACCTTGTCAAGTTTCTAACATTTTGCATTTAGATAAGCTAAATAAATGGCCCTTTCAACATACAATCAGGCACATTTTTACTGAAATGTCACAGAAATTATACCTTTATCTACAGTAATTACATGTAGGTAAAAACAATGGAGTTAATGAAATGTGTACATCCTTTTAAAATAAATAGAAAATGTGAGAAAAATTAGAGATTATTAATTGATACAAATTCGTTATAAGCTTAAAGTTATTCACTAACATTTAAAATCCCTATTGATTTGCTCATTTGAAAAACAGTTCATTTTTTTTTCTATGTGTCAATTTTGGTTAACATGTGGAGGGGGTTAGTTTATAATGAGTTTTCCAGCCAAAAATGTAATCATTGTATTCTTAATATCAAGGATTGTTAATGCAGTTAATTCCTATCAAGTGACAGAAAATAATTTTTTGGTTACTTTTTCTAGAAAATAAAAAGTTAAAACAGTCAGCAATTTATAACAGACATTTTTCTTAGAGTTAAAAGGATATAAAAAAGTTACTATGTAATCATTTGTCTCTGCGTGCCCCACATGTATTATCTATGTAATAAATCAATTGATTGTATCCTCACATTTAGAAGGCATTGTTTTGCTAACCTTTATATTTTACAATTCAGAGTGCAAACCACACCTCTAGCTCCTCCCTAATATAATGCATTACTGAAATTTTTTAGACTGGTTAGACGACAGATTAAGTAAGTTTTATTTAGTTAGTACACATTAACCAAAGTTAGACTTAGCAGAAATTTGAAAAATACTACAATGTGATTGGACAAAAAATAATGTTGATCATTAATACAATATTGCTGCTAACATCCCATGACTTGAAAATATAATATCTACAGCTCATTCTTTACATTATTTTGCATTTCTATAACCACTGATTACTGGGGTCCTAAATGCTCATTCATTTAATTGCACATTAATGGTATTTGTTTTTTTTCTTCACCATTCTAAATGAAAAATGAAATTTTCCCTCTATCTCTATTAATTTATTTGCACTAACATGGCTGGTCAATTATCTATATCAAATTTTTCTTGATGAACATTTTGGATACATACAATAAAATGTTATCATTTTGTTAATGATAGAGCTTCCTGTTCACTAGAAATGTTAAAGATCTGACATCTGACACATGACATTTAAATGCTATTTGTTGACATTTCATTTCAATCAAAATATAGAATTTGATCAGGTGTGCATGACAGACAAACCAACAATTATTTTGACTTATTATCTCAATAGTTATATCTATAAATTTTAAGTTGAATTGCTAAAGGAAAAGTCAAAAGTTATTCATTTTAGGAGTTAAGGTCACCCTATCATCCAAAGTCATCCATTTGAAAGTCACAAACTAAAGTGTTCCTGTTCTCCAAATTTTTTTTTTAAATGTGAAGTTTGTTGGATATAAGCTCATGCCACCATTGTAAAGCTCATATGGCAACTTTCCAGTTTTACTGGTTGACAAAGACCATTATTTCATGTATAAGCAGACACCTGAATAGAACCTCCGACCTGTAAGCTAGCTAGATAGCTTATGATTCATGTAATTTTAAAAGTGGCCAAAAGCTAATGCTACATGCCTATTAATTTTACACCATATAAAAATATACTTTCAGTTCCTGCCCAAGAGACTGGAACCATTTGTTAAACTTTTAAAAAGGGCCACCTAAGAATAATTCCTGTTAAGTCTGGTCAAAATCGACATTGTTGATGGTTTAAAGAAATTATGGATGATAACACACCTCAGACATCCTGCAATCACAAACACTCAATAAGTGGTAAGGGGAGCCAAAAATTGAACAACTGACAGTATAGCACATATAAAAAATTTTAAAATGATGTTGGTAGATGCTTGCAACATAAATAAACTATAAGTAATGTATTTACCCCCACGGGCTGTTTTAAATTCAATAGTTGATGAGATTTTCTCTGGTTTAATATTATCGTCAAGTTTACCATGAAGATTTCTCGCCTGTATTTTAACAGTATGAGATGTAGCTGGACTCAAACCTGAAATAAATTACGAGAAAAGTTTTTTCTAAGAATAGAAAAGAAAATTATGTTAAGACACAATTAACCCTTAGCATACATATTATAATTATTCTTTCATTTGTTTGATTTTTGTTTATCGAGGCAGATTATTTTCTTCTTTTTTTTTTAACAAACATGAAAATTTCCTCCATAAAGTAGCAGGCCTCCAGATTCTGCCAATTTTCATGAAAATTTTGAAAATGTATTTTAAATTACAATGTTGTAAAGTGAACAAAGAAAGTAATTTACGTATTTCAAATTGCACATACACAGCACATAATTATATTACCAAAAAGCTGTCAAAACATGCAAGAATAGTCATTACTACTTTAGTCATGTAGTGATAAATACCACAAATTCAGCCATTATACGCATATGACATGTAAAATATAACTTGTATCCCTTTTCTTAAACTCTAAGTGTATTTTTCTCAAGTTTTATTTTTTTCTTGAAATATTTTGGCTCATCTGGAGGCATGCAGCAAACATACCCTGTAGAACATTATTTCTACCTAACTCAGGCAGAATCATACAGATCTAACAGATTATAAGCAAAAAATTAGAGCTAATAGACATATAAATAAAATCTGCAGACAATAAACAAATATATTTTTTTCAATAACTACAGTCAGACATTTTAGTCTGGTAGTTATGTCTGCTGAATGATCACTGGGATAAGGATAACTTCTAAAAGAATTGAGGATGGAAAATATAATAATGAAATAATTAAGCCAATCTTCAATTTTGAAAACATTTTTAAGAATTCAAAATCCTAAATAGAAATTCATCATAAAATCTATGAACTATGAATTATGAACTATGGAATAAAAACAAAAGCCATGCACTACAGAGCTCTAGACAAGCTAATATTGTGAGTGATGAATTGTGAATTAACTAATCCTATACTAATCAAAAAGATTGATAAACATCACACCTTACTATTGATATACTACTACAAATAAATCAATGTTGTTTTTTAAATGTACATTTACTCACAATCATCTTGTTGTTGTGATCATCTAAATCATTTAAACTTCACAAGCTTGCCACAGATGTTTTTTTCACATGCTTGCCTTACAAATTTTATCTTCACAAGTTAACTGTTAACATTAACCTTCACAAGTTTACCATAAACATTAACTTTCACATGCTTGACTTGACTTATAGACATTTAACCTTCATAAGCTTACCATAGATATTTTACCTTCACACGCTTGACTGAGACATTTAACCTTCACAAGCTTACCATAGATCTTTTCACATGCTTGCCTAAGTCATTTTACCTTCACAAGCTTAACCCAGACTTTTGACCTTCACATGCTTGCCTAAGTCATTTTACCTTCACATGCTTGCATAAGTCATTTTACCTTCACAAGCTTAACCCAGACTTTTGACCTTCACACGCTTGCCTAAGTCATTTTACCTTCACACGCTTGCATAAGTCATTTTACCTTCACAAGCTTAACCCACATGCTTGTTGTAACATTTGTTATTTGTAGTTTCTGTAAATATACTGTTTCCTTTCTTTATAATTGTTGTTGTCTATAACAATTAATTATTGAAAACTTAAACAATTAATTATTGCAAAACTATTACTGCTGAATGTTTTTATCTTATATTCTCATATTCTATTCTATGCAAACTTAAAAAGTAAATTATTGACCATTTGTCTGCTGGCAGGAATAGATTATATATCAATGTTACCAGTACAGACTTAGATAATCCAGCACAAATATCTGTACTGATCACTAGTAAGTTAAAATATATTTTGAAATTTTCCTTAATTAATGGTTTTGTCCAGATTAAAAGATGGTCAAGTCCATTTAAGATATTCAGCATGGTAGAGTTAATGAAATGCACACATCATGAAAAAGGTAAAAGAGGAAGTGACAAGATAAAACTGGACTCATATGGATTAACTTCCACATTTCCCTTAAAACCATTTTCTAAATTTTCATAAAATATAGCATAATTTGGCAGCATGCAGAGCAGCTCAAATCTTTACATTGGGTCCTATAGTTCCTGATAAACTTGAGAAGGAATTTTAGAATTTGTTGACAACTGCCACATTACTTTAGAGGGAATGATCACAACATCATGTATTTTAACTATTTCCTATAATAATATTAAAGAAAGAAACAATTAATACTAATTCTTATGCTTTGAATGCAGGTACATCAGGTACATTTTTACACACAATTTATATATTTATATTTCATAATATAGAACACAAAGTAAAGTAAATGAGGACTTGTACCTGTAAGTGTATGTGTGTAAAGCCCAGGTTTCACCACGCGTATTTCTACATTGTTAACATAAACAGCGTGATGCAGACTACTATCTCCCGGAGTCCATGATATGACAGCCGAGTTTGCCGTTACTTCACCAATACGGAGATCAAATGGTGTTGGGATCACATCTGTGAGAAGGTATTTCAACAGGTTTTGTTAGATTTTTGTGATGGATATATATTTTCAACAACACACACACACACAAACACACACACACACATGACTGATAAGTTGGTAAAATCACTTTCAAATGGTTTTATGTTAAATTTTGTAAACATAGTGTGCAAAAAAACAACTTTTTAAATTCTGTAGAAAAAGTAAGGACAATCAAAAGTTGTATTAAACTCTGCACAATTTTAAATTAACATGAATATGGGTATGTATGTGGAAAAATAGTTCTTCCTGACATTTACTTATCATTTCAAAATGAAATGTGTGTATTTCTTTCACACACTGTTCATTTGAATATATTTAAGTAAGCCTCATCACTAAAGCTGTACAAGTATAACCCATTTTCCTCATATAAAGTATTTTACATTATCATATGATGATGATGAGGTAATTCAATATGATCTTTCAATATTAAGTTTGAGTAGCAATGGTATTCCGTATCGACACGGCAAACAATTCTACCTATATATTGCTGCCATAGCAACACTTATGAATAATGTAATGTACAGCTGCATTAAAATAAACCCAAAACCCTCAAATACTAAAAGAACTATATGCAATAAAATCTATGAAAATACAATGTTTTGTTATCAGCTAGAAACTCTACAATCCTTTCCTTTCAACCATTACAAATTCTCTCCCTTTGATGATAAAACTAAACAAACAACCCTTGATATTAACATAAATTATCTCCCTTTGTAAATGTTTTTTTTGTATAACGTGCTATTAGATATAAGAAAAGGAATTAATCACACACTAGCAATGAATGAGTGAGTTTGGTTCCTGTTATTACTATTGTTTGATTGTGCGAAAAAATCTGGTTGGAAAATAATTTCTTTTACCTGTCTCCATATTAAAATATCTATCTATAATATAAACAAATATCTTGTTTTACAAACTTGACTCTAACTTCAGTTGCCATGGTAAAGTGTGCATGAGTGAAGCCTGTTATTTATCATAGATACATAATTTATATTTAATCATGTTTCTCAAGTTTACGACCCTATAAAATAACATCATTCTGATAAAATATAACAAAATTAACTGCCTTCAATCAATAAACTGGTTGATATTTCACACAAGCCACTGAAATATATCAGACCATTTATAATATCAATGTTAGCAATCAAATAAAAGGTTTAAAATTATGTATGCATATAATAAGCCCAAATTTGTTTGAATAATCAAAAATATTCTTTAAATTACCAATGAGACCCATACACAAATCTTGCCTGAAACATGTTTTATATAAATAATCCTTTTGATATTTAGTGACCCCAAGGGAAAAGCATTTCTTACCCTTTGTGAATGATTCATATAATTTTTGTAGAGGTCAACTAAGCAATGATACATGCAAAATATCTAACCTTTGGGCATTTCAGTTTTACATAGGAATATTTAAATCTGGTTTCCTACAATTGTTAGTCTATATAAACTAGATGACCCCCACAGGGTGGGATCACTTGACCAAAAACAAACCTAACACACACACAAAAAGAAGAAAACGAAGGTCATAATGACCTTGACCTTTTGACAAAACAAATATAGCAGGTAGGACTATCACAATGTATCTACATACAATGTTTGAAGTTCCTAAATCAGAATACTGTGTTTAATTTGTTAATCAACAGTAATGTTAATGATAGATCACAGAATTAAAACAAGTGATTTTATCAAAATTTGACAATAAAGGTCAATGTCATATCTAAATAATGTGTAATAAACATTAAAATAAAGTTTTCTTATGTTGTATATGTTGTATTCATGTATTATATAATGAAGGTGTTATTTGCAGACTGATAGTCTTATAAACTGGACAGCAAGCATGACTATTCTATGTGCTTGACAGAAAATTAACAGACTGGATAAAGTAGGAATTAATTCAGTAAAAATCCATGCTGCTAGTGAACTCTTACTAAGATCTCAAAGACAATGTAAAGGTTCAATAAAGTATTACTTCATGGTTGATGAAATATGAAGTTGCAATCAAAATTTTAAGTGTTATAAGGGCCTAGGTGAGTAGGTAATCCCTACTAAAACCTGAAAATAAAATACAAGACATACCTTTTCCTACCAGGATTGTACACTGGTTGTCATGTGACTGTCCAAGGGAGCTAATACATCGTACACTAACCCGATGAATCTGAAAACCACAATATAAAACTGATGCTTCTTTTTATTTTTCAAATGGCTATTTGTGATCCCTCAACCATACAAGATGTCCATCTTTTATTATTACACATGGTCTGATTTTTTTTGGTTTATTTAAACTTTAACTGAAAATAATTTTCCTGAACTCGAACTTCTGCTACATAATCTTCAACATGTGTATAAAATTGTTATTGTTCTTCATTTTGAACGGTAAAAATACAAACAGCCAGAATTATTCTTATTATAGAATGGTTTACAAGCAGCCAGAATTATTCTTATTATACAATGGTTTACAAGCAGCCAGAATTATTCTTATTATAGAATGGTTTACAAACAGCCAGAATTATTCTTATTATAGAATGGTTTTCAAACAGCCAGAATAATTCTTATTATAGAATGGTTTTCAAACAGCCAGAATTATTCTTATTATAGAATGGTTTTCAAACAGCCAGAATTATTCTTATTATAGAATGGTTTACAAGCAGCCAGAATTATTCTTATGATAGAATGGTTTAAAGGCAATATAAGAGCACCCAGACTTACCTTACGAGATTCTACATTTTCTAACAATGCTTTAGTTCTTTCATTTCCTCTGATTGCAGTTTTAAAGTCCCCGTCTAAGAACACATGATATGAGCGTATTTCAGCTTTGTCAGAATTGTCAGGTGGGGACCAACTGACAAGAATACTGTTGGCAAGTTGGCGTTCAAGTTGTAAATTTTTTGGAAAAGGAGCACCTGTTAAAATTAGAGCAATATTAATTAATTGTTAACTGAAATTCATGTGATAAATAAACAATATCAAAAATAAATATTGCACAATTATTTTCACCGGTTCCATTTTACAACATAATGGCACAGCAGTATGCTTGATTGCATATAAAGAGTTGTGTATAAAAAGCAAAATTAAACAAACACGCAAACAAATTAATAATTCAGTCTTTCTCCTTTCCCAACCACCAAAAATATAAATTATATATAAATAAAAACCCAGCAGAATTTCATAACTCCACTGAGACCAAATAATGATGTCTGCCCATTCAACTAGAACTATCACTTAATTACAAAAGGTGATTAGTTACTCCCAAACAGCACTTTGATGCAGTAAAGGAGGTACAGTATTATTTCTATATTTTCTGAACTAATAAAATTATAAAGTCATAAAACTTTGCTGTTTTCAAGATTTCAACCAATTCTTATCATAGACTGGAAGGTATATATAACTACATACCATCAGAGCTCTAGTCATTGTTGTTTCTAAGGAAATGATTTTAAAGCCTGTTTCTTACATAACTGTATGTTTACTCAGTAACCCACAGGGTGCAGGTCATTTGTTACCAAAAGAACATGATTTATGTAAAATAAATTTGAAAATTTGGCAATTCTACCTGGCTAATATCTAAGCTCTAGGATATGAAATTTCAGAGATTTTTACATGTTTTCCTATTCAAGTCTATGCAAATTAAGTGACCCTCAGGGTAGGAACACTTTTTCACCAAACATTAGCCATGGCTTATTCCTTTTCAAGTTACAACAGATTTACACTAAGTGTCCCTGTGGCCTTGACAACTGACCTATGACCTTTTAACAGATATGATTTTAAGTACTGACAATGAGCAACATCCCTACCAAATTGCACAAACCTTAGATTCATGACAAGCTACCTAAGGACAAGTATTTACATTATAAAAGTGTGGATGTGACCTTTGACTTAATTATCTCATAATGAAAAGAGGTCATCTACTGGTCATGGGCAATATCCATTCCAAGTTTAACAAACCTTATGTCTTCAGAAGTTATTGAGGATTTTACAATACATTTCAAAGTGACCTTGACATAATGACCTCAAAATCAAAAAGGGGTCATCTACTGACTATGGGCAATGTTCCTATACAGTTCCAAAAACCTAGGCTTCTTCTTCCTAAGTATTGATTGATTGGACAAGGAATTTCAAGTGTGTGCTACTGTGACCTAGACCTTTGACCTCAAAATAAATAGCGGTTATCTTCTGGCTACCACAATTCTCCTTATCAAGAATGAAGACAGCACACCTTATAGTTATTGAGCAGAAAGCAATGTTGCTAACAAATGGACAAATTGATGCTAAAACATTTCTGAATAAACCATAAAAATCTTTTGTTTAATTTTCAAGCTCATGTTGGTATTGACAGAGTGACAGACAATGGCATTATCATAATACAACTAAATTTACCTTTCTGTAAATAAAAAATATGGGACTAGAAAAGAAAGAAATACATTTATTTCATCCAACACTCTTATCAATTCCCAGTATCTATATTTTCAAGTTTTTTAATGAATGGTTCTGGAGTTATGATTCTGACAAGCATATAAAGATCAACTAACTACAGGGTTAAAGTGTGGTTGTCAGAATTTTGTCTGACTAATAGTGAAGTCTTCTACAGAAATAATACCGTACATACCAGTATGAACATTTGCTAGAGTATCTCTATGTTTTGATTGGCTAATATCTTCATCTTCTTCTATAATATCATCAAGGTCACTTAAAGGTTCAGTCTTCAACTGAGAACTTGTATCTGCAATAACATAAACATTTGCTACAAGGAAACACATTTCTGTTGTGTGTGCTGTAATTGTCAGCATTTATATCAATGATTTGTTTCAGTGTTAACATTATGCTGTACTTTATAATGGTGTTGATTTACTGAAATATTTCATGATAAACAACATACCACATCTTTCTAACACCAAACTAACCACTATCTCATGCTGATATCTGTTATAGACATATACCCTTACAAGAAAAAAATATCACATTCTAGTAGAACATGTATGTAATGTAATATAAAAGTATGACTGAATGCAGCTATTTATTTCTTCTAATAAAGGCATAAAGTTACTGTACATATAGTTAAAAGAGGTATTTGTTTTATATCAAATATCATTTACCTGGTATAAGGTCATCATTTTTATCAAGTTCATCACCACTGTCAATGTCAAGGTCAGGAACAGCTATACTGTTAGCAGCAGTACTATTTTCTTCTTGACCAGCCAATGCCATGGCAGCATGGAAATCTGGCAAGTCTTCATCTAGTAAAAATAAAATATTAACATACAGACATACTTCAAAATTCTGTCATAAACATCTAAAGGCTTGAAATCACATTGATTTAGGATAATGCAAGAGGCCAGCAAACTGTCTCATCAATGTAGAAATATATTTAATGCCAGATATTACCTGATTACTAGATTTATTTCACACCTTATGTAACCCCTGAATTTTTAGCGTTTGAACTATGCCGTGTTCTATTAGAAATCATTTCTAGAGCCAACCTTAGCTAAGGTGTATGAGCATTATACTGAAGTTAGGGTTATAATGAGGTGAGTTATAATGGGTTGGCATTGTATCATATACTTTAGCTATTAATTATCATATATCATATTGTTATATTATACAAAAACATACCGGAGACTTTCTCAATAAAGTTTGAAGGTACCAATCCCCGCCTGCCATCTATCAGCTCTCCCTCAAAGAAACCATCCTTCAATAAAAGATATGAGGTTTTAAACAAATGTATTCATGAACAATGAGTTAGTATTTTCAATTTCCTGTCTTGAGGAAATATGAAATAATAAAGTTTTTCATTCAAAATAATTTACTTTTACAGCCTCCGTTTATTGAATCACTTGGGTAACAAAAAATGTTTAATCTCAACTATGACAGGAAGAACATAACTTAAATATATATTTGTATTTCTAGAATGAAAACCTAGAAAGTTGAATTTGGCCTGTAAATGAATATAACTCACTGAAGACATAGACTTTACCTCATCCATTTCACCATAGATAAGTACATAATCTCCAGCCTGTAGAGGTAATTCCGCCTCCGGATTCTCATTGGGGGAGTATTTGTATGGGTCATAACTATATTTAGCACAATAAACTTGAATTGGTCCTTTCTTAGCAAGAACAGATAAACGACTGTCACCAATTGATATCTCAGAGACTTCAGGCTCTCCTCTTTGATCTCCCCTGCTCTCCATCCCAGAATCTTCTCCTTTATCTGTAAACAAATATACCAAAATATTATAATTATACTACCTGATAATAAATCATAATAATATACAACTTAACCTGAATCTTCCCCATGTGACATGTGCAGACCAAGATCTGCCAGCAACTCGTGATCATGATCACTGTTCACATTATTCATACTTGTTTTAAAATCTTCCCTGAAAATGATAAATGGCTTTGTCCAGATTGATATTTAAAAGTTAATATCCAAATGTGATTATGATAAAACTAAACCAAATTAGGGATCAATAAAATTAATGTAAAAATGTAAAATAAAAGAGAAATATACAAACAAGTAAAAACAACAGCTTTTCACAAACAATGCAGTGCAGTGCAATACTGGTATCATGTTGTCTGATTCAATAACTCAACCCATATATAAATGTGGAAATTGACTTTAAAGAATCTGTATGAGAGTCCACACATAACAAGGAAGGAATCATGCCAGGAAAGTGACATTATTTTGAAATAAAGAGAAAAATGTAACTTAGAGGGAGGGGTGAAGTTAAAAGTTTATTTCTATTCTTCCAGTATAGTTTCACTAAAATCTACCCTGTGGTTGAGAAAAAATCTTGCTAAATAAAAGATGTGCTTTAAAATGTTTTTCTATTGTTAGCTCTGCTGGCCATCTTATTTCCCGGACAGAAATCATTTGAGCAATTATTTTGGAGAGCCATCAAAAGATCATTCCAGAATACTTCCATTATAATTGACCATGGAGATTTAGTAGAAGATGCTATTTAAGTAAAATGTTAACAAAGGACGCTGCAAACAAAGAGATCACAATAGCTCACCTTAAAGGCGTTTGGAGAGTTTTCACAAAGACATAATGGCAAAATAAGATGGTCAATGTTTTATGTAATGATTGTTTTAAAAGCTTTAATAAAACAATAGCAGAATGCATTCTGTCAACACTTATTGATTCTTTTCCATTAAGAACCAGTGAAGGATATAATTTTATAAATATTCAAAAGAATTTTTACATTTTATGCCTGAATATTTTTTTGAAATTACATAGATTTATATTATTCTTTGTCTTTTTTTCCTTGTCTTGCTAATGCTTAAATCTTAGAACTGTTAAATAGAATTTCTTTAAACTTGGCATCTTGTTAAAAAAAATATGATAACAAACATTTTAAGTGAAAAAAAATTGGGTGTCACCATTCTTGTTTTTGAGTTATCTGCCCTTGAATTGGACCTTTTCGCTTTATTCGAGGACAGATAATTCACAATTAAAATAAAGAATACCATATTTTTTTCTTATTTTCAAGCAGCTTACTTCAGTATGAGGCATTGTGCAAAAGTTCAAGAACAAATTAATAACAAATAATTTTTTTCCCTTCTCAAAACCTGTGTACATTTGTATTTCTAAAAAAAAAAATATTCAAGTTGAAAAATTGTAAGTTAACAGAAATAATGAATCTACCCATGCGACCAGTGCAGACCAAGATCATTTGGCACATTCCCTTCACCTTATCATGATAAGTAGTGTTCGCTATTCATTCATGACCTACTTAAAAATGTTCTCTAAAAATTTTGCATGGTTTTTCATGGAGAATTCTATTTTAGATATTTAGCATATAATGTTTTACCCAGTAACCTATTTTTTTACCTTATGTGACCCATGTTAAAAATTGTTCAAGACATTATTGCATTAAACATTCTGACCAAGTTCCAATCTATTCTTGCTATCCTAATTGAAGCGATAATGCATTTTGATATAATTTAAAACTATTTTAATGCCTATAACTGCACGACAAACAAGAACATTTACAGTAGAACAAGCCATTTTATCTACTCTTCAAACTGTAAACAATAACATTTAATTTTGTAAATAAAAATTTCTTAACATGTTTTTAAATTTTTTTTTCCAAACAAATTTAATTTGGTCCAAATAATCTATATCCATTGTAGCTAATAAAATAGTGCATATTATAAAATGTTAGAGTAACAGAAGAATAGGCAGAAGAATAAGACAAAACACATCAAATGAAAACACAAAAACTAGAGATGTTTGTTAAACATGTATGCAATCCCCAGTAACCAGTTGGTTATATAACTATTAATTTTATCAACATTTAATTATAGTTTAATTATAGGTCATGTGCAGTCTCCAAACCAAATCTAAGATCTACAGGTCTGTGTTCTTTAATTTTTGTATCAGAAAAGCTGTTTGTGGTCAAGAACGCTGTGAACCTATTTAAATAATTAAACAAGAAAAGATGAAAACCATCACCATATGCCATAAAAATGACAATATGAACTTTAACATCTATATGAAATACTAGGCAAACTTGTCAACTGAAGAATTATTAAAGTGTATAAAGCTATATATCTGCTGCAAAAATTATTGTTTAAATTTTAAAAAAGAATACTTCCAAAATGTTTGTATGGAATAAATATTGTAGTAAACTGCTGTAAAAGTGAAAAGTGCATGCATGAAATCATTGCTAAACAGAAATAACTCTGCTTAAAATAGCAGAATAATATTTTGATCCGGAACATTTAATTCTGTTTACATACAATATTAATGTGTGTTAAATAACAGAGACATTCTATGTGACAACTCTTTCTAGAATCAACCATAATATTATGGCACAAATATTTTTTAATACTGTTGATAAATTTATAAAAACATTTCATAAGATATAGCTTTATACCCTTTATAATATCTAGAAATTTGAAAAGTATTTCTTTTTATGTTTTAGAAAATCAAACATATTTAGTTTACTAAATGCACAAGAAGAAATTCCCGTTTGTACCCACTAACAGAATCAGAGAGCTGAACAAACATTTAAAGCAGAAGAACAAAGTTTCTACAACTACAATCTATAACTAATTTTTGCACTATCACAACACTCATGCACTAGTCACCTGATTTACTACTGTCGTCTGAATCAGACTGATTCTCAAGTTCTTTCAATTTTTCAGCTATAGCTAATAATTCAGGGTCCTCAAAATCTGCCTTGTCTCCGTCTGGAGAAAAATTGTTAGACTGTGTCACATCATCATCATCTGCAAAACCTAAACCAGTCATCTCTACATCAGAAAGTAAAGTCAGAAAACCAGTCAAATTTACAAAATTAAAGTCTAAAATCTGTCAGTGTCAACAACAAAGTCTAAACCAGTCAAGGCAACTTCAGTTTCATTTTAACAAATGAAACCAATGCACACTTTATCAATCATGTCAAATCAACTCTATAAAAATCAAATTCTAAAACCAGCCCACTGTTTTTGGTTTGTACTGAAGCTATATGATGCCAAAGTAAAACATTGTTCTCCTCTTTATACCAACCAAAATTATTTAAAAAATTTAAAATAAAACCAGTAATATAAAAAATTTGAGTCAGTAAATATCTCTGTTAATGCTTAAATTCCATAAACATTCCATGTAACACAATTATAAATGGTATTTAGTTTCTTTCAATTCTAACTTATTATTAAATATTTCAATTTCATGTTAAATGAGATATTTATGTAACTCAAAACTTGATAATTACACAAACAGCATTAAATCACATGCATAATTATGGACAAAATTGTCAGCCAATAATCATTTAAGAACATAAACAAGATCAAGGCATTTTGAAAAAAAATAACTAAAAACTTCTACTGAAAACAAAGAAACAATAAAAAATGACCAGAAAAGAGGCTCAATATCTAATCAATATCTGGGATAATCAATCAATGCAAATGCTGTAATAATATAACATGTCAGGATTAAGAGTGATTATGCAAATGATAGTTGATAGCATGTAAATAGGGATGACCTTGATATTTTAACATTTTGACCAGCAAAATGGTGTGGCAGGGAAAAACTAAACAATAAAGATTAACCAACACTAACCACCAACTTGAAGCTGATAGATGTTCATCACAATATTTTCACTTTTTCTTCAAAAAGTAGGGTAAAAACTTGGTCACAATACCTCGAGAAAACTCTAATATGTAAGGTGCCCAATCACACAATAATAATATGTATATAGATTATAGCTTTTTGCTATGACAGTGATACAATAGATTACCCAAAGTATAACAACGTCCAAAGCTGGATCTTTCACTGGCCTTATATTAATAAGCATAGGAACTCATTTTTCACATTAAAGCTTGGCTATATTTTCCAGAAATTTTTTTTTTCTTAAAAATTCATGTCTCTTGTATGGAAATAATTGTATAGGGTGAATATAAAGAACTAACCTGTATCAGTACAAGTAGATTTTGTAGATTCTGTCTGTTCACTTAATACGCCATTGACACGTTTAGGGGTAGAATGTAACGGAGTAGAATGTAATGGCAGATGGCTCTGATTGGGCTTAATTACATCTGTAATTCATAAAATAGTGAAAATACAAAAACATTATCTAGATACCTTTATTGTGACCTAAAAATATGTTTTTATTGAATTGTTTCATAGTAACAAGAGTTCAAGTTAATGAAATGTTACCAGAGTTAAATGCTGAATTGTAACTGTAGCTCAAATTGGAAATCAATGTTGCCCAGTTACTTTAGTTCAAACACTCAGGTTCTCACTCATGCCTGAAATAATGTATAAAAGGGGCACCTGAGGTCTACCTCTACCAGTAAAGCTGGAAAGTCACTGTATGACCTTTTCTGTGTCTGTGAGACTTTAAATCTAACAGACAAAGAATCTTTACTTCAAAATTGTTTTCCAATCTTTTATTGGATTTCAGGATTTCAAAGTTGAACTGTACACCTTACGTTTTTTATTAGTTATTTTTTATTAGTAACTTTAACTAACAAAACATAATGTTTACAGTGACCAGTCTTCACATGCATTATGTTTTACTGAGTTTGAAATTACAGTAACTGTTAAAATAATGAACTATTACATAGTTTTATAAAAATTAAAAAAAAACAATGTTGCAATACTTTAGGGTTACAACTTTATTGAAGTCCAGGGTTACTAAAGTTCATGGTTATAACTTTACTAGCATTCCCAGTTACAATTTTACTAAAGACTGAAGTAACAATTTAACTTGGGTTCAAAGTAAAAAAATTTCCCAGCAATTTTAATGGAACATTATTTAGAGTTCAAGAAGGTTCAAGGTTAAAATTTCACTGGGCATCAAGGTTACAATTGTTCTGGGGTTTAAGGTTACCCTTTTCTATGTTCAAGGTCACAATTTCACTTCAATATTACAACTTTAATTATTAGACTTTCATTGGATTTAAGATGCAAATACCAGAGAAGCCAAAAAGTAGCCCAAATTATGTACATTTTAGTACATGTATATAAAGTATTTTTTATGTAAGGGAGAAAGAATAACTTTCACAAGAGTGTTCAGTGAAGTCAATAGCTAATCAACAAGATTACACCATAGAAGTTGTTTTATTGCCAACACTGTCTGAATAGAAATTGTTTTCCTCATAAAAGTGTTGTTGTTTAGATTATCTTCATGAATACTTACCCTCTAAATAACAGTATGTCACTCACACATAATGTAAAACATTTTAATGCCTGTTTTTGTCTATGACTATTGATATCTAGCAAGATTTACAGCTCCGACACCAAACTAAAGAAACAATCCTCAATAAATGTATGTCTGTAGGTCTAAACATTTCTTTACAACTAAACATTAGTTTCTGACTTGATTTTTGATCAATCCTGTCCTCCATACATAAATAACAACATCTATACCAGAATCCAACACTGGCCGGTTGGTATAAATAATATAAACATAATATTTCAGCCAATGAACAGCCTTTGTAAGAATTCTTTGCTTATGTTATTAAAAATATAAATATTTATACAGAAGATAGAGACAAACCTTGAGCAGGAGAATTTCCTTTGCTAGAGTTATGTCCCTTGTTTACAGCTGATGATGTCCCTATAGATGGCGATGGCACTTTAATTCCAGGTGATTTAATGCTTGATGCAGGTGATTTTGAGATGCCTGGTGATTTCCGTTGATTGTTAACTTGTGTCTGTGATGTAACAACTGGTGACTTTCTAGATGACCCTTGAATTACTGGACTGTGACGTGGTGACTGGTTAGGAGAAGATGTTGACGATGGGGCAAATTCTAAACTTTTACTAGTCTGAATTTCAGTATTACGAATGTTTTGTGATTTATGCGCAGCTTGTGTGCGAAGTAGTGTTAGTTCCTCTGTTAGTTGTTGTTGTTTAGAGGCATGATCTTGGCACTGATGTTCTAAACTATGTATTTTATCTTGTAATGATTTTATAGCAGTCTCATATTTTTCTCTTGCACTCTCTTGGACCTGTTATTAAAAAAAAAGAAATATAAGACATGTTAAGAAAAATTTAGATCCCATTTATTTACTCTTTCATGACTGTTTTTCAATGACATTTCATAAAGAAAACATTGTCAATTGTTCATTTTTATCTTCATGTATTGTATATCATTCTGCTTTTCTTAATATACATACAAACTTATTAAAACAAGTTGTATTATAAATGGATTCTTGGTTACTTCTGACTAAGAAAACTTATCATATAAAGGAGTAATAATTATGAATGTTTACAACATTCTCTCTGAACATGTCAATTGTTGTCGGATAATTACAGTCATTATATAGAGAACAGAAGTGTCATAAACTTGCTGGTAGCCCAGTCTGTAGTGGTTTACCCACTTATATAGCTGTGTAATCATTGATTTATTTATTATAGATCTCAGTAATTGATCCTACTTCTTTCTTTTTCCAGACCATAATGCAACAACAATATATGTGCTATATATATAGCTTTCTCCATAATTTTCAATATCAATGCTTTGATAAAATGCTGAAATTAACTACATGTATTTGGACAGGAAGTGGTCAGATATGCATCTTGTGGTAAAATTTGATATTCAAACAAAGATTGTAAGTGATCAAATTCTCACTGTTTATGAACACAGCTGCTACAGACAAGCTTTTTTTTCAAGTGATCAGTTTCTCACTTTTTATCAACTCAGTACATATAAATCTTTTGTAAATGATCAATTTCTCACTGTTTATCAACACAATACAGACATACCTTTTGTAAGTAATCAAGTTCTCGCTGTTTTGATCAATTTCTCTCTGTTTATCAACACAAAAGAAACATACCTTTTGTAAGTGATCAATTTCTCGCTGTTTATCAACACAATACAGACATACCTTTTGTAAGTAATCAAGTTCTCGCTGTTTTGATCAATTTCTCTCTGTTTATCAACACAAAAGAAACATACCTTTTGTAAGTGATCAATTTCTCGCTGTTTATCAACACAATACAGACATACCTTTTGTAAGTGATCAATTTCTCGCTGTTTATCAACACAATACAGACATACCTTTTGTAAGTGATCAATTTCTCGCTGTTTATCAACACAATACAGACATACCTTTTGTAAGTGATCAAGTCTGCTGTTTATCAACACAATAGAGACATACCTTTTGTAAGTGATCAATTTCTCGCTGTTTATCAACACAATAGAGACATACCTTTTGTAAGTGATCAATTTCTCACTGTTTATCAACACAATAGACATACCTTTTGTAAGTGATCAATTTCTCACTGTTTATCAACACAATAGAAACAAACCTTTTGTAAGTGATCAATTTCTCGCTATTTATCAACACAATAAACATACCTTTTGTAAGTGATCAATTTCTCGCTGTTTATCTTGAAGTTTGAGCACTGTGTCATGATAATCTTTTTCAACTTGTTTCAATTTCTCAGTAGAAAATTCCAAGTTCTGTGAAGAAAGAAAACAATCCTCAATTACAAATGTACCATTTTATTAAGTTTATGCTAATGTTTTTTTAGTATTATTCATTTCTGAAAAAAATCATAAGATATACTTAACATAATTGATAAACTACCTTTTGACGATTCAAGGCAGATGGTCAATTCCCGGGATCTCTCTATTTTTAGTAAGATCCTGGCTTTTCTAAATGTGTTATGGCAGTGGTTAATTCCAGGGATCATTTTAAATCTACTATGATCCCAGTTTTCTTACCATTTATGATTTTTTAGAAATACTAAAACAAAATATTTCATTCAAAAACATTATAGCGCTGTAATTGTAATGTCTTAACATTTTTGTACAAATATTTCACTGGTAGTGTAGGTTTTACTCGAAACCATCAATCTATAAAATAAGTCTACATTTTAATTTCCTGAAAAACTCTTAAATAACGTATTACACATCTGTAACAAAATGCAGGACTAAGAGATTTAATCAATAATTTATCAATGATATCTATGACAGATGGTCAATTCTCGTGATTACTATATAACTAATATGATCCTGAATCCCGGCTTTGCTAAAGGGGATTCCGGGATTTTCTTCCCACCCTTAAACTCTATGTAGTAAAACTTTCATACATATCACTACAACATTACAGACACTACTAAAGTCAAAACAAATTTATAATATCTATAAACAATAAGGTAAAGTGTTCATAAAATGTAAGTGATATTACTGTTCCATGTACTGGTATATTTTGCAAAGGATAAAATTATGCGCATATCTTCTGATGGCATTCACAAACAAAACTTTTGCTTATTAATAGGAAAGAACAGAAATGTTTTATATAGTTTTTTCAATCTGATCGAATAACTCATATCTATGCATCAATAGAATACAACAAAACATTGAAAAATGCATTTCATCTTCTTTTCCATTTTAAATTACATAAAGTACAATATCTAAGTTATGCTGGGATTTTTTACTAGGAGCTTTGTTTGTATTCGTATATTATGTAACATATAATTTTTTTTAAACAAATAGGTTTCCCATAACAAAATGGTTATTAAAACCATAAATCACAAATTGAAATTAAAGATTCCCTGAAACTTTTTCTTATATCAGGTCTTTCATATAACATTTATATTGTCAACAAAAAACTCATTGTAAATTTTAGATGAATTGTAATTCATTAATCTGCATAAAATGAGTTTTTAAATCCAGATATTGGTTTCATGCTAAACATCAAAGAATATTTACTTTGATTTGTGAAAGGTGATAATATATTTCCAGTATTTGAGATTTATTTCCATGTTTGTACTGAGTTTCATGCATTTGTTGCCATGGTAATTATACAGCTTCATACTTCAATTATGAACATTTTCTAGCTACTTGTTTATTTTGTGCTAAATGACATGTTTTTATCAGCTGATGTCTAATGGGTTTTATCACTTAAATATTGTATGGTAGATTGAGCTCAGTTAATGTAAAAATGTGATTCTTGGGCAGAATATCAAAACAATATATTATTCTAGCTTTTGAAAGAGGTGACAGTTTTCACTAGTATAAGTGGCTCTCAGTTTCATGGCAACTATTTTGATCTGGATCATATTTTATGATAATTAACCAATTTCTGTCTTATGCCTTATGTGAGAAAGTAAAGATATGTTCTAGTTAATGAACAATTTTATTTACACTCAAATGTAATATACAATTGTTTCCCGAAGGACAATCTTTATTGCCTGAAAGTCCAGATCTTACTGTTTCATAAAATCTGTTTAAAAAGAAGAACTTAAGGACCAATGAAATCTTCTTTCATTACTTTTTATTAGCATTTAATGTATTATGTGTACTTCAGAATATAATAAAAATAGCCCCTACAGTAAATTACATCCTATATTTATTGAAATATTTCCCATATCAAGATCCTTAAAAATTTCAGCTGCATCTTTAATTTACATGGCCCTGAAGTCCATTTTGATATAACATCTGTCTGTGTGAAGACAAATGTTGCGGCATAACTTTTAAAGGATTGCAATGATCTTGCCTATATTTGGAATATAAGTATATTATATCAAAGCACAGATTCATGCAATTGATAGAGTTATGCTTTGTTAATGCAATTATTTTGTGAACTTGACTGTTTGCCACTGTTTTCCTAATATAACATTTGAAAGTCATCAATGTTCATTATTGCATTTATATTTGGTATGTCAATATTTTATATCAAAGTACAACTACAGCTCATTATGTCTCTATTTTAACGTCCATTTTAATACAATTTTTCTGTGAAATTACCAGTGCTAGTAGATTATTAAAATGAATCAATATCTAAATGTATCAAACAAACAAAAGATTATAACAAGCTTATTATAAATGACCTTGAAAAAAAATATAATTAATGTCAAGTTGGGTCTTTTATAGATATTGATAAGACATTCAAAATTTAAGTGCACTAAAACTGGAAAATCAAAGCACTGAGAGTTCTAAACCAAAACAATAATGAATATCAAATATGGTTTAACCTTTCACCTCCAGAATTTGAGTAATGAATTTGACCTGTTTTGAATATGGAACAGTTTATTTTCAATTTAAAGGGATGTCAATAACAAAATTCAAAAGTTGAGCTCCCAGCAGTATACAGCCTTAAGTCCTATATGTATACTGTCTATTGTGTACTGTTGGCAATGCATAATCACTTTATAGCAGGTTAAAGGTTAATAAAAGTCAAGTCAAGTTTTGTTATGAAGTTTCCTACATCTCCGCCTAGCTCAATAGGCTTCCCAATAATGGACTTGGAGATCACATCTTTGCAGGACATTTGAAATGTTTTTAGTAAGTTTTCTTATAACATACACAATTCACCTTTCTCAAGTTCAAAAGACAAAAACAATAATGAATAGAAATGAGATGTTTGTATTTACCTTTACAACAGTTTCTAGGTTTTGTACTTTAAGTTGAAGGACTGAAACATCACCCTTGGCAACCTCACACTCATGCTGGGCCTCTGAGAGACTGACACGTAGTGTACTACATTCTTCATTCACCTGAAAATAAAAAAAGAAAATTAATAATTTAAGATAGTATACAAAATCTTAAACAGTCACTTATATAGTAAAAATACTTACATTCTTTTAACAAAAATACTTTTAACTCAAAATATCCAAGAAATTGGACCCTCAAATGGTAAGTACATGTATACACAATGAATTAACATGGCTGTAAATTTGTATTACATGTACTTGGTAAACAAAACAAAAGAATGTCCAAAATGCTATATCTTGGAAAAAAGTTCCCTCCCTAAAATTAATTTCTTTATATAAAATAAGATATTTTCCAAATACAGTTATCCTGATGAGAGATTTCAGAGATAAATCCGCGCTTTTGTATAAAGCCACTTTATATCCAATAACAAAATATAATTCCCTCATTAAATCATCAAAAGTTGTGAACAAATCATCAAAATAAAACATTTTCTACATGTATAAAACTAAACACTGTTAGACACACACCTCTTTCAGGAAAGGGAAAATCTTGCCTTGTAGCTTGGATGGTAACATCATAAAAATAAATAAATTGTTAACTGAGATTCACATTAAATTGTGCACTCCTTTTTTAGGCTATCCTGTCTGAAGCTCCAGTGTTTATGAAACTAATGTTAAGGTAATGTAAGTCTATGCTTGTATAATGAAGCCCTGTGCTCTATAGATTTGTGTATTGACAACAACCACTGTTATATTCCATATGAAATTTCAAACTTTAAGGTTTGTTTACTCCAATCTGTTTTATTATGACATGAAATATGAATAATACATCAGTCTACAGCCTCGTTATATGTTAAATGTTTAATCAATCAGTTAGAATTGTTCTATAACTATCCATAACTATATCATTTTATCAATTTTCATTCAAATTTAATGTGAACAAGTTATGGTCAATATAACAGACCATGCTTTATACTGACATACAAATATTCTTTAAATCTTTAACAGACTTCTCAGAAATGTTGTTTCAGCAAAAAAATTCCACCAAAACTAATTAACAATGGCTGCCTAGAAATTAGAAATTTTAACTCGGGTCACCCAAAGAAATTTCACAGCTATTTCTGCCTTCAACGAAACTAATTACAGCAGAAAATTGAAGCATTGAAAGACAATATTCCTTACTGATAAGCTAAAAAAAAATAATTCCTTAACAAAAGCCCAAATGATCCAGTTTCCTGAAAAGCCATGCATACAGAGTATAAGTTAAGCAGAAGTTTTGTAAAATCAATGGATCTCAACTAGAAACATTGCTATAACTTGTCCCTAATATTCCGTTACTTCCCTTCTCACCACTATCATTATATAGTCATTTTCTCCTCTATCTTAAACACAGATATATAGTAGTTAAAAAATATTCTTCTTGTATTTATTGAAATGTAATCAATTTTTGAAGCATAAAAACACTTTTATTCTCTGAAGAAAAAATAAAAAGTTTGACTTTAGGTTTCCTTTCATTAACACATATTATACCCAAACAAAATTTCTGTATAAATAAAATTGGCAAAAGTCTGAGAAATTGTGTAGGATCATGAGGGATATGATAGGAGGCGTTAGTTCACTAGGTAGGTGGTGATTTACACGTCTATATATCAAATAATGTCCTAGCATCTAATGTCTGTCTCCCTACACACAGTATTATATACCTTCATGAATATTTCATGTGGAATATAAAACACAAAAAAAGATCTAAGTCCTGCCACATAAAAAATCAGGGGGTTACAAATTGTATTTTATTTATGGTGTCATTAATGTCATTTACATTACATTTTCCATTTCTACATCACAGTCATGCAGGCCATGATGATATTAAACAAATTCCAGATAGAACAGAAAAAGATCCATGTTAAAATCAAAGGAAAACTTTCAAAATTCCATGCAATTAATTAATTAAGTCCTAATTAGATAAAAGTCATCCCTCATAATGAACACATCGTCAAAAACTTCTACTGAAATAAAAAACCACACCAACCAAATCCTAACAAACCAAAAAGCACTTTCCAATTATTCCTTGGAATGAGAAGAAAACAATGCTTAATTTGCAATCTTTGATATTTTAAGCCTGGTAATTTGTTCACAGTGGAAAGAAATGTTAAAATTTGCTTGAAGCAGTAGAAACTAATCATGGGTGTATGCTTGTATAGATTTCCAATTTGTTCCTTCAATGTATGGCTGTATTTAAAAATAAAAACATGTTCTCACCCTTACCTACTAAATAAATCAATATATAACTACTGTAAACAGGTGGACATTACTTCATATATATGTGTCAACACCTCAACTTTGACTTATAGTATCAACCAAAACAATACTATCATGCATTATTTAATCAGGCAGGTAAAATATGAATGTGATGAGTACACGCTCAAAATAAATTAAGTTGTAAGTAAAAACTTTAAAATATTACCTGCTGTGACCTTGACTTTTGATATAATGACTATAATATATAATCATTATTACATTTTATGGGTTTTACATTAAGATAGAAATTTCAATTATATCATGCTTAATTTTTTGGGACGATAACACCTTTCACAAAGACTGTATAAAAAATACACATACAAGTCCAATCCCCTGCAGTGACTTAGACCTTTACCTAGTAACTTGCATATGAAATGTTATACATATATGGTGGTCATATGGGCCAGTTTTATTTTTTAAATCACAGTAATAGACACAAGATTACACTATATGCACCTACATATGGAGGCAGCATAAAAATTGTATCATCTAAAATTAGCACACATTGAGGATGGGAAATATAATGATTGGCATATAAGTTATAGCAAATTTGGAAAATTTTCAGAAATGTGATGTTTAAATGGTATAATAATGCTTTCATAAATTAAAGACTAAACACATCTGCAATAATTTACAGTAATATTTACTATAACATCAATACAGAAAATATAGTGTCAAATTATGAGACAATTTATAGATTTCCAATACAAATGTTGGTACCGACTTATTTAGTAGCCTGTAATTTCCTCCTCCATAATGTGAGAGTCCAACACCTGTCTTGTTTAACTGTGAAAACACACCTAACATCAAACAACTAAATGTGAATTCTATACAAATGTATAATTGTAACTTTATCTATTATATACCACTGGTGCATGGGCTTGCTCTTACAAGTTATTATAAATGAATTTTTAGTAAACATTTACTAATGGTTTTATTATCAGATTCAACTTTATCAAGGCACATCAAATGTCCCATGTACATCAACAAACATCATAGGAATCAAATGTCCCATGTACATCAACAAACATCATAGGAATCAAATGTCCCATGTACATCAACAAACATTGTACCTTTCAAATGTCCAATGTACATCAACAAACATCGTACAAATCAAACTTCCCATGTAAATCAAACAAACATCGTAAAAATCAAACATCCCATGTACATCAATAAACATTGTACAAATCAAATGTCCCATGTACATCAATAAACATCATACAAATCAAATGTCCCATGTACATCAACAAACATCTTACAAATCAAATGTCCCATGTACATCAACAAACATCTTACAAATCAAATGACCAATGTACATCAAAAAATATCGTACAAATCAAATGTCCCATTTTCATCAACAAACATCGTACAAATCAAATGTCCCATGTACATCAACAAACATTGTACAAATCAAATGTCCCATGTACATCAATAAACATTGTCCAAATCAAATGTCTTATGTACATCAACAAACATCGTTCAAATCAAATGTCCCATGTACATCAACAAACATTGTACAAATCAAACTTCCTATGTAAATCAAACAAACATCGTAAAAATCAAACATCCCATGTACATCAACAAACATTGTACAAATCAAATGTCCCATGTACATCAATAAACATCATAAAAATCATATGTCCCATGTACATCAACAAACATTGTACAAATCAAATGTCCCATGTACATCAACAAACATTGTACAAATCAAATGTCCCATGTACATCAACAAACATCTTACAAATCAAATGTCCAATGTACATCAACAAACATCTTACAAATCAAATGACCAATGTACATCAAAAAATATCGTACAAATCAAACTTCCCATTTTCATCAACAAACATCGTAAAAATCAAACATCCCATGTACATCAACAAACATTGTACAAATCAAATGTCCCATGTACATCAATAAACATTGTACAAATCAAATGTCCCATGTACATCAATAAACATTGTCCAAATCAAATGTCCTATGTACATCAACAAACATTGTACAAATCAAATGTCCCATGTACATCAACAAACATTGTACAAATCAAATGTCCCATGTACATCAATAAACATCATACAAATCAAATGTCCCATGTACATCAACAAACATTGTACAAATCAAATGTCCCATGTACATCAACAAACATTGTACAAATCAAATGTCCCATGTTCATCAACAAACATCGTACAAATCAAACTTCCGATGTAAATCAAACAAACATCGTAAAAATCAAACATCCTATGTACATCAACAAACATCATACAAATCAAATGTCCCATGTACATCAACAAACATTGTACAAATCAAATGTCCCATGTACATCAACAAACATTGTACAAATCAAATGTCCCATGTACATCAACAAACATCGTACAAATCAAACTTCCCATGTAAATCAAACAAACATCGTAAAAATCAAACATCCCATGTACATCAACAAACATTGTACAAATCAAATGTCCCATGTACATCAATAAACATCATACAAATCAAATGTCCTATGTACATCAACAAACATCGTACAGATCAAATGACCAATGTACATCAAAAAATATCGTACAAATCAAATGTCCCATTTACATCAATAAACATCATACAAATCAAACTTCCCATGTAAATAAAAAAACATACATATCAACATCCAATGTACATCAACAAACAACATACAAATCAAACATACCATGTACATCAACAAACAACATACAAATCAAATATCCCATGCACATCAACAAACATGATATAAATCAAGTGTCCCATTTACATAAACA